TTTGTAATTCGCCTTTTTGAACCATGTCGACTATAGGTAGTGAAGAGTAGTGGATGCAATGCAATGCAAGAATTGCATGGAGACCACGTTGTGGTCACTGTACAGCGTAAAAATAATGTTGTTTACCTACCTAACTTGCCGTCTGGTAATAAAGCCAGGGTGCTGCTGGAACCTCGGAAGCTGAGCAACAAGAGCTCAAGGCACTAAAGCGAACCCTATTTCATTACACTGCAGGTCTACCTAGATTCTAGCGTGTATAGCCGAAGGGTTCAGGTGAGCTGCAACGGCAAAGCACCAGCGCTCGGGAGGCACAAAGTAACGGCTTTCCAGCCATGTTTCACTGAAAGGCCATGATATACTCGAAACGGTCGGTGGTGTTTGTTCTAAAGGCGTCGGCATCAACTACCTGATGAGATGTTGCGCTGCCTGATTGAAAGTGAGCAACGCAGGCGATACCTGGGTACGTAGTAGGTAGCTCGTTTTTCTTACCTCCTTTCAACATTCGAAAATTCCAAATTCCCGTATTGACTTATAAGTGGACCATGCTCGTAGGTATGTAGGCAGCTTACTCGGTGTATATTGTGCTACCTGGCTTTAAAAAGAAGCAACCGACTAGTTAGGAAAACACTAGCAGAGATCGTCACCCGAAAGACGCATGTCCTTGATTTTAGTATAGGACACTCAAGTGCTGCTTGTCTCAAAATGTACGAGAGTGGAACCATGAGGGGAAAGAAAAGTGCAAGAATCTGTAACGAATACTGCCCAAGAGACAGGCAAAACAAGGAAAAGGAGGCAAGCAGGCCCCATTTTCCCAGTAGCCGTCAATACTTGGTATTGAATCATACAGTTGAACGGAATCATGGTGCATCCCCGCGATACCATTCTCAAATGAGCAAGCGAACGCATATAATAGAACAACACAGATTGCTGCTTACACGGTAACCACTCACTGCTTGGTACCGCTGTCCGAAACTCGTATTGTACAAGTGTATCCGTTGATCGACTCCAGACAAACATTGAAATTCTACTCTATAGTCCATATCCGACAGGGCGGCTCCCTAACTACCGAGATTGATGCTTCAGTTGTCACAACAAACGGTTCCCAGCAAGTTGGGTCGTCTTCCGGTTTGGCTGGAATGCCCAAGGTCCAAGCCCTTCCCACCAGGCGTAAACTTTGACCATCCAGGACCCTGCTTTTTTTCCCCCTCCCATTATGTTTACTCTGCCTTTGTCAATCTATCGGCAAGGCTTGCCTGAGAACCACGATCCGGTGGGGTAATCCCATTTACCACTCTTATCGAAAGGGTTGATACCATGACATCTTTAGTCTAGGCAGGATACGTACGTAGTCAACGGTTGTATTTTGAATAAAGCGGGTGTCTATTCGCCGCAGGCTGGGTAATGTCATTGATGTACAATGACCCCGCCCAGGTTGACGTATCGATAGGTCCCATTTACACAGCAGGTCATGCAGGCCATATATGTTGGTAGTGGCTCAAGTGTCCATCATGACCGCAGGCACGTATAGAAGTCAGTGCGCCCCCCAACTAGCTTTGCTAGCAGATATATAACAACGTGAAAATATCCGCAAACCCTGCTCTCATACACATCAATTGATTTCTGGAGTATATTTCGTAAAAGACACGAGATGTGGCGGTACACGATAATCATCTGGATTAATCTCACTGCATTAGATCCCCGGCAGTTCGGGGCGCTGCACTGAGCCCGAGGTACTTCTGCGGACCTCTTCATTTGCTTTAAGCCAGTCCATAACCAACCGTTGGCCTTTGCTCTTTTTCTTGGGTCCCTCAATTCTGTTTTCGCGCCGAGTATTCGTCAACGCTACTTGCCACGTGCTTATGGATCAACTGGGAGGAAAAAAACCACACCAAAAGAGAAAGTTCTTTCCCCCTTTCTCCTCTAGTCGCTGAGCTAAGCATCTTTTTTTCCCAGGGACGATTCCACAATCTCAGCGCTTGGGAAGAGCAAGCCGGTCGCCGGGAGTGGTGCTAAACGCTCGAGCCCCCCCTTACCGTGAACATCATCATGTAGGGTAAGGCCATTTTGCCTACATCATCTAGCCCAATTAGATAGCTAAGCAGTAGAAACATTTTCTTGTCTGTTGAGCAGAAAACTCGATGGATTTCTGCAGCAAGATTCATGGCGCGGATCTGGATTTGGGGACGAAAGGAGAAGGGGTGACGAGGCGATGAGCAACCTTGACGTGGACTAGTGGGTCAATCGACGACTATAATTTTCAGCCGCCCGCGAATCGTCGCGTCGCGGGGGGCAAAGCAGTATGATACCGGTTGTGTCCTTCGAGTCTTCAGGCCCTTTTGTCTGTCGTCTAAGCCACTGGGTAGGTAAATGAATGAGTTTCTTGGTCGATCTCTTGGACCAGCGGCACTTTTCAATTGGAGCGTTACCTGATACCATGGTAGATATCTACTTATTTCCAACTTCCAACCTAGCTTGAGCATGCTTTCCATGAAGTTAATATTACCCGGCACTCTCGTCAGAAACGATTGGCATGTGCTCTTTTAGTAGAGATCGAGCGGTTGAGCTCAACGGCATAGATCGTTTGATTGACCCTTGGTCCCTATGGTCCTACTACATGAGATTTCCATATGCAAAACAGCTGTAGCCCAGGCGACTATTGCTTAGCAGGATGGTTGATGGCTCAGACGGCTTGGAATTAGCACCTGATCTACAGCACGCTACTTGGGTAGGCAGTCTTCCGGATCCATTAGTCTACAATCGACCAACCACAAAGGCAAGGAGTGTCCCTGCCAAAGCGAATTGCTGGCCGTACTTGGTGGTAAATCTTCTCTATGGTAGCAGTGATGGGATGGTCCTGGGTGTAGATCGCGCACGGTCATGAAGACAGAAAATCTGGGCAAAACCACCTATCATGGAGTATAGCCAGTGACGCAAGCTGTTGTTAAGGCATTTTTGATATAGTAGGTCATGCTCAAACGCAAAAGGCACACACATGCGTACAAGCAGCACATGCCCTGTACATTGCGCGCGCGCACGCACAAGCAATGATGGAAAGCCATGGGATGTAGCGCATCTACCGATCAGAACCCGCCAACAGGCAGCCCAGAGCAGGAGGAGGAGCTGCTGGGCGATGCTAATGTAGATAATGTAGGTATTTAGCACCTAGCATTTCAAGTTGGATCCCCTTGCTGCGCTCAGGGATGGGGCACCGGGGGAGTGCTGCCGACTAGGATCATTGGAGCATGACTCTGGACTTTTTAAGAGTGTCTGAACACTAACCTTGCAGGTACGTACATGATCACGGACCCCTGAACGGAAGTCGACATCCCTCCAGAAGGGGCCTGTCGACTCCACTGCTGCATGGCCATATGCGGTGCCCACCCAGTCACCCAGCCAATTTGTCCATGTATGCAGGCTGGGTAGTACATTGAAATCCTATCTGCATGTGCTCTTCTGGACAGGTACCTCTGCCGCCGCCGGGGACTGGGACTGGGACTGGGACTGGGCTGAAAACGCAGTGTACCTGCTCTGTACTGTTGGGGGGTAATTGAAGGTAGTAGGTAGGAAATACAGACCGTCGCTCCTCCAAGATCCAGGCCGGACAAAGAGAGGAAGTGAGTGAGGGAGGAGCGACGAGGGTCCAGATGCGCGCCAGGCTCGCCCATCATCTTTTCCTACCTTAATGTAGCGTATCCCCTAGCCAAAGTGGTCCGGCGGCTTGACCTGGACTGGCATACCTTGCTCTGGCAGAACGAGCTTCTCCAGTCACTGCAAATGAAATAACATCCCCATGATCCCCAGTTTTCCTCTTCTATCATACCTACCTTGTTTGATTGCCTCCTTTCAGACACTCGCTGGTGGCTCTTGGGGAAATTTTTTTTCTTCTTCTTCTATTATCCTCTTTCCTCCTTCCTTCCCTAACCCGCCTTGTGCGCCACAGCCATTGTAGCAACCACCAACTGTGTGTTTGAGTGAGAGAGAGAGACATTCAATCGGCTTGCCCGCTAGCCTAGGACGTGATCTCGTCAACAGCGACCAGAAGCAAGCAACGCAACGCAACGACGCACGACCGCCCACACGCCGCAGTCTCAGATCCGCCATCGCAAGCTGGGGTCGGCCTGTTCCGCAGTCTAAGAAAAGAATCAAGGCAAGACATAGTTCTGCGGATCAATTAGAAGAGGGGGGACCCCATTTCCTCCGCTTGTCACACGTTTTTTTCCTGCCGACAGACGACACTTGTTTTCTATTCATTTTTCTCAAACGTTTTCTGCAAAAACAAGCGGGCGGAAGAGGCTATCGATTCGTCAATTGCTTGCGACAATAGTCGAGTAAAAGGGCCGGTGCCAATTGGCTTTCAGTACATACACCCGCCAAGCAACATACTTAACGCACGTCGACTATTATCGGATGGAGGGAGTCATTGCATGATTGGTGCTCCCCTTCTGACCACCACCCACCCCGCCAAAGCAACCAAACCAGGGAAGCCCGCGCGCCCGACCGGTCTCCGACCACCACCGACCTGTTCAACGATCCCAGGGAACATCAATCCTTCGGGACTCAAAGCCTCACCCGCGATACACATACGCAAATCAAAGTCACTTTTTGTGATCTTGTAGTCTGACTCAACCTTGTCATAAGCCACGTGGAGGACTTTTTGTGCCACCTCGCCAGGCTGCTCCGATTTTACGCCCGCCATCTTTTTTGATTGACGAAGGAGAGAAAAAGCTTCCCACCCCCAATGCGCCAGCAGCACCACCTTTGAGCACTTACGTCGCCCGCATTGAAAAGTTCCAGACTGTGAAACAGGTTGCAGGGCATGCAGAACAATTGTGACACAGCCACCCTAAAGAAAGCAAAAAAATCCCATCTGGGACAAAAAACGTCTTCTCCACTGCTACATGCCGACCAGTCGGGCCTGGAGCTGAACTTTAATTTCCATCCCATTGATTTGGTAGTATATACTTCTCTCAAGTGATTCGCATCGCATCGCCCTCTGCCACATGTTTGGTCGGTCGGCCTCGAAACAAAGCGGATTCACAGGTGCATCGGGTGGGAGAGAAAATCGAGGGAGGGATCAGATTGGTGGTAACCTGCGCGAACTTGGAATCCTCGGCAGTTTATCCTCAGAATCTCGATCATTGCGCAGCCCTTTTAAGAGGAACAAACCACGATCACCACAAACTCCAGTTCAGAACGACTGGGATAGCGGGTTCGATTATCAACCTTCGTTTCCCGAAAAGAGTGAGTTCTTCCTCTGGCACTCAACGACCCGCGACCGTGCGCACATGCGCTCAGAGACGAGTTGCCGGCACGACCTCATGATCGCCACTGCACAACACGCGCCTCTCTCTTTCTCGTTCTGGGGCGCCGAAGACTCGCATAATCTATGCCCATTCACCTTGTCTGGTAGTAATAATTGCTGACTTGAAACCTCGCTTTAGATCACTCCATCTCTGCTGGAACTTCTCGCTCATTTCCCCAGCGAGCTCCTTCACATCGTTCGGTTGCTTCGATCAAATCGTCTGCCTCTAGGGATACTGTGAGACAGACCAGCCCGCGTTCAGCTACTGCAATGTCGAGCATGATGAGCGCAGATCGCACTCGTAACCGGCGGGAGCGCACTTTCGTCGGTAGCGAATGCGCTGTCTGCGAGGAGCCGTTGGAGCACACGCTTCGAGGAGAGAGGATTTTGCAGTTTTCTTGCGGGCATGTTTCGCACGAGGCTTGTTTCTATGAATTCATTCGCGAGTTCGAGTCGCAATACTGCCCATCATGTAATGCGCCGTTACATCTGGACACCAGCCGAGGAGGCAATGTCCTAGATATCGGTAAGAGCAGATCATACGATACTGCCCAGATCATTACTGACGAGGTTTCCAACCCCACAGAAAAGATCACAAGCATGGTGCGATCCGCATCTACTAGCGAAAGAGAATCGCAACATACAACGCCCCCCTCAGGCCCTTGGGAGGAGCCAATTCCCCATCACAGAGGCCCGTCACAAAGCAATGGACGCGATAGTGGTACTCGAGGAAGTTTGAGGGACAGCCGCGAGGCGCCTTCGTCATATGGCGCACACTCTCGTCACGGCCGTAGCGATAGCGAAGCCACTGGAGTTGCATCCTCGGGAGGCTACCCTGAAACAACACAGAGCGGACCTGCCCGGCGCCACGATTATGATCTTCAAGCCATGGAGACAACGCCCACGAGCCCTCAGAGGATATCGCGTAACCCAATTCCTGCACCGACAGTCACAGTCCGCTCGGAATTCCCAACCATAAGCAAGTCACGACAGCAGCAGACCTTGACCTGTCTCATTACAGTTGAAGTGCCCGATAATAAGTGGAAACCAGATCCAGAGGACCTTGGCTCCGTTGTGCCCGCTCCACCCACGCGCGGTGAAGACGCCTACGCCCAACGGCCGCCTTCACCAGCAAAGAGCAACAAGCCTCGCTTCTATCCTTATGAGTCGCCCGAAGTCTTGCAAGAGATGACCGAGAACTTGCGCGACCGCGTGGACAACTGGCATGGGCTGGACTTCAACAGGTTCGGAAAGCTTCGTCTTTACGGTACCTTGCGGGTTGGCAAGGACAAGGTGTCCTGGCAAGAGCTTGAGTGCTTTCTCTTTGCCGAGATGCTCATCTGCGTCAAGGAGAAGAGAAACAATGCAGCGGCCCAGCAATTGGACGAGTACGGTGCTCCGCGAAAGGCCACGCGTTGCACTCTCAAGGGTTCCATTCTCATCAAGAAGCACCTCAATGACGTAGCAGAAACTGGCTCCATTGACGAAAATGTGCTGACCCTGAGCCTGTCTGTTTCAGAGCTCCCGTCTTTCCATCTGCGATTTGACAACCGCAACCAGCTGAAGCTTTGGCAACAGGCGCTCCGGGACCTCAATGCAACAGAGGGTTCGCCTGTCCGGGGCCCCGACTATGAGCGTGCTGAGACGTCCGAAACAGATGAGGACGACTGGGGCCGCCAAGGTGGACCTCGCCGGGTGTCTGCTGCTTCTTCTGGCTGGGGCGGACCAAAGTCCACAACCACGGCCCCTACCGAGTATACAACATTTGCGAAGAGCCCGTTGTTTTCGTCGGTACATGTGCCAATTGATGTCGTCGTGGTTGTTCCAATCTCGTCATCAATGCAAGGGGTCAAGATTAACCTTGTCAGAGACGCCCTGAAATTCATGGTTGGCAATTTGGGCGAGAGAGATCGCATGGGACTAGTCACGTTCGGCTCTGGTGGCGGCGGTGTCCCCATTGTCGGCATGACCACCAAGGCATGGCACGGTTGGAACAATGTTCTGGCTTCCATCAAGCCTGTTGGCCAAAAGAGCCACCGAGCTGACGTGGTGGAAGGCGCCAATGTTGCCATGGATCTGTTGATGCAACGCAAGCACAACAACCCTATTGCCTCCATCATGCTCATCAGCGATGCCTCAACATCCGATGCTGATAGCGTCGACTTTGTCGTTTCGAGAGCTGAGGCGGCCAAGATTACCATCCACTCCTTTGGCCTTGGTATGACCCACAAGCCCGACACCATGATCGAATTGTCAACCCGGACAAAGGCCTCTTACACCTATGTAAAGGACTGGATGATGCTGAGGGAGTGTCTTGGTGGTTGCCTCGGATCCATGCAGTCACTGTCCCACCAAAACGTCAAGCTCAAGCTCAGGCTTCCAGAAGGCTCGCCAGCCAAATTTTACAAAGTCAGCGGTGCGTTGCAAGTTACCAAGCGCGCCACAGGTCGGGATGCCGAGGCTTCTCTTGGTGATTTGCGATTTGGCGACAAGAGAGACATTTTGGTGCAACTGGTCATTGTACCTGATACGACATCCCAGGATCAGTTGCCACAAGACCCATGGGAAACGATCGTCTCTGGTCTTGAGGCCCTCGGTGGACCTATGGACTCTGATGACCAGAGGACCCTGTCCGTCGAAGAACTGCCCCTCATCCAAGCAGATCTTGTCTGGGGCGATATTCTGCGGGAGGGCACCATGATGCATCTTCCCAGGCCCTCTCTGCTTGCAATTACCATGCTGCCACCTGTGGCAAGTTCAAGGAAGTCATCCTGGCAAAACAACCCGCCTATTCCTCCTCACCAGAGCATTGTTCAGCGACGTATGGAGTTGCTCACATCGGATATGCTGACACGAGCATTGACGCTTGTATCAAGGGGTCAGCATGACCGAGCTCATACTCTTCTCAACGAAACACGTTCCATATTGAAGGGACTGGGCAAAGGTGGACTGCCGCCTGTCCCGCCTCCACCTGGCAAGGCGCCTAGCTTGGGCTTGGAACCCGAGTCCGCAACACCTGATCGTAAGCACACGCCGTCGCCGACTGCCTCAGCGAATGGGTCTGTAAACAATGGCGTTGCCTCTAGTCGTCCCAATGACGGCCTTGCATTGAGTTCCTCTGGTGGCATAGATCCCGGCACCGTGGCCGCTCTCGACGCCGAACTCGAGGCGAGCTTGGAATGGATCAGCCACCCAGCTGTCTTTGGACGTGACAGTCGCAAACAGGTTCTGCAAGCCATTGGCGTTATTAGCAGCCAGCGCGCGTACACTTTCCGCACACCCATTGAGAGCCTTTGGGCTTCAAGAGTAGGTGGTGTCAAGAAGCTGACCGACAAGAGCCGCGAGTGGAGAGAGGAAGCCTCGGGTGAAGGCATCATTGAAGAGCCATAAGCGCCGCCTTGGCATCCTCAGCGTACGATCATACCGCCATTCACATTTGTTGCGTCAGAGCTCGCCGCAATTTGCAATTTCTCTGATCAGCGTCATATACTTCATTTCATTCTACCAACATATCCATCGGCCGCATATAATAGTCGGATCATACCCTATTTCTTTTACACAGAGACACTGGCCCACCTCATGTGGGGTGATACTCTCTGGGATATTTCATGTTATTCATATCAATGATACCACTTATCGATTTGTTTGCCGTGGGCCGCAGCATAGCATTGCACCTGTTATTATCTACGGCTGCCTTGGCTGAGGCAGAAGTCTCCTTGTTTTCCTTATCTCTTATTCTTATTCTTCTTCATATTCTCTTCCTTTCTACAATCACGATTACGCATTTATCAGTTCCGACCTCTTGGGAAAAGGCAGGAAGGCCGTGAGCTCGGACAACGACAAAAGGGAGTGGGGACACTATCGATTCATTTGATCGACCTAGTGGAAGGAATTTGGAGTTGATTTGGGGTTGTTTGTACAATGTGATGATGGAAGCTCTCTGGTATATAGAGAAAGATGGGATGCACGACGCCTGGAGTCAAATAAAGCTCAGTCGCCTATTGAACATATTACCTCGGCCTGTGATTTTGCCATTAGTGTTTTCCAGGAGATCTTGTGATTGCCACGTACGAGAAGTAAAATGCACCTGTTTGAGGTTGACAAAACGGAAAGCTAAAGCGCATGGAGTGGACGGGGGCAGAGTATGCCGATGGTCCACAGGGACGACTCCGCATGCGAAGGTCGGTAGTAAGATACGGGAGCAGCGAAGCATCGAACGCTGCCGAGTTGGAGTCGTCTCTTTCCCCGCATTCTGACGCACATGTCATTTAAGGCGGGATGGATGGAAAGAGACGGGGTAATTATTTGCTTAATTCAAGTGACTTTGTATCACAGTTGCTGTTTCTCTATACAAAATTTACGACATTGAATAATGATTGCAAGTTCAATCCACAAATTCACAGTGACTGCTAGACCTACACCACTATCTGTGAAGCTTTCGATCCGGTTACATAGTAGCAGGGCAATATCAGTACCACGCAGCTGGACCTGGGCTTCACGTACGGCTTATACTCGCCCTGGAGCAAACCTGCAGCTTCGGACTCAAACCACAGCCTCTGCATCTCTACGAAATCCATCACTCGGCATCCCAACACGCTCACCGGTGCGCAGCACAGCAGCGGCAGTCAAAGCAGACATGACCAAGGACAAGTACACCGAATTCACCCCGGAACACTACCCGCCGTTCCCGGATGGTCTACCCACGGTGGAACTCGAGACCATCTCGCTCAGCAGACTCCTCGAGAGCGCTCCGGAGGAGCAGAGCCGCATGTTTGAGGCGTGCAAGGGTAGGGGCTTCTTCTACCTCGACCTCCGAGGCTCCAAGGCAGGGCGGATTCTGCTCGAGGGCGCTGAGCGAATTGCCCGCGTCGGCGAGGAGACGTTTGACTTGCCTGTGGACGAGAAGATGAAGTATGCCCAGGGCATCAAGGCGAGGACACTATTTGGCTACAAGTGTGAGTGGAGAAAGCGCTTCTCGGATTCTGCTTTTCACATTTCTGCTGTCTCGGCTGCAGTCAAGTTGAGAAATCATATTACAGACTGAGGCTATACATGATATATGGAAAGACTAGGGGAGATGAGAACTGTACCAGCTGACAAGTACCTGGCGTTCTGGCCAAGAACAGGCGTCGGAGCAACCGTGACGGACAAGGCCGGCACCAAGGACACGGCCGAGTTCTTCAATGTAGCCAAGAACGACATGATTGTCGCCGACGATGCCATGCGGTATCCATGGCCGGCACCCGTGCTCGAAGCCAAGCCGCTGTTTCGCGAGTATATGCAGACGGCGCACGCCGTCGGCATGACGATCCTGGGCGCCCTGGCCGAGAAGCTCGGCGTCGACGCCGCCGCCATCACCAGCCAGCATCGCATCGAGGAGCTTGCGGGCGACCACGTCCGGATCACGCGGGGCCCGCCGCGGGAGACGGAGGATATGCCCGAGATTCAGACGCCTTCGCATACGGACTTTGGAACGTAAGTTCCTGGCTCTCTCTACTCACATTTGGGTTCTTCCAAAGAGAAGATGAGTATTTGTGCTTTTAAGACTATAAGCTGAAATGTTGTGGAAATATCAGTATTACGATATTGATGAACTGGCTCGGTGGTCTGCAAGTATGGTCCGAGTCGGCACGCAAAGCTCAGCTCAACAATGGCCAACCCGACTCACCGGGAGAATGGCTATGGGTAAAGCCCCAGAAGGGCTGTGCCATTATCAATCTGGGTAGGTGATACTAATAATATGCTCTCTCTCTTTCCACTTTGATAAGGCATGGGCAAAATGCTGACCACACTCTCTCTGACAGGTGATGCCGCAGTCAAGTTCACCAACGGAGTCCTGTGCTCGGGCCGCCACCGCGTCATCCCATCGCCGGGTACGCAGGGCAAGTGGCCGCGGTATAGCATCGTGTACTTTGTCCGGCCTGAAGATAAGTGTATACTGAAACAGTTGAGAGGCCCGGGCATTCCCGACGGACCCGAAGAAGAAGGGCTGACGGCGGCGGACTGGATTTATAGACAGGCGCAGGGACTGGGAACCAAGTTTGACAAGTGAAAACAGCAACGGACGGCCCCCATTAAGTTTCACTGTTTGGGGAGTCACATGAAGTGATGAACGAGCCACTATCTTGATAAACGGTGGCATGCATCAATGATGGGACGCTTTTGTCAAAGATTAATATTTGTTGCTTGCCAAAAAGATGCTTTGTGGCTGTTTCTCTCTCTCTCTCTCTTTTAATCCATGACAAGAGACTGCCTTAGAAGGTATCGACAAGTGACTCCAAGCATACAACACACACGGGCTTCAAAAATTGTCACAACCGGGGTGTCACAATGTGTAATGGACAGCTTCTTCTTCTTCTCTCCCTCCCACCTGCTTCTTTAGAGAAAGGTATGTTGAGCCTGCCTTCTTGTGCTAATATCTTAATAGTCTCCCGCTTTACTTTCAGAACATCGACAACACCAGTATGAGGCCGTCAAGGAATCATCGTGTGCTCTCTGAGCTGTAATATATGTTCATCGAATAAATAGATAGGACTTTGGAATGATTGATGTGTCTACCTTTAAATATTGCTCGTCTACTCCTGCCTCCCGTCTTGTTTCACTGTTGCTGTTCATGTAAAGTTTTCGTATGAGATGCTGGTTTTACTGGTGTTTTGTATTCATCTCGACTGAATGGCGAGTAGTAGCATCTAGTTCGAATGGCCCAAGTACAGCCGGTAAAAGGATGCCTAGAAAGTCTGGACACAACGCAGTTGCTGGCCGGGTACCTGATAATACATATATTTTGTACAAGTCCACTTTTTGTGATATTCTACAGCTTCTACCAGAGCTTGGTGTCTTCCTTCTTCTCCGTCTTCTGCTTCTTGGCCTTGACGAGCTTGCTCGGCGGCACTCTGAAGAAGAGCGAGGGCGACTCGCCGGGCTTGAGCAGGTGGCTCAGGTAACCCCGGTGCGCCGGGTCTCGGTAGTACTCAACGTCCCAACGGCTCGTCGGGTCGGGCAGGCGGTAGAAGAAGCCCTTTTGCCGCACCTGCTCCAGCACGGGGCCGACGTTCTCGGAGCCCACGGGCAGGGGCAGATCCGTGTTGACGCTCTTGCCCTCGACCAGCCTCTTGATGGACTGCCTTGTGTAGTAGCGGGTCACGACCTTGCCGCCGGCCTTTTCAATGGCCTCGATGGCGGCGGCCGAGACGCGCGACACCATGACGTCGATGGGCTGCTTCAGGGTGGTTGCGCCGCGGGCGAGGATCTTGACGCCGTCCTTGATGCTACCGACTAGATTTGACTGGATAATCTCCTTTGGCGTGATCTGTTTCGTGGGGTCGATTCGGCCCTGGTCTATCCATTCTTGAAGCTTGTCGAGGTTGACTTCTGACATGACGGGGGCGCGACTGAGAGGGTCCATGTTAGCATTGGTCTACTACGAAAAGACCTCTTTCCGTAAGAACTTGGTGTTCTAGCGGGGGAGGAAAACAGGCTATGTTTCCAGCGAGCGCAGAAGAAAAGACATACAGGTTCTCAAAACCCATGCGACCTCTAGAGTAGATCAAGGGCGTCTGACCACCCTGGAACCACGGATTGACCTTGCCATGCTGCTTCTGACCCTTGTGACCTCTTCCGGACGTCTTGCCCTTGCCCGACGAGGGACCTCGACCGACACGGACGCGCTTCTGGTATGCGCCGCGGTTGTCCCTGAGATCGGCGAGGATGGAGGCGTGACGGGTCTGCTGCACCGAGAGGGCGGCGAAGGCGCCAATGAGGGATTGCGACTGCGACTTTGGGGTCTCGAGGGCCGCGCGACAGCACTGCGCCGTGAAGCGTGTCGGTATCCTGGGAGGCATCTTGGGGCTGTGTGACTGTGAATTGTATGTGTTTGGAGTCAATTGCAGCTCCTACAACCACAGAGGCGTTCTGGTCGGTCCCCAGAGCTGTCGTACCAAGATGTTGAACCGAGACTCGTTCTCGATAAATTTTTGTGGCCCGTGCTTGGGTGCTGGTCTGTGCTGCCTCCAGCTCTGAGTGAGTGTCCCAAACAGTTGGATTAGTTTATATACTAATACTACTAAGCTCACTATTCCATTGGCTGCAACTAACAGTATTGACTCTTTTTTTGGAATACCCCGACTTGTAACAATATAATTCATCAACGCACCTTTGTCCAGGCTCGCCCAGTGTCTTGATTTGAACAATGATTGTACATGGACTAATCACATATCAAGTACAACCCTCCCCTTTGCTAGACTCCACTCAACTACGTTCTCGCATTGTTATTATAACACATTTTCATCGTGACTGTTGCATACTTTGATACTCCATTTTTCGTGGATTATTGACTGATTCGAATAGTTACTCTGCAAGTACACCTGCTCACCAATCATGGTCCTCTCCATGGCGGCTTTTTAACAACCTTTTCTTCCTTGGCTGGGACCTTTCTCTGCCCTCTTTCGGGACTTGTTGTCTTGGGTGAAAGCAAGCGACCACTGTTTTCATCCATTTTAGCCAAACATCGTCTACCTTCTGGATATGTCCCTCGAACTGATTCGGGAACATATAAGCCTAGATACAGTTTCATCATGATGATGGATGCAAACTTGGTCTCGAGCTTTTGCTCAGCGACAAGCTTTACTCCGTGCTCCACTAGTTCTTTGGGAAGATCGTCTGTAAAGGCACCAGGCCCGCTCTTGACGAGACAACCGCATTTCGTGGCCCTCTTCAAGCTGCCATGGCGAAACGTGATTCTGGCTGCGCGGCCATTTGCTCTTGGAAAATATGAGCCTTGACAGCCCGTGTGACTATTCCCAATCATGACTTGGGGCAAGCCATCTTTAGGGTCGTGATCGTACCCGCGATCAAAGATGCCGTCTCTTACCTCGGCATCGTCTTCTTTGGAAAGCACTTTGGATGCTCGAATACCATCCCGCTCCGGGTTGGGCCCCGCAAATGACATGTTCAGATCTAGTAACGGAAATTTATCCTTTTTTTTCTTTCTCCGAATGGAGAAATCCAAAGTTCCATTCTGGCATACCCTGGCAGAATTTATACTGGTCCAGTCAAAGCATGTCTTTTGTGCTCATGAGGCTGATCAAACCCAATCATACAAGGGCCAGTGATCCCCCCGGACAAAGTCAACGGGGCTTTGGCAAGATCCAGGCCTCGGACAAAGAACACATCACGAGGTCTCGAACAGTGCAACAAAGATTGAACACTCAATGTTATAGAACATCATAAAGCGTAACTACACTATGCAGCTTATTGATTGAGGACAAGAGAATTGTTACTCGGAATAAAGCCAGTTTGGGTAGGCCAATGATTATAAAATCATGGGGCACCCTGACAAGTATGATGAACAACAAGAACAATACAACACTAAAGAAAGAAGGAGGAAAGAAAAACTCAAAAAAAGTAAATACTAGGAAAATAGCATTATGGCCAACGTACTCGTACCTGCCAAAGAATGGATCCACCCGGCTCTGAGAGAGCCGTGTCCGACAGCAACCGAGGAGCAGTCGGCACTAGAGTATGCTACGCCATTGATGATCAAGTATGCCTACGAAAAGTACCGATACAACCTCACTCCCCGCGAGGTGTACGAGATTCTGTACGAGGGTTGCTGGGAGGGTGTTGACGACTTTGTCGAGTACATGCAACAAGACATGAGCCCAACTCCCGAGGGTCTGCGCGTGTATACATTTGAAGAGGTAGACGCCATGGATGCAGCCCTGCGCAAGGGAGAGTGTGCTGAAGAAGAAATTATTGAGGATTTCGATGATGAATCGGAAGACGACGAGGAGGAGCAGGTTCGTAACATCCGCGATGTGCTCGAAGATGGTGGAGAGGATACCCAATTCTTTTTCCGCATGTTGGAGCGCGACGAGGAAGATAATGAGACTGAAGAGGACTTGATGCCACTCGATCCACTGCCGCTCTATGAGAGCCAATGTGGAGACGATGAAGCCATCCTTGAATCAGACATGCCTCCTTCCTTTTCGCCTGGGCCCGCTCCTCCCGAGTATACCGCCCAAGCCTTGGTATTGTCTTGTCACGATCAAGTAGTCGAGAATGAAGAAGACTTAGTGGCTACCATCGTTGAGGATTATTACTCCGAGGTTGACACGGAAGTCGAGGTCGACGAGAGCGTCAAAAGTGCCCAGGAGCCTATTCAGAGCAGTGCCATTTCGCAGTTCTGGCCATCGCCTCTTGGTACTGCTGGGTGGACGCAAGACAAGATCTCGAATTCCCGACGTGTATTTACATCGACTGCAGTCAAGGTCGTGCCGGCCTTGGTGATTATGGGAACTCTGCTTTGGAGAGATCTGCAGGGAAAATCATGAACCGATCGTTGGACGTTGATGGCTGAGGGATTATCGATTATCGATTTTGTTTTCCTTGTTTACACGTAGGCTTTTCATAGCCATCAAAGCATTGTCCTTTATTATAAGTCATTATTTGAATTGTAAATCACTTAGTGATCCTTGTATAGTGTTCAGTAATGTGGTTACGGGCAAAGTTCATCCCGAGCTTGTCAGGGACAAATTCAACAGGAAATGCACTGCCAGAGTCTTCATTTTTGCCGCTGATCTACACTGATCTGGATTGTCTTGTCATTCAGGCCCGAGTAACATGGTGCATATTCACTTCATAATAGTAAAGGCCTGGTATTGTTGACCACATGATCAGCAACGATAAAATGGACGCATCTCAAAATATTTTCGACCTCGGGTTTCCAATGAGCTATTGAGTCTGAGTGACCAGAACTGCTTTGCCGAAAGCCAGCGGATTCTGGGGCCCCGTTCCTTTAGGAGAATACGGGTTCCACAATCATGGGCCAAGGCTCTCGTGTGTCCCTGGTCGGCACCGAAATAGAGCACCTTTGAGAAAGGGTGCTTACTGGGAAGGAGAGCCCGATAGTTTCAGAAATCTCACAACGTCCCACATCACAGTTGAGTAGACAGCAATATCCGCTTTGGACCGCATGCATTGGTTGAAAACAACTTGGAGATCGTCATGAACCTCTGGTGTACCCTCGGTTGTGGGCTGTCAGATGCCGTTGACCCGGGCGAGACTTATGACCAATGTCGTCTGCCGCAAAAAGAAAATCTACTACGCCAAAAGAAATCACTTCTTCTCTTTCTCCTGCCTCCCTTTGGCTATATAATTTGTTACTGACATTGAGAGGATCACAAAGACAGAAGAATAAAAGAAGCCTTGGGCTGGATCATATGACCCACCTTGAAACAAGCCTAACCTAAAGTTTTCCACTGTATCGGTCGGCTGGTCCCGAGGTGACATCGCTGATCGTATACTCGTTCGGGGCAGTCAGGTACCCGTTTCCCGCAGGACAGTTCAGCGTACTGTCAAGTCTATAGCAGGGATCCTCGCTTACAATACGAGCTTCCAGCGAACTGCTAAATCAAGATTGATTCTGATTGAAAAGGAAGCAAATCATCAATGATCGGGATCTCAAAGCCCCATTGAGCTAGAGCTAGCGGCTAATTTCTGCCTGCTCAAGTCCTCTGGCCTTTAGGTAGATGCCTCTCTAGTGTGCGGCACAGCTGCTGGGAGCTTGATCCAAAACAGGCCTTTGTCGTCGTCCCATTCGTCTGTCCGGGCTGTAGACCGACCCTCTAATTACGGCCCGTTTCTTTTTGCATCCTTTCGGACCCTTTGTAGGTTAGATACATGTCCACTATGGGTAAGATTTTGTTCCGTGTACCTGATCTAATTATAAGTGTAAAAACAAAAATGCTAAAGAGAATTAAACTAGTCTTTCCCCCCATGTCTTGTCGTCTCCCTTTCTGTAGCCAACTCTTCCCTTAAAACAACGTCGTGCCAAGCACCAACCATATTGTAGCCTTCAATTGTTTACTCTTCGAACCATTCACTCATTCATCAAAAGTCAACTATCGTCAATCGCTCTTCTTTCCTCGATACATTTTTACTTTCACCTAAAACAAACAAAGCAAGCCATTGACAAGATGAAGTCTATTTTTTGCCTCTTGCCTCTCGCTGTCGCCGTACTTGCCTCCTCCGGGGCCGAGGAAACAGCTGCCGAAGATCCCATCAAGGGCACCGACACCGTTCATGGCTGCTACTCTTCCGTCGGCGAACTGACGTTCAACAGCACCAATGCTTTCAACGGCCAAGGCCTCTGCAGTACGTATTGCAGAGGTGGTGGCTTCGCCGTCGCCGCCTCCCAAAGCTCGGATTGCTACTGCGGTGACAAGTACCCGCCAGAGAGCACATTGGTCGACGATTCCGAGTGCAACGAGCCTTGCCCGGGTTTTAGCGTCGATGCTTGCGGCGGTGCTGATACCTACACGGTCTACAACACTGGTGAAAAGGTCAATGTCGATTCTTCATCTGATGTAAGTTTTTATCACAATATACTACTTTGTTCGCTTACATACACACCTGAACTTTGCTCACATGTCATGACTAGGACTCCACGTCGTCTTCGGCATCAGCATCTGGCAGCACTACCATCAATACTGCCGCCTCTACTGCCGTCTCAACTGGCACCTCGGCGGCCGCAACGACGACAGGCTCGGCCTCAAACGGTACGGCCACCACTGGTACCACTACCTCGACCTCTGCCACTACTGTCATCACAAACGCCGCTGTTGCTCAGCTTCCCGTTCTCGGCCTCAACTTGGCCGTCTTGGGTCTCGGCGCTGCCGCTCTTGTATTGTAAACTATGGCTTTTCAGCAACGCTTGTAATCTAGCTTGGGAGCACATCTTCCCCAAAAGACTTTGCATAAAAGACTTCGTACATTGTGTACCGCATATGCACATTACACATATCATCATATGAGTCAAATAGCATTCCCAAGGATTTTTTGTGCAATAAATGTACGTAATCGAGCTTAAGTATAATGATATCTTCCATTTCCGAGAGTCACGCAGGGGCTCTTGTTTCTGGACAAAAAGACTTGAAATCTTAATTTACTCTGAATATACATGCTCTTGTCGACTCCTTGTCAACGACAAGCATATGTTAGGATTTCTCATAACGCTATATACCTGTATATACAATGTTGATGCTGTGGCATTATGTTGCAATAATGCATTTTTAATAATACAGGACTTCGTGGTCCAGTGGACTTGGAATACCAAGTCGTCTTCCATTAGACAATTGCACGATCGCCAGCTATAGCTTCCCATTCTCTCTGTAGCACCAATGATTTCTTCTTTTCCCAAGCTCCTACACTTTTCGAATCCTGACTAGGCGCCCTCAAACCCTCCAGCCGTGCCATCTCTCGTGCAGCATTATTGACAGCGGAAACGGCTGCTTTTCGAGTCCAGATATACTTTTCCGGATCCGAATCGTCGAGCAAAGACGAGTACAGCAAGGCTGCCTCGGGCGCGTCTAGCGTCTCGGCAGAGTACTTGAATATATCCTTGGCCCTTTGCGGGTTCTTGAGGCGCAGGTAGACCTTGCCCATCTCGACGGCGCAGGCACCTTGCCACTCCCACGCCCCGGGTTCCTCGCCGCCCAGCGACGCTGCCAGACGGAACCACTCGAGCGCCTTCTTGTCCGTCTCGGGCGTTGACTTGGCCATCAGGATCATCCCTTGCAGCGTGCAGGCATTTGGATCGTCTTTGCGCCGGACCAATGCCGCAAACTTTTCCTCAGTCTCTCTGAATTGTGGCTGTCCCAGCAAATTTCTCATCAAGGCCAACCGCGTCATGGTCAAGATGCTCGGCGTGTAGTTTAGTGAGACCAGTGTCGTGTAAATGTGCAAGGCAATTGGAAAGGCAGGACCTGGAGACCCGGCGATTACCATGGCTGCCATGTAGTGGAGCGTTTCATAGGACAGTGAGTGAGGAGGGTCCCTCAGAGTGTTGCGCCAGCCCGGCCTGTCGGCAATGGCCAGGTCGACATAGGTATGAGCGGACCTGAAGCAGTCTTCTGGGTCCAGGCCCGAGACGAGAGGCGGCCGTGCCCTCTCTTTCCAGAATGCCAATTGGGGGACGTCCGTCTGTGAGAAGCGTACTTTGGCGAAGGAGCCGCCAGCCTTGATCCTGGGTCCTGCGTCGCAGCGTCTGGTCGTAGAGAAAGGTGAAATCGAGGTATACTGATGCACACTTGCTGACTCCCAGATGTTCAACTTTCCCCGGCATGAAGAAGGTCGCAGACACCTCGAGTGCCTCCTTGCTAGGCTCGTGAACATGATGCTGCCTCTGCCCCTATGTAGGGATTGTTTCGCTCCCAAACGCCCGATTGTTCACGAGCTGTCTCTTTTTGCTGTATATTGATCCACTGCCAAAGCGAATTTTTAGCATCAACTTGAAATCCTCGTCGTTGTGATCATGTTCATGTTGTCCTTCTGGAGGATAGTGAGTGTTGCAGAAGTAGAAGTGTATGCAAGTAACCCGTATTATGGGACTTCAAGGTAGAGGACCGTCTTATCTTATCGGCCCGCTCCGCCCCAGAAAAAAAGTTGGGAGGAACGAACAAGCAGAAGATGGCCGACACAATTGTGGGCAACTTTTGACGACCAACCAGTTCTTTCGCCATTGTCCTCGACTTTTTCCAACCAGCGCGGCCTCTGAACGTTGCGCAATCATTTAATTGCCCGGTCCTGTCACCATGGCGCCTCTCACTAGAAGAAGAAAGGCGGCTCTGGACAGCCCTCAGCAGCCTTCAAGTGCCCCACCATCGTCGGCGGCATCGAAATCCAAGCGCAAGTCAATCTCAGAAGAGGCAGAGGTCTCGGCCGACGAACAAAATACCGACACGGTTACGCCAAAGCGCCAGAAGCTTGCCGTCCGCACCACAAAGGATCAGACAAAGACGCCCACCAACCAAGAGCCACATTCGACGGTCAAGTCGAAGCGCAGCCGCGACGCTCTGGTGGCCGACTCGGACGACAGCGACGATGCCGAGCCATTAAACACCCCATACCAGCTCTCAAAGCAGCTCGAGGAGGACGCCAATCAGCAATTGAATCAGGAGCTCAAGGCTGCGCAGTCTCAACAATCGAAAGCTGCTGCCGCGCCCGCGAAGAGCAATCGCATTGTCTTTGGCGACGACGATGATGTGGAGCAATATGTAGCCGCAGCTGCACAAAAGGCCGAGAAGGCCAAGGATGCCGAAGAGGAGGCAGAGGAAGAGGATAGCGACGATGAGGCACCCGAAGCCGTGACGGCTTCCGCAGCAGCGCAGGAGTCGAAGAAATTGGCACAGGCTCAGACAGACGCAGCAGAACAGTAAGCCACGGATCTTTGTAACTAGGTGCTAGTTTATCACCTACTAACAACATGACGCAGACAAGCTGCAAAGCAAAAGAGAAAGCGCCAAGACAGAGACAATGCTCTTAAACAACAAGCCCAGAAGCGGAAACGGGCAAGCAAACCAAGTCGCGACACAGCAGATGGCGACGACGAGGACAAGGTGACAACCGGCCGTAAGAGAGCCGAGAAGTTCAACCTGCCAAACGAGCTGCCCGCAGAATTCTTGACGGACTCGGAAGACGAAGAGGAAGACGAGCGGGATCTGAGGGTGGTACGAAAGCCCACAAAGATCAAGTTTGACGACGCAATGAACGCGCTTTCCAAGGAGGGCAGAGCGCCAAAGGACGAAATTGTAGGCTCCACGGCATACAGGGTCATGATGGATGAGGCCGATCAGACGCTCGCCCCAAGAGCAAACCAAAACTCCAAGAGCGTAAAGGAAATGCTGTTGCATCGTAGAAGAGTTGGTGTAGCACCAACCAAGGCCAAGGGATTCTTCAAGCGCAGGTAATAACAACATAATCCAGATACAAAAGAGATAATATTTTTTCCAATTACTCACGAGACCAACATGTGCCTACCGTGGCCAATGCATGTCGTCTATCAAGAATGTGGAAACCTTGGAAAGAAACTCGTCTGTCTATCATATAGCCATATTCAGATGACACAAATCTAGCGTTCTGTAGTAGAAGCCAGACTAGTCCGGGCTTCACTCAAAAATATCACGTTTCAGCTTTCCGATATTAAGTCCATCATGATGGTCTCTGCTGGCATGTGAGTACTTTTCGCCAGCGATCTGACCTGCGGGTACATCACTTCTGAGGCTGAAGCAAGCTGGCTACCCACGCGAGAATGTGATGAGCTTGTCCAAACTTTCGTTTCCACTCCCTTTTTTGTTCTCTGCCTTGACTGTGGAGAACGGCAGGGAAAGATTCAGTTCCTGGCCTATTCAAACAACGAAACACTGTCCTCAATAATAGCACAAACCAAAATGCCTTTGGCTGTGTCAAATACTATATAGAATATCAATGTCGTCTAGAGAAGAGCAATCTGTGATACTTTCTTTTTTGTGTGATAAGAAGCCAAGATACTCGGCTCATCCTGACTGTATACAAACATGTAATGAGACATTCTATGTAATGAGGGGGTTTTTCGCCAAAAATCAATCTGTTGCAAGCAAAATGTGTAGGAGAGGAGAGGATTTGCTGCAATGAGTATACCTATACTCCTAACCCCCTTTGCCTTGCACCAGCTTACCGCGTTTCTCGAAGAGGAGGGGGTGGGGGAGAGGAACTGGCATGCAGGTACCAGTGCGTCGCCCGCATCCACAGACACCAACATGTGCCTGATCCGATCGCCTCTGGTGGTGTTAATATTGCAGTGAAACGGATAACAAGGTTTATGAATCGCCCGCCTGCGCGGCCAACTAAGCGGCAACCCAACTTTCACTGCAATTTTAATTCCAGCAGAGGCGATCAGCATTGACTCAAGTCGTACGAGGCACAAGAGCAAGCCATGATGGTAGGTTTGAAAATCATATTCTCTTCGTAAGAATAGTCCTAGACTCATAAGATAACTGTAAAATGAAGAGAGGTAAATGAAAAACTAAATGAAAAACTGATAAGATCAACATGTCCAAAATCTGCGACTTGCCGCCATGGCGCCAGCCCATTTATGCAACATTGTTAACCTGACGATGAGCATGGTCATATGCGACCTCGCCCGTTGAATTGATGAGCTACCAATGACTTAGCTCACAATGTCTAATGGGTTTTCAGATAGCACCACCACCGGGTGGCCTGCAATCAGGCGACCGCCCGAGCCAGTCTGGTTCCCCTCGAGGGCATTCTGCATCTGAGACAGTCTTGCGGCTTCGCGTCCACGTTCAAGCATTTCATGTTGGTACTGACCCAGAACATCCTTGATATTCTCAAAGTCAAGTTTCTCCATTTTGGTGATCGCTTTAGAGAGCATGATGGCATCCCTCATGGCGTGGTAGCCACCTTCTCCACGGACTGCATCCAAAGTATTAGTATTGATTATGTATGCTCGCAGACACAACGAAGCTGACTCACAGGCCGTCATTGAATGCGCGGCATCACCCAGCAGAGTGACGCGGCCGATTGGCATTGTTGGCATGACCAGAGTGGAAAAGCGGATACCAGGCGACTTCATGTGCTCAGGGGCAGTCTTATCCATCAAGACTCTAAACTGCGGGATCAAAGTAGCCGCTTTCTGAACCATGACGTCGTACAGCTGCTTCTTGGTGGCAGAATGGACCCAGAAATCGTCTGCGCGGGCGGCCTCGTCCTTCCACAGCATGTGATGGTAGAAGCGGCCAGACTTGCCGTCGGGCGCAATCTCGTCGAGGGCGGCAAAGTACCACGCGCGGTTGCCTTCCGCGTCCTTGAAGTCGACGCCCCAGATCGAGTGGCCGAGCTCCAGCGCGGTTCTCATATCGTCGCCACTGAGCACAATGTTGTCTGCGGTTACCAGGGCTGCTGGCTCCCAGCGCAGCAGATCGTTCTGCTTGCCGAGGAGCTGCTGTCTCACTGTGAGTGTGTCCAAGTTAGCTTCTTTCGACAACATACAAATGATACACTAGGATGTTACTTTACCAATGCTGCGAGATCCGTCGGCGCCCACGAGAATGGAACCAGTCGCAGACGTGCCGTCTTGGAACTGAACCGTCACAGAGTCTTTTTTTTCCTCGAGCGTTTTGGCCTTCTTGTCGTACTGCACGGGGATATTGGTTGAAAGCCACTCTCGTAGGCGGCGCCGATTTGCTCGTATGATCTCACCGTTGCCCTCATCACGCACGCCCAGCTTCCTGGAAGCATCTTGGGGATAGAAGGCGAACTCGGGGACCAGATTCAACGGCAAGATGTTGCTTGTGACTTCGACTGGAGGAAGATCATTAGGCAGGAGACCTTTGAGCTCGTCCAGCATACTGATTTTGTCTGAGCTTGTGCCAAGGCGGTATTGTTGTGGGAGATAAGCTTACGAGTGGATTGCGATGGACCATCCTTGCAATCTGTCGTGGTCGTTTTCGTCTCGTTCGAAAATCTCATAAGAGATTCCCTGTTTGCGCAGCAGCTGAGCCAGCAGAAGTCCGCCGATGCCTGCGCCGACAATGAGGACATGTGGTGGTGGAGACATGATTGGTTAGATGCTGAAAGTCTTGTATGCGATGGTGTCTAGATTATTTGTGGCAAGTTTGAGGATAAGGAAAATGAAAGCAAGCACTTGCGTGCCATTCGTGAGCCTTTATAGACAGTCGTGGTCCCTTTCACGGTCCATCAAGTTGTCCAAAGGTCCCATCGCTGGAAGCGGACATAATGAAAAATCCAAATCAACTGATCTCCGAAAATACGCATGAGAAATAAGACGGAATGAGATTGCAACGACACCGTTCTTCGCGCCCGCACTATCATGGGAAATCCGCCAAGCCTATACACATTCTGTCTATACTAGAGAAGAGCTATAGGCAGGTCACAGAGCTGCTGTTGGTCATTACTCAGCACCGCAAGTTTATAGTTGGAAATCAAATCTAATGACATGTATCTATTGGGGCACAAATGGACTTTAGAAAAGTCCGAATATAATGAATGCAGTTTGCCCTTGTCCGATCCAAATTCCCATACTATTATCTGCTAGTGGGTACCCCCAACTGTTTTCAATATATACGAAGTACCTATTTAGGCGGCCAAATCACGGTAAGGGACAAGTACTCCAAGGCAAATCGATGACACGCAAAACAGAGCTGCCTGCCAAAGTGGTAGCTTTGACGGTGGGGCTATGACGGTCTTGAGAACACGGGGCGCGGAGGCAAGATTAGTGCCGAGTCGCGAGGACCGGTACGGAGCTATATGAGGCCGTTGAGACTGTTCAGGTGCCGAATGTGGGACTAATAATCCCGGTGAGAGTCTATAGTATACGTACCTATTCCACTCCGCAATTCAATTTCGAAGTCCCGTCTATTATTCCGTCAAATGCGCTCAATTTCACAGCCATGCCCTCGCTTCGTTGGGCCCAAATGCATTCATGCCATTCGCAGGCTCTATTATTCCCCAAGCTATCTTCTATTGCCAGACGGCAGTGGCGAGCGATTGAGAAAAACCCAAAGACATTCGTACCGCTCTGTCCTGCAGAGGGCGTTATATTATATCTAGCAATACAGAAGCCTGCTTCATACGATTCATTGTCATAGGTTCGGCGGGCGATAAAGGCCGGATTCTGTACAATTTAGGAGGCATACAATATGGAACAGACTGACATGACCCTTGGGTCCCTGCGGTACTTTCAATATAAACAATATCACCTGCAGCGAAAGTAGCAGTGGCACAGAATTTTTCAATCTTCTTCGCCGCGTTAATTATTGTCATTACAATTGCAAATATAGCTGTGAAGAGGATGACCTACCCAATCCTCTGAAATATATTTTCTTCTAAAAAAAAAAAAGTACAAGACTAGGATGACGAGCGTGGGTAGGACGGTGGATAAAGCCATAACTATCCCTTCTCCAACTCGTTTAGTGTTCTTGGGAGCGTAGTAGCGGATCTTTCCATTGAGTTAGGTATCTTTTCTTCGAGGACTGCTATTATAGTGACGAGGACACGGCAGCATGCGTGGACGAGGTCCATGTATAAAGAGAAAAGAAAAGAGAAGAAAAAGCGCGGGGCATATTTTTTTTTTTTTTGGCAGAGAAGCAGCGTTATAGCCTTTGCGGGGGGATAAATTGCAGTGAAAAGAGAGCACAAGGCAGAATTTTCCGATGGCTGTCAGCCTGTGTGATGCGTGAAGCCCGGGGTGGCCACGGCGCCAGCTTACAGCCATGCCATGCATACATGGGTAAATAGCCCTCCCTACGGGAAAACCTAAATAATGCATCCATCTTTCCACCACTACATTCACCACCAACGGTGCCATATCACTGTGCTTGTTGTTGTTGTTGTTTGGGGGGGGGGGGGGGGGGGGGAGAGATGAAGAAGAACGAGTCGGATTTTTAGAGAGCAGCAGCGTCACAGCCGAAGCTGGAAGCCTCTGCGGGGAGTTCTATAATAACAAAAATAAATTGATCATTACGACCTTGAAAGATACAAATCTAGTAGAAGAAAGGTAGAGACTACCATGTAGGCAGCTAGAGCCTCTCTCCCACACAGACTCTTAAGCATTATTGATGCAATACCCGTGTAAATATTGTTCACTCTTCGGTCGGTGCCGGTGCCGGTGCCGGTGCCTACTTGGAATGTATGGAAGGGTCTCGAAGATCTCATTCTTGCACTCACCAGCTGCAGTCTTTCTTGACATGAATCCCCCAAGATTGCTGCCAACTTCAATCCTTATGCTTGTTTTTTTTTTTTCCTTCTCCTTTTTGTAGAAACGATTTCGGCAAGTATTCAGCCATGGTCGGTTACCAGTAAAAGTATCTAAGATCCCGAGAACAGAAATTATGTGTATACCGGGACACTTTATTTGCATTTCCAGCTGAGCACATCAGGTACCTAGCTACGACGAATATTGTCTAATAACAAAATTGGTATTGAGGTGAATATATCTTATTCACACGATATCGTATCATAGTAAATACACACGCTAGATCTTGGATCTCTAAAGTCTATATACAAGTCTGAAGAATTGGAACAGAAAAAAAATATTCTTTTAACCATGCCTGGGCCATTTATTGCTGCAATTTATTGTTTTAAGCAGCAACCTGGAGGCTGAGCGTAGTGCTAGCCTTCAGATCCCGGGAGCTGGTACCGACGGCGAGGGTATAGTCACCAGAGGCAATAGCCCAGCCCTGGGCGGCGGTATCCCAGTAGCTCAGGTCGCGGCGGCGCAGGGTGAAGCCGACGTTGGCGGACTCGCCGGGGGCAATGGTGACCTTTTCAAAGCCGCGCAGTATGCGAATGGGCTGCTCGGCCTCGTCGGGGAAGGAGACGTAGAGCTGGGCGACCTCGGCGCCCGTCAGGGAGCCGCTGTTGGACACGCTGGCCGTGACGTTGACAAGGTCGTCCCAGAGGTCCTCCTGGCCGCCGAGCGCCATGGCGCCCGAGGCGTACTTGTAGGACAGGGCCGTCTCGTTGACGACAGTGGCCGTCACGTCGGTGCCGTAGGTGAAGTTGGTGTAGGACAGACCGTGGCCAAAGGGGTAGCGGACCGTCATGTTCTGGGCGTCGAACCAGCGGTAGTCGAGGTAGACGCCCTCGGTGTAGTCGCACTGCTCCTCCTCGCAGATGTTGAACTCGGAGGGGTAGTCGCTGGCGTTCTTGGGAATGGTGTAGGTGAGCTTGCCGCTGGGGTTCACGTCGCCGTACAGAACATCGGTACTAGTGAAGAAGTGTTAGCTCTGTGATCTATTGTGGTTTTACTTTTGGCTTCCCAAAACTTACATGGCATTTCCGGATTCCTGGCCCAGCAGACCACTGTAGAGGACAGCGGTGACGTTCTCGTGCTCAATCCAAGCGTCGAGAATACGAACACCGACAGTGTTGACAACCACGATGGTGTTGTTGCAGTTGGCAGCAACGGTGGTGACAAGGGTGTCCTGCTCAGTGTTGGACAGCTCGCTGCGGTCGGCGCCCTCGCCGGAATCGGCATTCATAAAGACAAGGCAGGCGGCTGAGTTGGGGGCGTAGTTTGTGATGGACGGTGACTGAGCAGTACCGGAACCAAGGTTGCTAAGGTTGGTGCTGCTGCTGCTGTCGCCGCCGCCTCCCATGCTCGAGCTACTGTTGCCGCTGTCGGTTGGGCCACCACTGTTTGAGTGAATGATTGTCAGCTTGTCATTTTCGTTTATATTGAGAAATTCAAGTGCATTTCAATTACTGCCAGAGGGAAAGGAAAGGACAGTTAGCTTACGTCAAAGTGCCATTGGTAGTGCTGTTGTCTCCCATTGTCGGCATGCCGCCACCGCCGCCGAAACCACCTCCTCCGCCAGAGGAGGAAGTAGAGTCCGTGTAGGTGTTGTTCAGGATCCTAGAAGGCCGATTTTAGTAAACTGAACTGAGAGAAAGTGTAGGAATCTTTTCTACATACCACCAAATCATGGAGCGGTCGGAAATGGCGCGGGCAGAGATTGCCTGGTAAGGAGTCACGAGGTAGGGGAGAGAAGGCTGGCCGGAACCTCCAGATCCGGCAAGATGACCTTGGTATGTGTCAGAGGGAGTACCAGCGACACTGAAGGCTCTGTTCGGGCCACCCATGGCAGGGCCAGCATGAGCTCCAAAAAGGGAAACAGTTCGGGGCTTGTTCAGGGGAAGACCACGACCAGTGCCATCTTGGGTGTTCTTAAGGAGGACTACGAAGAGTTAGTCGCTGCGGAAATGGGTAGTGTTGAAGGATGTTTTACCGATTGCCTCATCGCCAACGCGGCGGATAACATCCGCGTGATCTCCACGGACATCACGGAACTCGTCAGTGCCCATTTCCGAGGGCTGAAGACCGTCGTCGAGTCCAGCGTAGTAGTATCCGATGACGTTGCGGACAGCCATGTCATCCAGTCTAGCTTGGGTAAAGCTACCGTTGGCAATACCAGCCTCGAGAATGTCTTCGGACCAGAGCGAGGAAGAACCGAAATCCAGACCACCGTTGGCAGAACCGTATGATGTAGACTGTGCAGACACATCAGGGAAAACCATACCGGGGAAACCCACGGAAGACTTCAAGTATTTGTTCAAGGTATCCGAGTTCTCGCAGGACAGGGTGTTGTTGATCTTGTTCATTCCACACATGGCGGCCATCACTAATAAGAAAAAAATTGTCAGTACACAATCGAGACAATGTGAACAACCATGGACAGAATCAACTCACAGCCAGACTTGACACCATCGGCAAAGGGCCACAGGTAGACCTCTCGGGTGGTCTTGTCGTCGACGTTGCTCGAGTACCTGTTGGTGCTGGATCGGTTGGTTTCCTGCTCGTTGAACAGGTAGTGACGGGCTCCGGTAATGACACCGGCACTGTTCATTCCCTCAACTCCCAGACCCACGGCAACACCATTGAGGTACGGGTCAGGGCCGTAGCCTTCGGGGTTACGTCCTCCGTATACCACACGGCCCATGGGACTGGAGACGGGGCCGTCAATCAGGTTGGCACCAGCATCGTAGAACTCCTCTCCAAGAGCATAAAAGTTCTCCCGGAAGAGGGTTCGGTTCCAAGTCATGGCGAGAGCGGAAGGTGCCGTGAAACCTGAAACGAAAAAGTTCTGGTTGATACCAGCAGCGCCGTCCTTGGTTACCAAGGCCGTCCATGTCGCATTATCATCTGTGAGGTCTCCGCCAGTGATGATGGTGATCTTCTGGGCGTTGGTCAGGGTGGAGACAAAGGCAACGGCCTTTTCATATGCGTCGGCGGCAACGCCCAGGTCCAAGTTGCCATCTGACAGAAGCGTGGGCTCGGAGGCGGAGGTGGTATTAGTGGAATTATCAGCACACAAGCCACTTGTAAAGAGTGAAAGCGCCGAAGCGACCTTGAAGGCCCGAGGACCCTTCATGATGAGAGAATGAATATACGTGATAGCGAAGTCTGTCCGTTGAGAGAAGGGGGATATTCTGGGGAGTCGTTTCTCATGCTTGACTTATATAGATATATCTTGGCGGAGCCCTGAGTTATGTTTCCACAATGTTTCTCAGCGGAGGGCACCGTCGTCCCAAGGACCTGTGTGTAATGATCCCAAAGCATGATCCCTACCATCCGAACTCGTCTCATGGCGAACGAGAAATCCCACATGGCCTTGCCCATGTCTGAATGGAGGCGGTCTCGGCAGGCCTGGGAATAGTGTGGATAGGCTTCGACGATGATCTTCATAGAAGTTCCCGATCAAAGCTTGGCATTGTCATCCCGGTCTATGGCCATGACGGCGCAGGGTGGTCTCTTGAAACTTGAAACAGGGATTTTTGTGTGTGCCTTTTAGCGCCATGATACATTATTTCATAGGCTCGTAGTCTTTTCTGCCAGAAAAGGTGGCTGATAAGATTATGACTATGCGTCGAGAGCACAGGACTCATTGGCACCACGCTGCCGTTTAGAGTTGAGAGGCATACGCGGCCGCCCCATACTGCTCGTGGTACCAGGGAAAAAATGTCGAGCTAAGCAGCGGGTCAGGGGCGCAAATACCGCCAGGGCCGTTCAAGGAGTGGCTTGAGTGGAGGCGCCCGGCACTCTAATCGGGCTTTAAGGCCATGGTTTCTGGGTCTCTGGGAGCCTCCCGACGTCAAGTATATCGATCGTCGTAGGCTCGCCGCACAGCAAAGTGGCCGACGACCGGATATTCCATGCATGATTGAACGGAAAATCCGGTGGCTGGACCCTGGCACCTGGGAATTACACATTGTGAAAATTTGGATGGATTTCGTGCGAGTGATTTATGATAATACTACGGAACATTCCTTTGTGGATTTTCACCACCACGTACACATGGGCTGTGGGTAAAGGCCTACCCGACCACCAAGTGCCGCGATGGTGTACACAACCATGGAGGATATCAGATAAATAACGCGTAAGCCATGCAAAGTCATGCAGGCCCACAGACATCATCTTGCTGATTGATCCTTCAATACTTTGTCAACACCCTGGACAGGCGAAACTGAGGGAATGGTAAGGGAAAATGAGGTAATTGATGATGAACTCGGCTGCGATACCCGTCTCGTCGGTCATGTTCTCGCTGTGACCACTGAGCCGGCAACCCGTCTCCTTTTTTTTTTCTTCTGAGCAAGCATAACATTACCCAATTATTTCTTTCCCCCTCCGCCTTTCATCTGATGAATGCATGAGATAAGCACGAGATGAATATATTATGTTTGCCGACGACCGTGGAAATACAGGGTTTAGCTTAGCTGCCATTCATACCATATATGAAAAAAAGGTAACCTAGGTTATTAGACAACCACTTCTCCCAGTGTAACATCTTGGCTTGCAGATCAAGATCAGCCTCAACCTACTATGTACAAATGCAGCCACTACCGGCAGCTCACCTTAGGCCGGGATTGAAGACTGCTAGTATGCGTATGAGATATGCGGGCCATGATCGCTTTTGCATCCGTGCCGACACCCTCAAAGTCCCTGGCTGCATGCAGCTCAACAATGCATAGAATACGTATGCTGCTGCAACTGCCGGCAATCATGTCCTTTGATAGAGCTGTTGTCGCGTCTCGCTGAACTCAACGAAAGATATGAAAAGGCTGGAAGCATGTTCCACAATCAATTGACGGTGGTAGGGAACATCGCAGGGTGACACTACGAGCTACGTCAGCCCGGATCGTCGAATAACCCTCTGGTCCTGAATGACATATAACAAACCAGCAATGTGCTGTGAGATTGGCGCTAGCTCTGATAGCCCCGGGTGGCTGATTACAGAGCACTGCCACATTATTTCCGTGTCGTGGGTACAGAGTAATATATGTACACTTTGTATGCTCTGCTTGGGACATGCCAAGAAAAGAGTTTCTACATCATCCGAAAAAATAAAAGGCCATTGCGGTTTGAATCCTAAAGCTCATTGCGGCTGAGAAAAAAGCACCACACATCAAGTGTCTTGATGATCATGTTTTTATCCTTCGACCAACGTAAAGACGGCCTATAATGACCCTTTCACGTCAACTTGAAATGTGAAGTCCAGATGACTATGGACAGTAAGAAGAAGCAGTGATTGCTATCTGGAATACACAACATGCATTCCAAGTCTGCTTCACTTTGCCATCGATCCTTTTACAACTGGCTAAACAGGTAGGAAACCCAGATATGTAGACTGGTGAGGCGCACTCTTGACCTTTGATATAAGTAAGGCTTAGGTACTACGGGCGTCCCGTCGACACTTGACTCTCTTGACCAGCAGCGGGCTCCACATCTGACCTACTAGCTTGAGCTCTCTTACTTTAGCTTGCCAAGCTTGGCCCTCAATAGCTGCCAGGTGGGTTGGAGGTGCTGTTTCAGCGCGGGTAGCGACCAAAGCTGATCTACGGAAGTACTACGACTGCCTGTCTGTTTACGTCGTTCAACGTCGACTCGAACGATATCGCCACTATTTTGTATTTCTTCATAACGCGCTCAACAGAGGTTGTTCCATTACACTACTCGGCGCAATCGACCTGCGCTTCGTTGGAAAGCTGCAATTGTTTGCTACGTGTATTCACCTAGAAGGCCACTGCAACGAGACATTATCAGACCACTCTTCTGTCCGAGTGCTAGATAGCGTCATTACGTACGAGGCACAATACAGCGCACCATCTCCATAAGCCAGCTGGCCGTTGACAACAAACCGCCAACCTCATCTGCCTATAACTCGAATTTCGATCAACGGCTTTTCTATATCCGTATATCTTTCTTTTTAACGCCAATCTAGTTAGGATTACGCATCGATAAAATGTCGCTTTTTGGCACGACGCCGCCCAACGAATCGCCGTCTCTCGACGACTCTGGCTTGCGCCCATCGCGCGTTTCCCTCTTCGACGACGACGGGCCAACAAATCGCTCGGGCTCCGATTCTCTATTCAACGATGACGATTTATCTGGAAGCGGTGCTCGCTCCCCTTGGGATATGCCTACACCGCGAAAGCAACAGTCCCGCGCCGACCTTATCCGTGGTTTGCTTGCGGGCGTCCAGGTCCCTGATAGCTACGTTGAAGCTTTCGACCATGCGCTACAAGAAGATGGCAGAGGCGGCAAAATATTGCCTGCGGGAATATCCAAGACCCTCGCCGCAGCCAAGCTCGGTGCCGACGAGCAAGCTCTTGTCATGAGCATCATCTCTCCCAATGGCGACGAGGTGGAGCTCGCGCGAGACTCGTTCAATGTCCTGCTTGCGCTGATCGCGTTGGCCCAGGAAGGCGAGACTGTAAGTCTCGACGGTGTTGACGAGAGAAGACGAAGTGAGTACTTACTGCATTTTCTGTTATCAATGCGTGTGCCTTCTACATGATTGCCTCACTTTGCTATTCGTCAATCCCGCCTAGACCGCTTGCTGCCATTGGACTGGGTAGCTATCGACGCCCAATAGGCCGCCCGCTTGTCCTGTGCTCCCCCGTCTCCATCCATGACAAGCGGGTCCCTTGACGCTATCGTAACACCTTCAGATTACTGACCAAGAAAAAAAAACATCCAGATCTCCCGCAGCCTCAGTTATCAAACATTCCCAAGAAAAAAGAAGAACCTCTTTTCGACGCTTCCGAACTCGCTGCCAAACCGCCACAGGCTCCCGAAACGCCCCGAAAAGACTCTTTTCCACGACCGGTGCCCAAAATTCGGAAACCCAGCATGACCGATCCCGAAGACGATCCCTGGGGCTCCCCGGATTTGCATAGAGGCCATAACCATGTAAGCGCTTCGCAGTCGAATGGCGCGGAGCCTACCAACGGCCATGGCTACGAAAACAACCACGAGAGCAGCAGCATTGGCGTCACTCCCGAGTTGCATCAACGCACAACATCGAATTTCACCACAACAACAATCGGCTCTGCCAGCCCGTCTGGTCGCCAATCGGCGGCGCCCGGCCCTATCCCGGAAACACCTAGAGGCTCTGGCGGCTGGAATTATTTTGATGGCGCAAACCCCAACCCGGACCAAGGTTTTGGAGCTTCGCCGACTAATCAGCCAGCAAACCCCTTTGGAGTAGCAACTCCTCAAGAACCTCGCAATAATGCCCCAGCTGCCGCGCATTCCCGTACTATTAGCGCTAGCCGGGTGGGCAGTGGCGCAGTGGAGAGTATACTGGTATCCTTAATGCCGGAGAAGGAGGGCATGTTCATGTTCCAACACCACAACTATGAGGTTACAAGCTCGCGGCGGGGTAGCAAGGTTATTCGACGATACAGTGACTTTGTCTGGTTGCTCGACTGTTTGCACAAGCGGTATCCGTTCCGGGCATTGCCTCTGTTGCCACCGAAAAGGGTCGCGCTGAACGGAAACCACTTGAGCAATGATGGTGGATTCATCGAGAAGCGTAGAAGAGGTCTTGCACGTTTCTTGAATGCCATCATTCGGCATCCAGTTTTGGGCCAGGAACAGCTGGTCGTCATGTTCTTGACCGTACCCACAGTAAGTAATCTCTGCTGGCCAAACTTGATAGAGATGGGTGAAACTGACACATGATTAGGAGCTCTCAGTGTGGCGGAAACAGGCTACAATATCTGCTCAGGACGAATTCACAGACCGGGCATTACCCCAAGGGCTCGAGGACTCTCTACCCATTGGCCCTCTTAGTGAACTCTTTGATCGAACGCGGGCGGGCGTCCGGCGGTCTGCAGATCTGTACATTAACACGTGCAATCTGATGGATAGACTAGCCAAGCGTTCCGAGGGTGTGGCAGCTGATCATGCACGCATGGCCGTCTCACTGGCTTCCCTTACTGAAGTGAGCGCCGACACATACGCGACTGACACTAATGACGTCCCGCTTTTGAACGACGGCCTTGTTGCCATGTCAAAGCGCTTGAAGACAGCGCAGGGCCTGCTTGAGGATGAAAGCAAAGCGTGGGAAACGGGCGTACTTGAGGACTTGAAGCGACAACGCGATGCCCTGGTTTCTGTCCGAGAGATGTTTGACCGCAGAGAACGCCTGGACAAGGACAACATTCCGACTCTAGAGAGACGCATCCAGAGCAATGAGACCAAGCTCGCTGGCTTACGAGCCAAGCCCGAGGGACTCGTGAAGCCAGGAGAGGTTGAGCGCGTAGTTGAAAGCATCATAAAGGTATGTACAACGTCGTTTGATGGTAATCAAAATTTAGATTTAACAAAATTTAATAGGACAAGGAGAGTATTGTCAATCAGCACAACCGCTCGGTCTTTGTGCGTGAAACGATTCGCGATGAGCTCATTTACTTTCAACAGACCCAGTATCAGGTGTCTAGATGGAATCAGGACTGGGCGCAGGAACGCGTCAAGTATGCCGAGATGCTTGCTGACAACTGGCGCCAGCTCCTGGACGAGCTTGAGGGCATGCCACTTGGCGAATAGTCATCAGGCCGAAGGCATGCAAGAAAGAGCTTCTTTATTCCGTGGAGGACAGTTTTATCAAGCCCTTGAGTTGATGGAGTCAGTACGAAGGGAGCCATATTCAATCTTTTGCATGGTGTCGGACGGAACTCTGTCCACCATGAGGAGAATGCGGCACTAGTCGGATGCGTCGATAATGGACGCGTGAGAGCAAGTTGGTATAGAATGTTGACACAGCAGCAGCAGCAGCAGCAGCAGTCAGAAGAAACATCCGGGGAAGCGTTTGCTTGTTATTTTTGGACAGGCCTGAATGCTTTTTTATGGCTGTTGTCTGATTGGGATGCTGGACTCGAACATGATTTGGAAGAGCGTCTGTTTGCATCAACAACATGATTATTGCCAGCGCAACGACTCGTTGTTTTGATTCTTTTTCGACTGGATCAGTATGTACAAAGGGAGGAATTTGAGAATGGTGGACAAGGCCGAGTTTGATTGATTGATATAAGTAGACGAAGCTGATGCTGCGATACCCTGTGAAGCAATATACATTATTTTCATCAATGAGGTACATACTAAACCCACATATTTGCGCTGCGTAGTATACACAATATGATCGGAAAGATCCGCCGAGTGGGCACGCAACTTCCCTTGTCTTGGCCTCAGAAACAACTAAGCAGCGGCGAGCGCTTGCACTTCGACCCCACCAAGGAAGGCAGCCAGCAACAGCTCGGCGCTTGAACTGATTGATGAACCCCACCATCCCTCCCATTCCGCTGCTCGATGGTCGTGGAAATATCAGCCTTGTTTTTTGACAAATCTCTTCTGCCTTTCGGATTTGCCAGCGCAACCTCCTCAGCAGGGGCAACAGTTTCGACAGACTTCTGCTCAGTCTCAACACTCCTTGTCTGGGCCTTCCCGCCCCTTCTCCCGACCACGAGCGTTCCACTACGACGTCATTGCCCAACTCAGCAAGCACGGCCGTTTGCTGGCAAAGCGTCCGACCAGTCATTTGAACAGTCACGATTGAAAGTACATTTATTCGGATAAACCGACACAGCCTGGTGGTAGTTGAGGACGACGACAAGACGACACGATGCCGCCCTCGACTTCGCAAAAGGCTCTAATCGACCACTTTGTGGCGCGCACCGGTACTGATAGGAAGCGGGCAGAACGGGTATGTGAACAGCCACTCGATGCGTACACGGCGCACCCATGTCGACGATCGCGAAATCTATCCTCCCATTCCACTTCTTGTCTCGGTACATCTCGCTGATTTGATTCTTTCCTTTCGCAGTTACTCAAGGCGGCTGGATGGGACCTTGAGGCTTCCCTCAGATCGTAAGGTCGACCTGTTTAGTAACACTACTCAGTCCATCATTTACTGACTTGCGGCTCCTAGCAACTACCCTCATTCTGCCGGCCCGTCCGAGTCCTCGCTGAAAGCACAATTTGAATCGCTACGAAGTATATATTACCTTTAGCTGCATGCTGGACAGAAGCTAACAACCAAGCAGCGAGCGAAGACTCGGCAGACACGATGGGCGCCGATAGTACCATGTCCTACCTTCAGCAGCTTGGTGTCAGCTTGGACGATGCTAGCATGTTTCTCGGACTTCAGGTTCTGCAGGCAGAGAAGATTGGCGAGCTGTCAAAGGAACGCTTCGTCAAGAGTTGGAAGGAGGCCAAGTAGGTTTCATGAACGAGGAGCTCTACGAGCAAGTATGAAATGAGTCCATTGGGGTCGCTAACACACGAGACTGCAGTGTTGAGGGAGACGTCACTCATCAGAAGAATTATATCGCCAACAAATTGCGCCTCATGTCCACTGACCCCAAGATATTCAGAGATGTTTATCGACATGCCTTTGTTCTTGGCAAAGAGGGTGAGGCCCGAGCTGTGACTCTGGAAATGGCCGAGACATTCTGGCAAATATTGTTTGCTGCCCCGGGCCGCCCCTGGGTTGGCAGCCAAACTGGCATCAACTGGTTGGAACAGTGGCTGGCCTTCCTCACTGAGAAGTGGACACGAACCGTGAGCAAGGACATGTGGAACCAGACATATGAATTTGCCACCAAGAGTATCGAGGATGAGTCCTTGTCTTTCTGGTCCGAGGATGGTGCTTGGCCAGGCGTGATTGATCAGTTCGTTGCTTGGTATAACGAGAAGAGGTCCGCAACGGGCGCCATGGAGGTCGACTCCTAGGGGGAGAAGAAGGGAAATGGACCTGCAGCTTCTACCAGGCCACGCCACAGCCGACGCCGACATCAGCGAAAGCAATCAACTGCCAATACACGATACAATCTGCGCAAACAGCATCAATGACGAAAAACAGGGCCACGTTGTGCGGCGCTTAGGGGGGGCATTTGCAGATGGCCGGGCACATGATTCCCCTTGAGGGACTGACTGATCATGGATTGTGTGGTAAATGATGGGCGCAGAACCAGCAGCGAATATTGGTAAATTTTTGCTGTGGCAGAAGCTGTAAATAGATTTCACAAGTACAGTGTCTCGTGAAGGCAGCATTTGGAGGCATCAATAATGCATGCTAGATAACACTTGCACTGGGCTTGTTAACAACAAAATTAATAACATCTTCATCATCTGATAAATTCTGCAATTTGATGTAACGTAAGCAGCGACTCTATTTGGAGACACTCTGCCTACTATTCCACTTCAAATCAATTCCAGGCCTCTTCATCCTGTCCTGGCGTCTACATATGCAATAATGCCACGTCGGAGGGTTAAAGTATTGTGTTTTAATGTACATGCTCGACAATCATAAAGTCGAGTCCCTTGCCGTCCAGGTCATGCCAGAGCCATCTTACGCAACGCCTTCTTTCCCCTTCTTGATTTCAGTATACAAATCAGCCATATATCGTACAAGACATTGGCCACCGGGGAACAGGATCTCATGGTCACGTGGTGACTTCCATTGCCCAGAGTATCATCCGGCGAGCTCTAAAGTCCCTCTCATCTCTCCCCACGCTGGTTGACATGGTTTTCTACTCACGCAAACCCGGGGTATTCTCTATTCCTTGTCGTCTCTTGTCCATTCCCACATTCAGTTTCGCCAATCTTTATTCCTTGATACTTTCGTCTTTCTTCCTTCTTCCCCTTTTCTTTACCAGCCCTGAGGTCCATGACCACCATCGCGACCCAGACGGGCCAAGGACGACAGCTTGCCGTCGCCGAGCTTGACGGTCGTGTGGCGGATCATGCGGGGGTCGCGGGCGAGGACCTGGCGGACGGCGTCCTGGGTGGCGATGGAGGCGTCGAAGCGCAGGGCAAAGTAGTGGCCGTCGCGGTGGCGCATCTGATGCGCCGTCGTGGGCTTGGGCAGGGAAAAGACGCCCCAGTTGGACACGCCGCGAATCACGCCGCGGTTTTGGAGAATCAGGTTGCCGGCGGCCATGACGATTCTGTTTTGTTTTAGAGAATAGGTGTTAGTGGAATGAGATGATGAGGGTTTTCTTGGACTAGAATGGAAAGATGCAACATACTCTTTCACCTCGGTCAGGTTACCGGGTCGTACCTGTTTGGTTCGTGGTCAGCCTATCGGTGTTCATGCTCCAGAAATAATCGCCATCGCTCCCATTGCGCGCAAGCAACAAGATAATAGACCCAAGAGTCGCCCATGCCCCCCGCACCTCTGGTCCTATCGCAAGACAAAGTTCCTCTGGGGGTCCATCTTTCTCTCGTCTGGTGCTGATGGAGTGGTCCTGATAGTTCAGTTCTCCCAGTGTCATCCTCCCTGGGAGATCGATTCGTGTATCGGCCCATTTGTGATATCTCATTTACCATGCTCCATCTGTCTCTCTCTCTCTCTCGCGCGCGCGCAATGGCATGGTGAGGAAACAAACTCACAATTCCAACCAATTCGTACAACATCTTGTCTTGCGTCCTTCTCTCGTCCTTTATTTCGTTCTCCAAGCCCCCAAAAACTCCAGTCTTCCCCGTTCCCAAACGGAAATGAATGTATCAGGCAGAGTCTTCTTCAACAACGGTTGCAGGTCTCGCACGGAGAGAGTAGGTGTAGCGTGAAACCCTGTTTTCTCTCAAGGAACAAGCAGGTCTCCCAAGTGATCGCAGGAATGAGAGGTGCCGTTCGTTTCGTCGTGTCGTGCAAAGGAGGCGCGTGGATTGCAAATGGTTGATCTGGGTCGGCGTTGGTGTCCTCTCTCTCGTGCGTCTGGAGGTTTCGCGAAGCTCTGGAATTTTTGTCGGGGCCGCCTCGCTGCAAGGCCTCCCCCCAAAAAGACTAGCAGGGGTGGAAAGGTCAGTCCTCCAATCCTCCGGGTGTCTCGCACGACCTTGCGGCTAAAAGTGGAGAAGCAAGAGTGAGCGCTCAGTGATACCCATTGGTGAGCTGTCAGGACTCAAGAATCCTTCGCGACTATTATCAATCTTGTTTCCTTCTTTCTACTTTTGAAAGATGTAATACAAAATTCTCATGAAACGCCACCGCATGTGTTGCAGCATGACTCCAGACATGGCTTCTCAGGCACACTTGGTAATCCAACATGTATACACAACTGTGCCCTCAACCATCTAGACGGAGACATTTCCGCGTGATATCTGTTATAGGGCTAAAAGCTTTAATGTTTGATGTCACTTTCTCTCAAAACTTCAAATGAATAATCAAAAGGAACACCAGGGATTCAGACTTGTATGACTTGTCCTATTACTAGCTTACAGTACACACCAAGACATGCCTATCCGTCATACCATGAAAACGTGCAATTGATACATCGTGGCCAGTCAACCTCGCCAATGTTTTTTTTTTCTCTCCACGCCTCTGGTATGCCGCATCCTTGTGTAAAATCCATTGCATCACTTGCTGCTCAGCCGTGAGGCCGTCAATATTATTCTTGTGCCACGACGAAAAAAAGGCTCCCTCCTCCATTCTTCCGGTACAATACAACACAGTCCCCTCCGTATAAAGCCATTCCATGCAATTTTGGGTGCAACCATCTGTAGTGGCCGCTGTAAACGGGTATCATGAACAGTAAGGAAACTCAGAGCCTCGGCAAATCAAGGCGTGTAAGGAAAAACAAATCGACGAATGTCCATTCATACACAGTGAAAGAACCCAAACGAGCACTCGCATCTTGTTGTTGTCGAGGAGCAGTCGTTGAGAATCGAAACAAAGAATCGTCGTGGATCAAGCGAAAACGAATTGGGTATTGTTGTTGTTTTTTGTTGAAGATCGAATGATTTCTGGCCACCGTTCGTATCTCTCATCTGGTGTACGAGAAATCACGGATAAACGCAAGATCTTGCTTGCCATATTCATGCTGGGCGAGAAAGACCGATTACCGGGGACAGAGTAGAACAGAAACTGCTTTGTGGGCGCTCAAAGCAAATTGTAGCAGGTAAACTGAGCGAGGCTCTTCTTATCCGCGAATGTATTTTTGAACAGATAAAGTGCCGGAATCGTAAGAGGCGCTGGTGTATCCCTATTTATCAGCGACAAACTCTTCACTCTTCATGCTGGCCCAAGTATCATCCAGATGAGTACTGTTTATATTAGCTTCATGGTAAAGACAAGGATTAGAACATTTGGCTGGTGCTTAACTTACGCAGTAGTCTTTGCAAGGCTAACGCCCTGCTTGCGAGAAAAGGCAAGGAAACGCCTCTTGGTCCGCTCACGCTTGAATTGAGCTAGGACATGACTGCGCTCGGGTCCACGTAGCAGGACAGCAATTCTTGGGCTGTCTGATGCGTACTGGATCTCGACAATGTCGTCAAGCTTGAGATCAAAGTTGACACGCTCATCGTACTTGCCCCAGACCACCCCAGAACTGATATCATGAAGAATCTGATGCTCGAATATCCTACTGTCCTTCTTGAAAGTCCAGTACTGCGTGACCTCGGGGTTTGTAAGGTGCTGAGGAGTCTTGATTTGGTGGATGCGCCAGTCAAGGTGCGAGATTGTACCGGCCGAGAAAGAGTCAGTCGAGCTCCACCCATCATGCTCCAAGTCATCTACCACTGGTCCAGGGGCGGAAGGCGGCATCAGCGGTGCCACCATCTGCTGTGACGGCATGGGCGGTGGGTGTGGCAGCATGGGCGGCAAGTCTTCGATTCGCGGGCGCTTCTGCAAGCGTGGCGTCAAGGGGTCCAAAAACTCTTGCTGAGGCTGCTGAGGATATCCATCTAGACTTTGCGTATCATCCATATCAACTTGACCAATCGAGCGCCGGCCCTTACGGCGGCCGCCCATGCCCATCTGCTCCCGCTTCAGCTTGGCCTTGCCCTTCTCTGGATTCTTCTCGCCGACCTTGTAGCCTGACGGACGACCAATATTGCCAAAACCGTGCTTCTCGCGGAGAACCTTGAGCTTGATATCGTGATAGAGGTCATGGGTATACTTGGAGAGATTGAACTTGTCGCCCTGAGCAGTTGCCACCTCGTACATTCGCTGGCGGAGCCACTCCAGAGGGGTTATGTCCAAATCAAACTTCTTCAATTCCTCATGAACGTTGATCAATCGAAACATGGTATCATAGTTGATGAATGTCTTGTAGAACTTAGCCATCATCTCTTTGCCAACATACTGATAAGGGTGAAACTCTGGGTTTGGGCCTCTCAAGAAATCGATAATGGCTTGTCCACGGTTGACTTGTCGGTTAGCGAGAAACACCGTGTGGCGTACGGCAAGCTTGTCTTGTCGAAGTTTGTCAAGTTTCTGCTGCCATGCATCGAGCTGAGGCTGGATGTGATCTTCGAGCGGAAGCCAATCGGGATCCCAGTACTCGTGCTCTGGCGTGATGCGTTGCAGAGGCACACCAGCATACATGGGAGGTTCAGTGTAGACCGTGCCGTCGTTCTTGAGCTCAAGGGTTTCGCGGTTAATTTCGCGAAGATCTGCCGGGTTTGCTGGTTCCGGAGCTTGAGAATGAGCTCGAACGCCTGGCAGAGACCTTCGGCCGGACGGCGACCGGCCCTTGGCATCGACGGGGGAATCTTGAATATGTGAGAAGACCAAACAGGAGCCGAAATCGGGTTTTAGACGTGACATACCTCTGCTGATTTCTGAGTGAAAGCCTGGAAGACTGTGTCGTTGCGGCGGCTGCTGTTGCAGCTGCTTGGGCTTGAGTGGTCTGCGTCCAGCTAGGCTAGGATCCGACTCATCCATCTCGAATCCATTGCCGTTGACTCTGTATGGCAAGGTTTTGCCGTTGGTACCATCCTCAGCATGTCGGTAGTTGCCTCCTGAAATTTCTTCGCCATCACGTGTGATATCCTTGCGGCCCTGCGAGCCATTGATACTGGTCCAGCCTCCACTTTGTTGAGCACTGGTGCCGTGAGAAGGAGAAGGGCGACCGTGGCCGTTTGCTTCGACGCGCTCGCGCTCCCTAGCTGCAAGCATGCGATCCTCTTCCTCAAATCGAGCATTCAAAGCCGCATGTGCTGCATCCCAATCCAAGCCCAGGTGTTCTTGCTCTGCCTCGTACGACTTGATGGAGGCGACAAGGTTCTGCAAGTCCTTGTGCAGTTCGGCTCTGCGATCGTAGAGACGAACCAGAGGGCCTCGAATATGCTCATACTTGGCTTCGAAGGATCTGTTGAGTTGGTCTGCCTCTTGCTTGCGTCGCGCGCTGATTTCGCGCATGTATGCGTCGTTCCAAGCCGAGGCTTGATCGTGTTCTGGTTTGACAGACATTTCCACGCGTCCAGGCATGGACCAAACCACTTCCTCGCGACTGCCTAGAAAGGATTATGTGGTTAGCATCGGTGGCGGCGATGGTGATTATAGTAGTAGTAGAAGTAGCAGTTTGTGGTGACGGTGGTAGTGGTGGTGGCAGTGGTGGTGGTGGGCTGGCATAGCATAGTTGAAAGGCTATAGTGTCAATGATGCAGTAGCTTCAAAGGAGGTAGGCAGTGTATAGGCGCGCCCCACCTCACTAAAGGCCAGGCATGTGCGCACCGTGCAGGTTGGGCGAGTAAGGCGAGACCCAGCTCAGGTAGTTAATTGGGGGGTCACCCACGAATGAAAGGCAACCTGTGCATAGAGGAGTGAAAATTGCCACGACAGAGTATTCCAGGCGCGCTGCGTGCGCTCTCAACGAAAAGGAGAAACAAGCCAGAGGGAGTAGAGGAAGGAGGGAGAAAGGGTGAGTGAGGGCCCGGGGGAAGGGAAAAAAAAAGTTTCGCAGCTAAGATGGGTGTCTCACAAAAATGAGAATAGGGACACGACAAATAGAATTGCGCCGGCCGGGTAATATTGGTTGGGTCTGAGAAAGTAGTAGGGGAGAAAAAAAATTATACTCGGAGCCCGTAAGAAGAGTGAATGACTGACTAGTTTGGGAGGGTGGCTCGGGAATGTGGTGTGGGACCAATGGGCCTTCCTTGGGCTCGCTGAATAGCGTGGTGGTAATCGAAAATTCCGTTTGTGGCAAGAGCCAGACGGCGATTGCGCACCGGCGGGCAGGGAGCAGCCAGGTAGACAGTAGGCAGAAAGGCAGAGAAAAGATCAGGCTGACTGGGCGGGAGACGAGACAGTGAGTGTGAATGGAATTGATCAGTGTTGTTCAAAGGGAAGGGGAAGGGGGGCTGTAGAGGTCGTGTACGTCTGTCAGATTATACACGAGTCCGTTTGGTTAGACGAACATCACAGCCAGGCCAGTCCAGCCTGCTGCTGCTGCTACTACTTGCCTGCCTATTACCAAACAAGCTGCTGGTCTTTGGTGTCACCCTTGCTCAGATGGATGTGCAGAGCGTTGTCAGAAATGATCTGAAACGGGAAATCACTGCTGATGTGATTCCGATGCACAGTGATGATGATGTCGTGGCCCTTTTGCGGCGTGGGATGGAAGGACTGACCGCAAGGCAGAAGGGAGGAGAGTGTGTGAGGATAAAAAAAATTATACGCAGATCGAAATTGGGTATACTCTGACGCGCGTGTGTTGCTGTGCTGTGCTGCTTGCTGCAGGCTGCGGACTACGCGAGAGAGAGAAAAAAAAAATTGCGGCATGTTGGAAATCGGGCACAGCGGAAAGACCCGTGTGCAGAGAAGAAGTCAGATCAGACAGAGGAGAATAAAATTACTCACGATGTGAATGCTGAATGCCCTCAAAATGTGCTCATAACACGCCCGTGATGCTGGTGCGTCCCTTCGATGTGCCGAGTGCAGATAGGCTGCTAATAAAAGGTGTGTAGGGTGAAGAATTGGGAAGAAAAAAAGGATGCAGCCCGTTTGTCGTTGCTGGGTTGGGAAAGCAGTCGCGAGTATCTACTGCTGCTGCTACCTACTATGCGGCCTGATCTGTCCGTCCGGTTTTAGCTTGGGTGGGCGCGCGCGCGCGGAATGACGAGCGAGAATTGGAAGGGGTGGTGTGTGGGTGGACTGATGGGATGGAAGCAAGATTAAGATTGACGGGGAAATCGGCGGGTGCGGCCAGGATGAAATAGTAGAAATCGACTATTTTTTTTCCTGCTCGATAGCCGAGAGGGATGGGAAATTGATGAATTTTGGGCGATAATCAAATGTACGTACCGAGTATTAGAAGAAGCTTAGATACCAGGAGACACTGGTGCTAGGCAACTGGGGTGGGTCGATATAAAATCAGTCACCTAATAGTAGATATGAGTGAGCACTATGCGCTAATCCAGTGAGTAATGGTTCGCGTCTAGGCTGGTTGGCTGCGCCTATTCCGCCGATGCCTTTGTAAACAACGGATGGGCTTGCACAAGCCACGTGCTCACCGAAGGGGGACTCACTGTTGCAGCAGAGGCCAAATGAACGATGCTAGACTGGCCTTGTGCGATGCACCGCTAGATACCATTCAAGAGAGAGTGGTGAAAGAATAAAAATATGCCGCATGCCTGATGGCGACGGTTTCTGGAGAAGAAGAAAAAAAAGGGCTCGTCAAATGGATCTATCGCTCCAGAGCGTGTTATACTCGGTAACGCTTGTCGTACTATACTGGTGCTTTGATGCAACGTGATCAATGAGGGAAGGCTTTGATGGGCAAAAATGGAAAAGAAAAAAAAAAGATGGGGCAAGGGGGGTGCCAACTGGCGGAAACGGTTGAGCTAGGTACTTATTACCCACGATCAAACGCGCTGGGTGGGGGTGAGAGCGTTGCTTAAAGACCGGCAAATGGGGGGGTGTGCAACGGATTGGAAGAGGGCGAGGGAAAAATAAAAATAAAAAATTTATCAAAACCTGCGGGCTGAGATGTATCAGATTCTACTAAGCCGCAATTGTCGGCTACTGCTGTGACATGCAACAGGCAGATAGTATACAGTGACAGTGGGTATAGAAGAAGGCCTGATTGAATTGGTGTGTTTGTGTGCGGTGCCTGGTTGTCGGTGAGCTTCAAGGTTGCTGTTCCCCCCGTCCAACAGGGTGCGGTGAGGAAAGAGCTGATAGGTAGCTGGGGGGTGCTAGCTGGAACTTTTTCATGAATAATAGTCGTCGATGCATAGCAGACTGAGAGAGAGGTAGGAAGTACGGAATAACTACAGTAGGTACTAGGTTAGAACCGTACAGTAGATTAGATGAAATAGTGCGAACATGCATGGGTGACTGTCAACAGTGCAGCATGGTCAGAATGGAGACTGTGGATCTGGTCATGTATCGAACTTGTGTCCAGGGGGGGTGTGCGCCTTGAAAGGCGCTGACGCCAACGACACAAAGTATACATGCCTACCTACCTTTTACCTTCCTGCCTGCTTGTATTATCAAAGGGCACAGGTTGGTCGGGTATAGTACCTAGGCCACTAAGATCTCAGCCAAGCCAGACATGTATTGTGTGGTTACCTGTAGCTAGCGTATTAGCCGGGCAGTCCTTGGCTGGAGTATTGTGTTGATTCGTGCGACTAGAGCGACTGCCTAGTAGGTCATGAAACTTGGGTGGCCAAGAGATAATAGTGGTGGTAGTAGTACATGATAGTCATCAAATCAACATGACTGGCAGCAACGACCACAACAAGCCAAGCACAAGCATACACGTAACAGTAGATGGTCAGAAACGAGTATAGCGAGCATTTCCATACCTGCTTGTTATGCCACTAGCGGCCGGGCTAGACAATAATCGGAGTGGGTAGCCTCGGGAGAAGCAAGAGACAGCCAAACCAAAAAGACAGCACGAGAAGGCGAAAGTCGAGCATGATATTCTAAGCAGGCATTCATGGAACCTTCGTGGTCAAGTGAGTACTTTTATACTCTTCATGATCAAGTCCGGGGCTTGTGTTGGCTGTGATCCTGTGCTGCTTATCAACTAGTTTTTTTTTTCCCCTTCGTGGCCGAGTGCCTAGGTACATAAACTTTGAGGTTCGGCTGGTCAACAGATATCAACCCGGAGAATATAAAGGTGTCTTTAGTGTACATGAATGCTAGCTCATATGTATGCAGTTTACCAAAGTATAAAACTCTGTGGATTACGGTGGCCAGCTGAATTCTGAACACCTAGAAATGGCCGAATTCAAGTCGTTTGAGCGATGCACCTACATGTCTACGGCTGTGAGGGATGGGCGGAAACGGACAACTGAATACCGTGTATGTAATAGAGTCGGACAGAGTCCTGGGAATGCTCCAGGGATGTGAAAAAATACCGTTTTACTACACCCACACCCCCTTGTCTAATTTGTTGGTTTTGTGGACGTGCAGATCGTGCCACCTTAATGTTCAAGAAACAAGAACGCTTGACAAACAAGAAAGGGAACGGATATCGCTACCTTCTGAGATTTAAACAGTCTTTGCTGCGACCATGAGAGAAACACAAGAATATAATAATAATATGTCAAAGAGTCTGGTTGGTCGATTAGTTGTCGTCTTTCTAGCCCGGTTCATCCGGAAAGAAAACATAGCTGTGTATTCTACATCAAGTGGGCGGGCTCAAGGAAAAAGTTAGAAATACCCTTCTTGACGTCTTGCATTGCCCTGTACACCTTCCGATCATAGAATCTGTTAGAAATTCTTGGTAGCTTGATGATTGTAGGGAAAGTTCAATAGCAAAGTGTGCTGAACTCTAGGGAGCTTAGCCCCTTTATTTGCCCGGGTATTTGGGTATACTAAAATTTGTAAAGGTGATGTCAGTCCAAACCTGAGTAACGGACGGGAGTCTAGCACCAAATGCATTTTAGCTTCGAAAAGGTCAGAGCCTGCCTGGTGATCCAGGGGGGTGCTCCAGCGGCGTAGTACTATGCAATATGCTCATTTGCAGCGTGGTACGAGCCTTGCGCCGGAGTACGTATTTGGTGCAAATTGGACTATTGAACGTGGATCTGACCACGCGGGAGTCATGCCAAGGATCGGGGAGTGTTGCTATCAGTCCCATCGGCCGTCCGCCGCCCTTGTCATCGTCATCATTAGCATCATCACTCGCACGTCGAGTATAGTATTATTTTCATCAATCTGTCATCCTTGTGCGTTTTCTACACATCTTTTGGAGTAATGCTCTATACGACCAGACTAGGCGGCCGACTGCTGAGAGCGTTTGGTATACCACGTACGTGTATACGGACCAGGGGACCGATAGACGAATTCGTATAGCAATTTGCACAATCCTGTCGATTGGCTGCCACCCTGTGTACCATCTCCACTCACCTAGTTTGGTAAGTGACCGCATATCGAGCTACCACACACTGTCAGCTTGGGCCGGCAGGTCTATTCCTGTCTTTCTCTTGTAAGAAATATAGTATATATGTATGCGTACAGCAGCCACTAAATCGTCTTTTTTTTTTCCTTGGTCCTCCGGCGGACATTTGGGCATGTGTAGTAGTAGTAAGTGCATGGAGACGGACAGAGTTACAACGGCAAAGCCAAAGCCCCAAATCAATTATCTGAGCTTAGCCAGGGGGTTTCCGGAAGGCATTCATCTCCGTAGCCAGCGTTGGCGCCCTCTTCTCGGAGACCTTGTTGATTGAGCTTGCAAGCATATGCTGGCACTTATCGGCAATGCAGCATTCGCGGTAATACCTCGTTATGGTCACTGATTGAACCTCGGATTGAGGAGAGAGGGTGGGGGGAAACCGTGCTTTTCAGTTCAGGATGTTCACGAAACCGAGAAGAGGGCTCATGCTCTCGAGCACAAGTGGGCGTGATACCAAGTGAGACTGAACTCGAGAGGCACAAGACCACATATATAAAGCGCAGTATAGCAATTTGAAACACCGACGAGTAGCAAAGGAGCTTCTCGGAAGTGGCCAGTCTTTCATGCGAACCGGGCGACATTATGCCCGTCAGCGTACTGTACACTAAAAGAGGGATAAGAGTCTATTACCCTGGTGCGACAAGGGTAGTATTTTGCGACGATCTGGCTGACGTCGTGTATAACTGTGGCATAATCCACCGCTGTCTCTGCAATAGATGGACAGGGGTCATTGGTGACACATGGCGCTTTATGCCGGGCACCATGATTTGACACTGGTAGCACCTGGATTCTTTTTCTCTTTGGATGCAGCGCAGTGGTCATTTCTGCGCGCCCATCCAGCTCTGATCCTCTGATAGAAAGGCCTCATTAAGAGGAATACATGCATCAACATTGTCATGGCTAGCAAAGATGTTTATCCGATGCGCAAAGTAGATAGCCATTCTCCAGTGCTCGTACTTTGCACCCGGCTCATTCGAAGTTCAAAGCCAGATACTAGATCACTTTCTCAGCCTGAGATAAGTCTCACCCCGAACCTTGCGTGCATCAGATCATAGCGCCTTATCATCTACACCGATGGAAGGGTGTATGCGACACAACGTCCATCATGTTCCTGACTGGGGAGCATACTTGAGCTGGATTTTTGATGAGACATTCTCATCTTCTTATAAGGCGCCAAACGCCGAGGGACCGCCCATTCACGCAGCAGGCTTGATAATTGCCAGGCTCGCAAATGAGGCCCCCGGGCTGGCCACTGGGCTATTCCGTATAGGGGCATGATCCTTCAGCCGGTCAATGAAGTCGGTCCGGGACTGCGTGTCCCGCTTTCCACGATTGTTGGTAGTAGTGGGATGTAGGTATAGAATATGATACTTTTGGCGCCAGCAGGCATGCATGCTTGAACATTGTACCTACTTTGACCCGCTGCTTGCAGCCCATGTCAGACTTTGTGATAGCTGGTACCCAAAAGCTGCTTGGTCATTCGGCGTTCGCCGGCTTGTCCTCGTCAAAAAAAAAACCCAGTAGACCCATGTAATGGTTACATCCCACACAAACGCTGTCCTCGTCTTTCTTCCGCCTTGTACGATGTAGTATAATACCCATAGATGGTGGAAATGGATTCTCTTTTCATGTTCGCATTCAGGCTTCGTAATTAGTGTTCAATGGCGGGCAAAATTTGGTGCGCCAAAATGATAACTTTGTCGAAATGCCCGTGATGCAGCATTGACACGGATGCGACAAACACAATTAGGCTTATCTACTTTATGACACATAGGCATCTCTCGTTGGATTAATACCTTGCATAGGACTGGCAGTATACTCATGGTGGCAAAAAAAAAAAAAAAAGTGTGGAATAAGATGGTTGTTTTTTTCTCCCCCAATTCAGCATGTGATTTAATAGGGGGGCGCAATTATTGCCGCAGCTAGGTACATTAGTGACAAGTATAGAAGCGGCTAGGCCGGCCGATGGATCGAAGGTATAGATAGCGAACAAAGAATAAGTGCCGTAGTGCTTAGATATATTTACTTTGTAAAAATAGATTAGCAATACGTCTTTGCAAGGCCGAATGTTTGGCATTGTGCCCACTCACTCCCCATAGCATTCTTGGAAAGCAAAATAGGTTCCATAGACTTTTTTTTTTTGATTTTTTCTACACAGTGCGTTTGTTTTGTTGCCTCAGCCTTGGCGTACCAGGCCCTGAATGCATCAAATATTACGGCATACGACGCATATGCAGCACAACTCTTTCAGCTTTTTCTCATTAATCATTGTCGTAAGCATTACTCGGTATGAAAGAGCCAGAAAGTGCAAATAAAAAGGACAATATCCGCTGAGCAGCGCTGAGCATCAGATCACTTGTTGAAAAAGGAAAAACCATCCATGCATCGTAAGCTTTTGGCTGGAGGATGCAAACATAACGCAAATTGCCCCGCGATACATTTCCTGATCCAGGGCCTAATATGTACAAACTTTGCAGCGACGTACCTAATCTCGTTATGGAGTAAATCAATGAGCAAAAGAATCGCGCAAGAAAATACAGTTCGAAACAGCCGCGGCCACTTTTGAAAAAAAGTACATGTCTCGTTTCGCCGTCTCCATGGTGAATCAAGACGCGCGCTCTGCCATATTGACGACTGTTGTTGGCCTGCAAACTCGGTCCATCGGCAAAAGGCCCTTTTGCCGCACCGCACCATCAAAAAAGGATTTGCATTTCTTTCTTCTCTCTCTCTCACTCCGTCTGGTCCGTCATTCTTGCCCAGCCAAATAAGAAAAGGGAGGAGGAGTATACGTATCCCACCTGCGGCGCAGAATAGTAGCCGGCCAAGGATTTTGAAATCTGATCTGATTAGCCGAGTACACTGATTACAAATTATTATTATAATTATCTGTATGTACCTACAACCCACGTCGTTGTGCCCATGCAGGCAGCATGTTCAATAATAATGATAAAATAAAAACATCAAGGAATGAATGGAGAGATATCACTTGGAGGTATACGTGCTGCTATATTCGTAAACAGGCTGCGTTTCATCATGGTGTCGCAAGCGAGGGATGACGGTGGTACAAAGGTGGGCCAGAAGCATGCAAATAATTGCCCGTAGGAAAAGCAACATGACAAAGTTCATACCGGATCTCCCCGGCTGATCTCGATTTGAGAAGAGAGAAAAAAAGTTTAAAAATGTGTAGTATTTAGCGTAAACAAAGACCGGAGATAATGAATGCGTTATGCCAAACCACCTTAGGCGTAAAACATAACGGCGGCAATGGTTATATGAAATGTACCAAGAGACTCTGTTCCATCGATTGATCGGCACCCAATAAGCAGCTCTGCTCTGGTCTGCTCAGGATCTAACAACTAACAATGATATGACTGATGATTTGATGGCGTGGAACGCTGTCTTACACTACATCCATGGAAATTTGAATGGATCCATCCTAGAACCAAAGGGACTCGCCATGAAGCCACAAGTCTACATTTTGTCATAATACATCTGTTCGGTATTGCTTGACCTTGTTGGACGCTGGTTTGGCATGCTAGGCGCTACGATAAACCGTCTTGGAAGAGTGTTAAGCCTCATTATCGTTGGAGAACATCCAAGAAGAAGAGGAAGGAAACTGGCGGTTGGAACATTCAATAAGCTGAAACATTAACGTTAGATATTTGAGTTTCCCCAGCGTCCTTCTTAACCACAACATCGGGTGACCTGGACGTCACGGTAGGGCAATGTCTTTACTGGTTCCTAGTAGACGTAATCTCGGGCACCCGGATGGAGGATAGTGACAGGAGTAATGCACACGCGCAGAGCAGTCTAGAGTCTAGAGGAAAAAAAAACTTCCACAAACAAGGTCTTGACAGGGTCAATGACTTATCCGAGGATCAACTGGCGATATAATTGCCGAGTCCGGCCCAACAACGGAGGTGGAGGTAAATGAAGCCGCTCTTGGTTGCACGTCGCCGGAGAGCGTTTTATTATATTTCAGGCCCACCAAAAATAAACGTGCTCTTATCCTTGGGGAGGTTCGGATGCCGTTCTGAAGTTGCCTTCTGATCTGATACCTCAACAGACAAATGTCCGCATGGAGAAAGGAAACATGTTCTACGGTAACACATGATAAGCGTCCGGATGAGTTGTGTTAGCACTGGAGTTCAACATCGCCCTTTTCTCAGATAGTTGCCAAGCTTCTCACCACATCATATCGGCACATGATTGCCTACCAGATATTTATCCAGCATGGTAGAAGGCGCCCTTATTACGACACAATGACGTGTTGGCTGGGGTTGCATCATCTTGAGACGTTAATGGTGACCAAATTTGGTCGCAGGAGGCAAATGTTGCTTGCTCGCTCTCTTCGACGACAGGTTCCATACGCGCTTGGGGACAGTCGAGGTGCCACATCATTCGACAGGCGTATAACGGGGGTATGAATGTTGGATTGCTGAAATCTGGAATTCTATACACAACAGCCACCTGTTCTCAGAACCGGAATCCTCATTCTTATTCTACAGCTGATGCCTTTTGACGATTGCTTCTATGCATCCTTCCCAATGTCACTGATGTCGACCAATTTTGTGTCGTTTAGCGGTACTCGGGCTTGACAAAGTCGGCAAAGGTCTTGGGCTCCTCGTAGCCGTGGTGGTCGTGGTGGCCGTGGTGATCGTCCTGAGGTCCAACGTACTCCATCTTGTAGACGCTGCCGCATTCTGGGCATCGCTCAATGGGGCGCTCGCGGTTCATCTAAAAAAAAAATTATGCCATGTCAGTAGGGTCCGCTGTAATGAAACTCATTGTTCTCGGTGATTCAAGATTGAGATTTGTCGATGATGTAGAATCGATCGGACGTATCGTGAAAGATATGGGAAAGAACGTACGCCCAACCAGGTAACGACGTGAGAGTCGGCGGGGTAACCAGTGCAACCGGCGTACTGCTCATCACCAGCAGACTTGACCATGATGGGGTTGTCCAAAGTTCCTTTCCGCGAAGCGTCCAGGGGGCGCATGTCGAAGATGTCGACGCCCTCCATCTTTCCGAGGATTTCGAGACGCTCGAGACCGGTGGACTGCTCGAGATCGGTAGGGACGCTACCAGGGGCGGCACCGGGTCCGACCAGGTCATCCTCGGTCTTGATATCTGCATCGATAGACGCGTTAGCATCAATGGCTCTTGGGTATGTCCATTGTGACGCAATTGCAATTTTTTTTGCGACAGTGATGTCCGAAGTCATCCGGAGCAGGCGCAGATGATCGCGGGTCGGCCGCATGGGCATCTCGTACCTCCAAAGGTCTTCAGCTTCTGGCCCACGCTGGCATGGGGCTCGACATTCTTGGCACCGGCATCACCTGTAAAGATCGCATTGGTGGTCAGCTGGCTGTGTGTATGTATGTGTGTGTGTGTGACGTCGCGCACGACGGGAGTTCTGTTATCGTGGCAGTCGGGCATCTTACGGCGGATGACGGAGGCGGTGAAGCTTCGGCGGACGATGGGGGAGACGGCAGCACGTCTGGCGACGGCCACAGCGGATCGTGACAAGAACATTGTGGCGGCAATTGATGTGGTTGTGAGGAGTGGAGAGGTGGTGTCCAAGTTCGTGATGATTTTGGCTTCTACCAGCAAAAGAGGGATTTCCAATTTGTCGGCTGTCAATGAGCTCGGATCGTTCGATTTCGGCTGCTCCAATTGGCTCCCCAGCTCTAGGCCCAATCGGGTCAGCTAAGGTAAGCAGCCAGGCAACTTTGGAGCAGCTCCAAAAGTCAAGCAGTAGCCAGCCACGTGATCCTCATTGGCCAAAGCTTGGACTAGTAATCCATTAGCTGTTATACAGATTATGCAATTTGCACAACTTGTACAAAACCATTTCCTCTTCATATAATCCGTTGATCGTGATATAAATCACCAGAGAAACACATCAGTAGCAGCGTCAAGATAGATTGTCTATTTACCAATTTAATGATTTGATCTTCCAATGCTAACGTTTCAAGACACAAACATTAAAGCTAGACTTGAAGAATGAGTCTATTTGGGACAAGAGGCACTATGTATCTGTATTCGGCTACGAGGATAACTTGAGCAAATTGTGGCCGCCGGCCAGTGGCTATGGCTAGCAAGGGAGTGATCTGGGCATATAAAGCGACAAGTTAGATAAATGATACCTCTGTTCATTCTGATTGCGTTTTTCTTTGAGCCCATCAATCAAAGTCTCGATGGCCAACCGTTTCTCGCTTGTGTTGTTCTTATTTCCATCTCAGCTATTACGACCAATACCAACACTTATTCTGGTTAGGCGTTGTCCCAGCCACTTGCCAACATTGAGTATCACATCGGTCCAACCTGCCGTAGTCCAACTTGTACTTTGCTGGCTCGCAAGGTCGTGAAAGGAGTGTATTATAGTCCTATGGCTAAAGTACTAGGTACGCAACTCGTGTCTGTAACTTGCGTGGGGTACGTATCTCAAGTCATTACATTAGAAATATTGTGAGCTGCGTACCTTAATGTACTGATACGAGCACAATAGAACCATGACTTTAAACAGCTGCAATCACGTATATCCCATAGCCCGAATCGATTCCAGCGAGGTGTCTTCCTTGATCATATCTAAAATTATGCTCATCTCAACAAACGCAACTTGGGCAAGGAAGGGCGTTACTTCAGCTGGCCCTCAGATCAACTGCAACACTTGCACCGCACTCGGAGCACAAGGCTCGCCAGGATATAATCATGCCTCTATTCAACGGCAAATCGCCCCGCCAACTCGAAGCAAATCAGATGTCTCCATACTTCTCAAGGCTGGACAAATGGCTGGGTGACTACGCCAACTCGAGCGAACCGCTGAGCCTCGTCCATCCGTTTGGGCCGCGAGTGATGATATTCTGGCCAAGTACATCTTTGGTGCTGAACTTGGACTATTGGAAAAGGAGAACATCGTTGCTGGTTACAAGCTTTGCAGATTCAATGCTACCAGATTGTCCTCGGTCTTTCGCCAGTCTCCACTGGTGCTTCTCTTCAATATCCGCAATCTGCCAGTCTATATCTTTGCCACATGGCCAGTAGTGTATGAAAGCTCTTGACAGACCCGCCCTATCGTCCATGACACCAAAATCCACATGCTAAAAGAGTTGACGGCTGTGCTAGCTTACTGTGTTTGACCTGCATTTTGGATGAATGGTACTAACACTTTTCAATATGATACAGTGATCAGAAGGGCTTCGGTACGCATATTTTATCACTAATGATGAGAAAGACAGGACTTATTGAGCATGTTAGACTAAACGACTCGCAAGGTATCCGGTTCGACCGCCACGGCAACGAGATGGGCATATATAATAATATTGAGCTGCCCCCTTACGCGAGACTTTCATGAATTGATTTACAGGCCATTTGCTAAACGCCTTTCAGATAACCATAAGCATGTCCGAAATGCTTCTGAACTAGGATCCATCTGCCTTTCCTGACCCAGCGCGATTCGAGCCTGAAAGGTTGCAGGGAATGATGGAGTTACAGAACGTGCCAAGAGGCTATTTGTCGGATTTCGTGTCGACGACAGGACTTGTGTGGCAAAGAGCACGTCCTTTCCATATTTTCATCTGCTTCCATATGTAGTTACAATATCGTGCGCTACTCGTCGGGCATGTCAGTCTTTCATTATCGATTATGATGAGGGTTGTTGCCACCATTAACGCACAGTATGATATTGTCTTTTGTGAATGAGACTGAGAAAGACAGCTGGAGAATTGGGGGTCACAGAACATCCCCTCTGCATCGGTCAAGAGACCAATGGTCATTGCCAAAGCCCGAGAACAACAGCTGAAGAGTGCTTGAGCACAACACAAAACAATTGGCGCAAAGAAAGCAGAAAGCAAAAGTTTGTTGGGGGTATATGAGTACGGCACATGGAGTGCTCGCGAATGCCGATGTATTCCAAATCTTCAAGTAATGTTTGCCTGAGTCTTCCAGATGTTGAATGCTTGATAGATCGTCCTCTCTTGTGCGGAAGTGGTGTACTTGAGGTCGATGTCGCCTGCCTTTTTGGCTCTTGCCTCTTCTTCGCTGACCCAAACGTGCTTGACATGCTCATTGGGATCCAGCTTGACCTCGATGCCGTCGTCGCCGTGCTCCTTGTCGCAAACTTCGACCTCCACGAGGAAGTTGACCTTGCCTATTTTCCGACCCCGTCTCGTGAAGAACGTCTCCAGCCCACCAACAAGCTGAACAATTCCGGTGGCAGTGAGTCCAGCCTCCTCATACAACTCACGAGCGGCTCCGTGCAAGATGCTCTTGTCCTCTGGATCAACCGCGCCGCCAGGTGTCTCCCAGAGCAATGGCATAGAGTCATGAGGTGCTCGCTGGACTAGCAATAGTTTGGACGTCTGGGGGTTGATGACGAGACATCCTGTAGCAAAAGCCTCCAAGTAGATTCCTTCTGCCAGCGGATAAGTGGCAAGATAGACACTCATCGGACTGCTGAACTGCTCAAGACCGGGGCCTATGGTGAAAGTCGGTGGCTCATAGGGGGCCTCGTCGGCAGCGGCCGCCGTAGGCTTCTCTGCAGACATCAGATCGGTGGAAGACGGGATCTCTTATTCTGACGATCTTCGTGAAACAGTGAATAGATCGCAAGGCAATCAGCGGTCAGTAGAGGTTGTACCTTCCTTTCTAGACTCAGAAAGGCTGAGTAGGCTGAGCAGGCTGAGCAGGCTGAGCAGGTACGAATGGCTGAGCGCAAGGCGTTGCTAGCGTAGTCGACTTGTGGTTCTTCACTTGGATCAGGTAGTGTTTGGTGCGCTTTTGAGGCTCTTGACCAGAGTTCCTTTCTGATAAACCAAGTCCGAATGTTGAGCTGTTCAAAAAGAAAGAGAGAAAAAGTGAAGTGTGAGATATCAAATGTGCTAGCGGGTCAGGCAGACAGGCAGGCGCAAAGTAGGTACATACATAACATGCCTGTGGTGCTAGCCGTTGCCTGGGCTGACTACCGACGACTCGTTGTTTAGGCGGCTCCACCTGATGCTGGCCAACAAGAGCCATTCCTCACAAGCACAGACAGGCCTAGCCTCGCTTTATATTCCCTTTGTATCCTTCTCTTGTGATGCATCTCTCCATGTGCGTGCTCAACCCAGTCACTGGCGTTGTTAATATGCATGTAATTGCAAACGCATGGGAAATAGCAAGGTCTTATGTGACTCAGCACTGTCGGTATGCGAGCGTATCACTGGCCGCGCGGTTTTTGTCCCGAGCAGCTGGACCGCGGAAGTGACTCCGCAAGACAGACCTGCATATGTGTGGCTAGAAGCAGCGTAGCCAAACTCGTATAAGCAAACAAATATCTGTCGGGGAGGACGGAATATCTAACCGTTCTGCAGGTCCTGCAAGGTTCTGTCCTGTGGTTGGACCAAAATGATAGCCACGGCTCTTGGCGCTATATCACCCTCCAACTCATCCCGTGGCAACCATTGCCAGTGATCACATGTCCAGATGTTTTGTTTTTCTCTACGATAGATCAGTGATTACTGATTCTTTTACAACACCGATCAAGGTGGTTGACTGATGTGCATATAATCATTTTAATTGTTTTGCGTCATTGTATCTGTGAGCTCAGCAGAGACTGCATAATCCCAAGTGGCCAATCCAATATGGCAACAATTTTGACAGTTCTCAGTTGACGGAAGTTACTATGCCACGAATCAGAGTGAAAGAAAAAGAAATTTGTGACCAAAGAGGTACTGGAGACTGTGGTATCATTGATTGATCATGTACGCTGCAAAAATCCCATGGGTATCCATTCCCATCCGGAGCACATGGCCCAAAAATCTGTTTTCACTGAAATACAGATAGTGTTGGTACATTACTTGGAAGTCATCACTATAAGTTACTGGTTTGCAAAAATCTGGGCAACTAATGGATTGTAGCTTGTAGATAGATAATGCTTACTGCTGAGTTTCATGCAATCTGTCTTCTCTGAAAGACAGGAAGAGGCGAACAAGAGGTGGTTGGGGAAAATGATGGTTAAACATGTAGCAAAGACTAAACACGAATTCTCAGAAATGAAGCTACGGATTGCTCGATCTTATCTTCTCACAGTGCAAGCAAGTTCCAGTACAATACTGATTTTCTCTCTCTTTTTGTCAGACAACGCCACTGGGGTTTGGAGTGGACCTCAGACAAACAAGATTGAAGGGCAGTTTACATCGGCCTGCAACTGCACCTATAGGTATTAGAGTATCGCACTTTGAGGTGTCTGAAATCGTGGTTGATAGATAGCGACAGCTACATCATTTTGTCTTTCCCTGTGGCAGACACCCCACACTGAAGTCATGTGCAAGAGCTCTTCAAGCAAGCCATGCGTGCGGGCCAGCCAAATAACTCGGCTGCACGGTCAAAGTATATTCATCATAGAACATACCAGATCGATACCTCTTTGACCAGACACAATTGTCAATATGTATGTATATTGCAATTGACTGATTAAAGTCCATGCGTTGGAATGACCTCTCGAGTAGGTGATATACCTATCCAGCGCGGGGGGTTTAATGGCCGTGGGCTCAGTCCATGCAACTATAATAGAGCTGCATAATAATAGTTGCACCAACTGCATCGCGCAGGCCCTTAGAGGCACCTGAAGAGAGAGCACGTGGATAGTAGTAATTGTACCTGCAGAATTTGCGGCGATTGATTCGATGCAACAGAAGTGTACGTAGTCGCATTTCCTTATTTGGGTCGCTGCCGTATGAGCATGAACCTATTCGGTGGCCAAAGTGCGTCGAACAGCTGCACCCTGAGGCTTTCCCACGTGAAACAGCTCTGCCCTGAAACGTCATCAAAGACAGCTTTCGCACTTCCAAGCATACATACCAAGCCCACCAAAACCGACGAAGAAACGGGGTTTGCTCGGCAGGAAAAAGGGAAGGGAAGGAGCACGATTAACTTTGTAGTGTGCTTACCACGAACTGGGGACACTAGAGCATCAGCCGCAGACGATCAAGTTTTGTTTCCACCCAGCCGAAAAGACATCAGCTCGTTAAGGTTAATTTAGCCTCCATAACGGAGACGTGGGAACAAAAATGTGCTTCTTTCTCGCGCCCACTGATAGAGCATGAGCGTTGCCCGCGCAGCCAGTCAGCAGCCGGCTGAGCCAGATCAGGAACCGAATGCGGGTCCGCGACCGCATGCTGCCGAAAAGAAAAAAAAGATAAAGAAAAAGAGCCTCCATTTGCCCATGATCCATAGTTTTTACTCTCCCGGGGGACAATGTGCCGCGAGATTGCATCCGCCGATCTCTTTCCGACCTAAAATGTTCCATCTGGGACTTGTGCCGACGGGGAGCGCGGTGTCAGCCACGAGTCGTGTGGGTAGCAGAGAGCATTAAAGTAATGGTCGTAGTAGTAAGTAATAATGGCAGTGCCTCAAGTGCTAGTAATTAGTACTAGGCAGTGCCGTCGTGGGCCAAGTAAGGTAGCCAGCCAACCGTCATGATGTTTTACATACACAAAACATGCCCAGGATGAAGCAGTCTCCGTTATTCTTGTCTAATTCCGTTTTCACTGTCCTATAATTATCACCATGATTTCTTTCTTTCTTTCTTCTTTGAATAGAACCCCCGAGCCAAGTCCGCCAACGGACGATTTGAGATTATACCACGACACGAGAAAAAAACGGAGTGCAGCGCCCAGTAGCTTGGAAATCCTTGGCGATCCATCCTTGGAGGATAGCGACCTCCTGACGATCCCTGCCCTCCGCCGCAGAGACCCCAGGAGCAGACGTGGGACACTACCTCAATTGTTTGATCCGCCCAAGCCAAGGCCAGCTTGCTGCAGGTCGTTACAGCTGGATGGGGTCAAAGAGAGCTGCTGCTGCTGCAACGCCGCAAGCGCCAGGCGTCCTCTGCTGCCCTGGTGGTGGTAGCGCTTCTCTCTCATCAGTCTCGGGCTGTCTCGTTCTCCCAAACCTCGTCAGAACTTGAGGCCCGCCCCCGTCAACGCCAGCAACGCGCGGCGCCGGCTAAACGTCCAGTCAGACGGGCTGTTTGCCTGGTTCAACGTCTCGCCTTGAACCTACAACCTTATGTTGCTACTGAATAGGTTACCCATCTTATACAATAGACCCATCGGGTTCGCGGCATCCATTCAATCCACCTTCGGCTGCGGCTGGCTCGCTGCCCAGTGCCTCTAATACCACCAGTACGCCTGGGCGCCCGCTAGCCTCTACTAGAGATCCGAGAATCAACTGGGGCCAAGACCTCCAAACACGACTCATCACCACTGGCTCCGTCCCCAGACCCTCAGCCTTTCTGGGCATGTTCTTGTCATTTCCTTGGTAGCCGGGCATTCTTTTCCCATTCATCATTTGCTTTTCATCTGTTCTGCTGGTGTTGTTGACAGTTCTGGGGACCCTTGCACTGCATCTCATCTCTCGCTCTCTTCTGTTTTTAATGATCATTGATATACCCCGGATCCCATCTTCATCTGAGCGCGCATTACTTGCATTTGTCTTCCTCTGCTTTTGAAATCAAACCTGATTCCCGCCATTGCTACGGCGATTGCCAATATCCTGAGACGGACTGTCTTTGAGAAAGGAATCAAGGGCGTATTACGATCACGAGGCAGTGCTAGCAGCTACTCGTCCGCTCACTTCCATTGCTCGCCTGCCGACATGGCGTCTCAAATCGCCGTTCTCACTCTAGCATTGGCCGCATCGTGCTTTGCTGCAGAGGGTCTTCCGCAGGATGATGGTCCCATCGCTGGTGGGAGATATGCCACATTCCCCGTGATTCATTCCACGAATACAGATCACTTTGGCGACGTTTGGGCAAAGCGTGACGTCTGGTCGAAACGGGGCATACAGACTCTACCTCTAGCCAACCGATCTGACGTTGCCTACTACGCACAATGTAACTACCTATGCCCTAAACAGTTCGTCATGCCTTTGGACTCAAAAGACTGATGAATTGCCCTAGTAAATATTGGTAACCCTGGCCAGCCCAACTATGTCCAATTAGACACTGGTTCTTTCGAGCTTTGGGTGAATCCAGACTGCACAAACCTTGATGCAACGTCTGATCAACGCTTCTGTCGGGCCGTGGGATCCTACGATCCATACTCATCTAGCTCTGCCTCCATTTCTTCAACAACTAAGACATTGAGGTATGGCATTGGCAGCGCCAGCATCCAATATGTCAAGGACGACATCGGATTTGCCGGCTCAGGTATGTTATCACAAAGAACAGCGTCGGCCGCAATCTTTCTAACCTCGAAACAGACATCACGCTCAAAAATGTGCAATTTGGGGCAGCGACGGCTACAGTGGATGAGTTTTCGGGAATCCTTGGCATTGGCCATGGTATCAATGTTACCACTACCTACAACAATTTTATCGATGAGCTCCAGCTGCAGGGCGTCACAGATACCAAGGCCTTCAGTCTGGCGTTGGGAAGCAAGAGTGAGCAGGAGGGTGTCATCATCTTTGGAGGTATCGATACGGGCAAATTCGCTGGTCCTCTCGTGAGCCAGCCCATCATTCCCGCAGACCAGTCTCCTGACGGGGTTCCGCGATACTGGATCGACATGAACTACATGAGCTTGACGCCGCCGAGCGGAAACGAGAAAAAGTACGACAACTCCACCATGGCCGTGTTCCTCGACAGTGGCGCCACCCTCACGCTCTTGCCGCAAGCTCTTGCCGATGCTGTCGCGTCTGACTTTGGCGCGAGCGGTACCGATTCCAACGGCTTCTACGAGGTCGACTGCTCGTTGAACGACCTGAACGGATCCATCAACTTTGCCTTTCCCGGCGTGACCATTCAGGTCTCTTACAAGGAGATTATCCGCGAGCTTCAGACAAGCTTTGGGACCATGTGCTACCTCGGCATCACGCCCAATGACGATTTCGTCCTGCTCGGCGACAGCATGCTGCGGTCAGCCTATGCCGTCTTTGACCAGACAGGCAACGCTATCCACCTTGCCCAGTACGTCAACTGCGGCACCACCGAAGTCGAAATCACCGCCTCGACCAACATAAGCTCTCTGACGGGCGACTGCAACCTATCTGACAGCAATTCCGCCAACTCGGCAACGGGCACGGCGTCCAGTGGCTCAACGGCCACGGCCACGGGCTCGGGAGGCTCGAGCGCCAGCAGTACCGGCGCATCAAATGCTGGCGGAAAGACTTTTGGCAGTCCCTTGACTTTACTTGCGCTTTGGGTGGGAACGGTAGCCTCCCTTGGATTGGCAGGCATTGTATAGACATGACTTGCGGGGAAAGGAATTTTGTCTTTGATTACAACATGCATTCATCGAGGCGTTTGGGGTACTGGATATCCTTTTCTTTTTATGTATAACATCATTGCGCGACCATGCCTAAGCAGAGGCAACGCGCACTTGCATTCTAGCATACCATCTAGACTGATAGAATAGTGCATAATGCATATATCACAATCATTGAACCTTGATCATAGCTTGCCTGACAATGTAGCAGTACTTTTTTGGAACTCATCCTTTTCTTGAGCTGGGTTGATTGTCCTCGTCAACTTGTTTGTTTGTGCCAAATTGTGCCATTCTATGCACCTGGCGACCAATCCGCCATAGCCCCTGACCCTTCTATACCTTACGCCATGCAAGTATCACATATTTTCCCCCGTCTAGCAAATTGCCCCAAGCAAATAGACCTCCCATGCCCTCCGCGCCATGTCCTACACCCTTTGCCACCAGGGCTGTGCATCATCACTTCTATTCCTCCAGCTCAAAAGAGCCTACCGAGTGCACCTCGTAGCGGATCTGCTGCAGTGTTGCACCGTTGGTGATTAGATAGGCTGATATATCGGTCATGAACCTCTCGGGCCCGCAAATGTAGTACTGGGTTGACTTGTTGCCGAAATACATATCATCGGCGTTGAACCACTCGAGGTAGTACCCAAAGCCGCCGCTTTCTGTCGACTCGGCCAAGTCCTTATTGCCCATGGCCGTATTGAAAAAGGTCGTTCGCATTTGTGGCCGCGTCTTGGCCAGCTTTTCGACGTGTTCCTGAAAGGCAATGCTCTGCCTAGAGCCGTGGATCCAAGTAATGGGGCGCTCTTTCGTCTCCTCCACAACGGTGTTTAGCATGGACAGGATTGGGGAAATGCCAATGCCAGCAGAAATCAAGACCACGGGCGTTGAGCCAGAGTCATTTCTGGTGTCAAAATAGAAATCGCCGGCCGGGTGACTAAGCTCGACAACATCACCTTCGAGCATCTCATCAATCATCAAGCTCGAGACAACGCCTTGCTTCTTTGTTGTGTAATTCATGATTCCTAGAAAGCTGTCACCTGTCGTGCTCTCGACGGCCGTCGAGAATGAAGATGATCGACTGTGGGGTTTGCGGAGGGGCGGCGATCGCCTAGAAGGAGTGGATAATCCACTTCCAAGACTACTGCTACTGTCATATAGCTCTTTCCTTTCCATTACCTTCTTGATTGTAAGGCGATAACGGTCTGGCCTGGGTCTATCGCTGAGCGAATACTGTCTGATCTGCAGATACCCGCTTCCGGGAACACGAACTCGGAGTGATACATATTGCCCAGGATGGAAAGGGGGCAGAGGTACGCCGTCGACAGGCTTGAGATCGAACGAGACAACATCTCCCTCGGGCGTCTCCCGCGTCTTCTTTTCGACGATGAAGCGGCGCCAGCCCTTCCAGCTCTCGAACTCGCGGTATAGTTGCTGCTCTCGGTTGGCCAGCATGTTGGCCATGATCCAGTAAGCCTTGGTCCAGGCGGTGCGTACTTCGGGGGTCATCTTGGGACCGAGGACGGCAGCAAAGGCCCTCATCAGGTACTTGCAGACAATCTCATAGTGGTCCGGCTGGATACCAAGACTGACATGCTTATTGGCGACACGCTCGAATTTTGGTGTGAGCTCGCTGATGTGGCTGATATTAGAAGCATACGCCAGTATGAGCTTGGTGAGAGCGCGCGGCTGAGAGCCGTTCTTCATGTTGACGGCATTGAAGTAGTTGTTGAGATCTGGATGCTCCTTGAGCATGGTTTTGTAGAAGACGGTGGCAATGTGCTCTCCATGTTCCTGTAGAGTTGGGATGGTGCCCTTGACCATCCTTGTCTGTTCGTACGAAAGAGCCATGGTGATGTCGAATATGTGTGTACCCTAGGCAGCGGGGGATGTGCCCATCTAGTCAACAACTTTGGATCTGGTAACGATGAGAGGGAGGGAGGAGGGGTCTGATAGATGGGAGTATAAGAAGGAGTGAGCGAGCAGGAGATGCTCGGGGTGAGACAGGGTTCAGTGATCCTCCAAGATTCACGATCTCAGATGAAGAAAGAGGTGGAACGAAGTCTTGGGGAACGGGGGTTCTTATTTTCTCTTATGGAAAAGAATGGGGAAAAGAAGAACAAAGTCGGTTACTTAATAAATGTCTCGGACTCGGGAGAATTCGTCAATGGGAAGGAACATACAGTACACACACATGAACTGGATGCAAGCAGCAGTAGCCGTGGGCACCTTCCGACATGGAGATTACCTTACCTACTAATGTACTGACTCTACTGCAAATTTGGAGTGGATGAGTGCAGAAATTGACAGACACACACATACATACACTGACCGCCAAAGAAGTTCAGTATCAGTAATAGTTTTACCTTTGACCATTTTTTTCACTTGCTTCTTCCCTCCATTTACTTTACTGGCCCCCCGCGGTTCATGCGACACTCCGAAGGGTCCATAGACCGTTAGGCGAGACCCTGATCCCAGTGCAGTCCACTCAGCCCGGATGGAGGCGAACGGATGGGGAGGAGAGGAGCCACTATCATAGTTGGTGCCTTGGTACGGCTTGAGACGACATGTGGAAACCCTGCGAGGCACGGGGCACCTTCAGACTGGATGCCAGATTATTTCCGTGGTTCCATATGAAGTGTTGCATTTTCTCTTTTGCTTCTTTTCTTCATCACCGTCATAAGAGGAGCCGTGCGCCATGGCTTGCCTATGTGATGGAGTACATACTGCCCTGTCCTTTTCGTCGACACGCGCGGCTCTGGGTTGGCTGGCTGGCACGTGTGGCATGTCTCCAAGTACCGGCATGTCACTCTGCAAATGATGCCTGTAGGAGTATCTTTTATGGAAAGTCCAAGCCAGATCGATCGTACGCCCGCCGCCGGTCGGTGATAATGATGGTGATGATGATGATGTAGTGCACGGTACGTGGGTATGGGAAATTTTCTGCGGAGAGGTGAATTCACTCGATCCAATCCCCAATGAAAGTGTGAGACCGGGGAGTCGTTGAAAATGGTCCGATTGACAGGGCGAAATGGCACGATTATCGGCTGAGCCCATGTACTGTCACCTTGCCACGGGCCGCACTCTGCCTAAGCCCAAGAATGGGCGGCCTGCCATTGGTCCGCGGGAGTTCCGTATATTTACTTCACAACCGTTTCGTTTTGGTTGTTTCCTCGCAGGGCAATGAGGCGTCGCATCGTTTATAGGTAGTAAGTAGTAGTAAGGTACTTTGAAGAGTAGGAGGAGTCTGTCCGAACCGAACAAGCCGAGCTGCTAACTGCATCAGGGCGCATCAATAAGACCCTGAAATTCATCTCCAGCAGAGAACAGTGGATTGGTTTTCGAGAAAGAAAAAATCGAGATTAAACCCCCCATCTTAGATTCCTCGGAATCCGGAACTCGTCAGCTCATCACGGAATCACAACTCAACCAAAGTGGAGGACATGGGCCTCTGGTCGGTTAGTAGGTGCAGCATTTCATATCCACACTGCCCAAGTTTTTCGACTCTAGTCAAGGGAGAATAAAATGGCAGCAAAGTATTCACTACATACCTACTTCTATTACCTACCTACCTAGGTCCTACGGAGACCGTTCCGTAGTGCGCACGAATACCTACCGGGTACTACATTACGCAGCTAGCGAATTAGCATCATCTAGGTATACATCCGGGGCACCAGCGCATCGCAAATCAATCTTGAAGGTTCATGTGCGCATTTGCACATGTGCACGTCGAGCATGCGCGCACACACACAGAGAGAGATACTACACTTCTACCAGCACAGTAGCTTTGGTGGCGCACGCCGAGACTTCTCGGAGGTCTCACAAACACATGGGCAGTCTGATCAATCAACTCTAGGAGTGCGCCGAAATCCTCATCCGAGCATGAGGTGGTAAAACGAACGAGTACGAGCACAATATGTCGTTCACAACGGCACAGTATCGCCTGATTTAGTGTCGCCAACGCAATTATACCTTGCAGCATAACATCATCTTTCGGGCAGCAATTCCTACTGAGCCATTTCGATCTTCCTAGTATTTGACTGGCACTACGGAATTATCCGTAGCAAGTTCATGGCTTTCATCTCTTGAGTGGGTTGGTGGAATTTGAATCGCATCTTTCTTCTCTCCTCTCTTTGCTCCAGTGCCGCTAAATTTATTGGGGGAGCGAGTCCCGACAATACTTGCTCGCTTGTCACAAGGGCGACCAGGTATCTTCCCAGATTAGAAACGTCACTACGAAACTTACAGGTATATCCATGAAAATATAATGGAGTGTCTATTTTATAGTCTCCAGGCTACCAATTCTATTAGTTTATGCCTTGTATGCGCATTGACCTCAGTTGGCTGTTTCCGTTTTCTTCTTTTTCTACATGTTTGTTGAGTCCCTACATACCTGAAGAATAAAAAGTCATTCTTGAATCATAGCGTTCGTAATGCGCTGATAACCGTTGGCCATAGTGGCCTCGGGCCCCAAAACGTTTGTGCCTACGGTCTACTTAGGCCCACCTATTTAGCGGCCGCTGTGATCGACGACCCTTTTGGAGTAAGGTAAGAAAGAATACACAGGGGACGGCCAAAACGGAGCTTAAGATGCGATCTGCACCGTATCAAGATCCGACAAAGATAATGACGCAGCTGCAGATTGATGGGCGGGCTGGTGGACCATGATGGCTAAGCGAGCACGAGACAAGGGAAACTCTGACTGTAACAATCGATCCATGCGGAAAGCGGAAATAAACAACAACCGACCACACACAGCTTCTTGAAATCGATCTTGCACCATGGCAATTAAGAATGTTGCTCTCGTTGGCGCAAACGGCAATCTAGGCGGCCCCATTCTCCAGGCTCTTGTCGACTCTGGCCTCTTCAACGTGACCGTGCTGAAGCGGGCATCTTCGAACTCTAGTCCGACTTCGGATCCCAGCGTCCGGCTTGTCAGCATTGACGATGACATGACTACCGAAAGCCTCACAGCAGCGCTTCAGGGTCAAGATGCGTGCATTGCCTGCTTCCCGCTGAGAGACACGGAGCAGCATTTGCGTCTCGTCGATGCCGCTGCCGCTGCCGGCGTGAAGCGCTTCATACCCGCCGACTACGGCAGCTGCGATTCGAGCAGCAAGCAGGCCCAAGAGCTGGTTCCTCTCTTTCTCAACAAGGTCCGCGTGCGTGAGCGCTGCCAGGAGTACGCCAACAAGGACTCCAACTTTACCTGGACCAGTCTTGTAGCTGGTCACTTTTTCGACTGGGGCCTGAGGGAGAACTTTTTGCACTTTGACCTCAAGACTAAGACGGCAGACATTCTAGACGACGGAACCTACAGAAGCTCGACCTCGACCCTTGGGCGCATTGCCGAGGCTGTGGTCAAGGTGTTGAAGGACGAGGATATTGGTCGAAACAAGATGCTGTTCATGCAGAGTTTCTGTGTCTCGCAGCTCGACGTGCTTGCCTCGCTGGAAAAGGCGACTGGCGAGAAATGGAAAGTCAACTGGGTCAAGTCCGACGATTTCATCAAGGAGAACAAGGCCAAGGCCGATGCAGGCGACAAGGACGCTATCGAGCACCTGGTCTTTGCCCTGGGAGCCCTGGATGGAGACTGGGAAAAGAAGGATGGCTTCGCCATGGATGTACTTGGGCTCCAGAATCAGGACTTGGATGAGATTGTGAAGGGCGTGGTTGACGAAGTTCGTTCTTGATGGACATCACAGTGTTGGATGATGAGCAGAACCATCCTCGGTCAATCACACGAAACTACCTATCTCAGAAGAAAATGCTAAAAGCAATGAATGAAAAAAGTTGCGCTTCATCGCGATATGATTTCATGCGCTAAATAGCTTCTCATACTGTCGGAATAAGGCCTCGTGACTTGTGTTCGCACATATAGAGACGAGTATAAATTTACAGTAGGTAAAGTACCTAGTAGGCATCAGTACGATTTAGTGTGGGTGTCGCTAAATTTAGGTACCCGTGAGTCCCCAGAGGGCAAGTGCGGAAAGGCCCCGGCTGTCTGAACTCAGCACTGCGGGTGCTTTGCAAGTCATGTGTTTTCGTTCCTCCTAGCAACTTTAGCGCTTGACACGCCCTGCCCCTCCTCGCGACGCAGACGCGCTTTTGGCAGGGTCCCTTGTCAGATTGATATACGGAATCTCCATTCATTGGATATCTTGATCAACAACACGATTGAAAAAGCAAAACTTCACCTCCAACCCTTCCCTTGCACAAGCAATCACCACCATCCGTGGGGGGAACGATGCGGCGTGTCGTCGCATCACCAGCATGGCTCCCGTGCAGCAGACGTTCTCGCTGATTCCCGAACTTCCTTCTGCCCTCCATGGCCATGGCGGCGATCAACAGCAGCAGGGTCGCATCTCCCGACCCCCCATGACGACCAAGCAGGCGAAGAAGGCCTACAAGGCCAAAAACAAGGGTCCGAAGCTCTCCAAAGCCGAGCAGCGCCGCCAGGACCTGATGGAACAGGACCGCATCCGCCGCGAGTTTGAAAAGGAGCGCAACCAGGCCAGAGCCAAGGCCGCTCGGGACAAGCGCAAGGAGAAGGAGGATCGGGAAAAGGCCGAGAAAAAGAAGAAAGGCATCCCACTTGTTGAGGTCCATCCGTCCCAAGATACCTTGGCCCGCTTTGTGCGGAGGCCGACAACCCCTACCGTGGGGCCGAAGTCTAAGACCGATAGCAGTGGATTTCCGGGCCGACGGAGCCAGTCGCCGAGAGATCAAAGGCCAGATAGTCTGCCGGTTGTCTGTTCTGAAGAAGATGATAGCGACGCAACCTTACCAGCAGAAGATGAACCAGAAAGACCAACAAAGAGGCAACGCACTGAGGAATCGCCCAGAGCCCTGCCGGTGATTGAGCATGAGCTAAATGGCATGTTCAAGAAGCCAATCACAAAGCCCGATATCGATCCAGGGATCGATCAAACACGGAACAGAGCTTCTCAACACTCACAAACCAATGTGATGAAAGAACCCACTGCAACATCGACGAGTCTTGATCCAGATGATCCAATAGTTGAGAATATGGTTAATCGTCAAATTCTCAACGAATCGTTTTCTGCGGATGATGGCTTATTTGACGATATCGATCTTGATGCTATTGAAATGCAAACTGTAGCTCAACACGCTACACGCATGACACGCATGGAGCCAAATATTGCGCTTTCGAGACCTCCCGATCCTCGTTCGTCACCAGGAAAAGACCAACCTGTTGTCCAGAAAGGCACTATAGACCAAATGCCTGATCAGAAACAAGTTCTCGTCGCCTCATATCCAAAACAGCCTGTCCAAATGCGTCGCGACGACGGAAAACGCGCCGTGGAGTATAATAACCTGAACCGCAAGTCTTTATCGAATGAGGAAACACCAAAGAATTATGTAATCGAGCGACCAAGTGTCGACGAGGATGTTGCTACTCCAGCAGCGCTGGCCGCTACCAGTCGGAACTCATGTTCTGGGAGTCGCGCGACGAAAGCCCATCGTCGACTTCTGCTTGTTACTGAGCAGCAAGACCGGAAACCATTGCAAGAATTACCAATCAAGCAGAGCGGACATTCGGTCCAGATGCAGAACGCACAAGCGAATTCTTCTGCAGTCAGTGAACAGACACGAATAGAACAGACACCAAAGCGATCTCGCCCAAGTCCAAAATCAGTCTTGAATGGATCAAGCGTATTCCTGTCGCCCAAGACCCCATCCATGGGCCCTCCGCCATTGCCACCAAAATTCAAGACTCATGGTCAACCAATTTCTGGCAATGGCCTTCACAAACCAAAATTCTTACCGCGGCAGCACCCAACGCACGTGCTGCCTAAAAGGGAATCGGAGTCTCCAGCGCACCTGTTGAGCACCAGAACAGACTTGCCTCCATCGAGCACGCAGCTATTTCTGCAGAGTTTTGCTGATGACCTTTTCCCCAGCCCTTCGCAAGAAATCGCGGAGCTCCTCGACGAACCTACCAGCGGGCTTCAGGGACCATCCACTCACTCGAAATCGGCATCAGTTGCGTCACCTCTGCGTCCATCTCGCATCGAAAACAAGCGTGACAATCAACTATCACGGCCCTTTTCCCGTGATAACACTCAGAAAAACCGAACTTTGTCTCATGGAAGAACAAAACGTCATGAACCGCAAGCCCCAGTAAATAATCATAGAGTCACTACACGGAAGCCGCAGTTGCCCGAACCACCAAACATAGATATGCCGTTCTTGCTGACACAAGACATTCTGCTCTCGTCACAAGACCTCATAGAACTTGAAGATGAGCCATTGGTTCCATTGGGTCGACTTCGGCCAAGCAATGATCGTGTGAGCACGAATATTGTGCCCCCCAACTCCATTTTGAATCCACAAATGCATAGCATTCCAAGACAAAACTATCACACGACAGCTATCACAGGGAAATCTATTGCAATGCCTGAAGGGATGAAATCAACAAAAAGCTCCTCTGTAGAGAGCTTTAAGATACCTGGCGCAGCAAGTCTTCGGGCGAAGCACGCAGACGATCTGCCACAGACTCCTTCGGGAACTCTAGCTCATAGGAAGCCAGAACCACTCGACAAGGACCCGCCCTACGGAAACCGTACAGTGAAGAAGACTCAAGCCCGAGAACTGGAGACTGGAGACCTAACATCCTCATTCACGGACGACGAACTCGCAGAATTGTTTAGTGAAGATCTCGAGATAGAGCGTGATGACCCAGAACCAGCAGAAACCAAAGCCCCTTCCCAAGTCGTACCACAACGTACTCCAATTCAGAGACACTCGTCTCCAAAGCCATTTTTTACGTCTAGTGGTACCAAGGAAAGATTTATCTTGGCTTTCGAGAAATCTAGGAATGACACTTGGCGAAACGAACAGGCACGACGCCAAGGTCAGGAGGAATTAGATGTTCTTTGCAGAGAAGAGGAGGAAAGGCAACAGAGGGTGCTGACCGATAAGCTATTGGAGGCGGAAGAGCATTTTGAGAGAAAGGCAGATGCTGTGGACTTGGTCGTTGACAATAGCAATAAGCGTCAACGTGCTTGCAGCTCGTCGGCCAAGTCTAGTAACGGCGCTCCTCGCAGCCAGAATAGTGCTACCTCGAGCAACAAGGCTCGGCAGCGTAACTATCCTCATGGCTCTTTTGAGAAAATGTGTGAGATGCTCAAGGAAAAACAGGCCTTGGAGAACACCAAAGAAGCCATTATACCTGCTTCCCAGGGGAGTGACTATGGCGATTTTGGTTTGGATCTTGACGACCTTCCTTGCTTATGATGTCCCCAGATTTGCTTTCTGGACAGGCTTTCACCATCCGACTTTGGGTCACTCCTCTCACCTGGCTAGTCCGATTACCCACTTTACATTAAAGCAGAATAACACCCAGAAGAGAAAAAAAATAAGAATAAATCCAATTTCCAGGCATTTCCATCGCGCCATGAACGTCTCTTATCGTGTTTGCACCCAACTTGGTAAGACACGCAAGACCTTTACACGACTGCAATCTTTGGAGTCCATTTATTGGAGCAAGCTGCTTTCATTGACAAAAAGCCGTCCCCTTTGCGAGCAAGGTCTTCTCCCAGCACAAGTCAGCTGGAATGGTTCCGGAGCTCTTGTCCCGGTGAAACCAGCCACGTATGCAAATTACCGAGTTCAGTATGTGGCCATCTGATTACATTGTGATACTGTGTCGCTAAATTTACTGAAAAGATATGTTTGCCTCAATCTCTTGCTCAGTGATTCTGCCATTCATGAGTGTGTTGACTAGAGTCCCACAGAACATGTCTCTTGAATTACGTTTCTGTGAGACCAATGTCGATGGAAACTCGACACGACAGGGTCATTACTTATATAACTGCGAATAAATAATGAATTGCATGCCAGTGAAGACGCTGGCATCTCCTAGCTTTTGCCCTTGCGATACCCATGTCCAACGATATGAGAATGCGTCTCCTCAAGTCAAACCACCCAGCTAACCAGGGCTCACGCCGGGGGATTCTCAAATCACTGCCAGTACGCAGCAAGAACCACATTGTAGCCGCCGGTTCCGAGTTCATTGGGACGTTTCTCTTTCTCTTCTTCGCCTTTGCGGGCGCCCAAACCGCCAACACGGCCCCGGGCGGCGACGGGCCCGCCGACCCAGCCCGTCTCCTCTTTATCGCCCTGAGCTTTGGCATCAGCCTGGCCGTCAACGTGTGGGTCTTTTTCCGCGTCAGCGGGGGGCTCTTCAACCCCGCCGTCAGCCTGGCCATGGTCCTCGCGGGCGCCATGGACGCGGCCCGGGCCGTGCTGGTCGTGCCGGCGCAGCTGCTCGGGGGCGTCGCGGCTGCCGCCGTGGTCGGGGCCCTGCTCCCGGGACCCCTGGCTGTCGGCACGGCGCTGGGTGCCGGCATCTCGGTCGGTCGCGCCTTGGTGCTGGAAATGCTTCTCACGGCAGAGCTGGTCCTGACGATTTTTATGCTTGCTGCCGAGAAGCATCGGGGTACGTTTATGGCGCCTGTGGGTATTGGGTTGAGTCTTTTTGTGGCTCATTTGGCGTAAGTGGTTTTGCTCTTATTCTTCCATATGCACTCTACTTTCCAAATGACGTTTCTTGTACCTGCCGTATCTCTGACTCGTGGAAATGATATACCAAACAGAGGTGTGTATTATACTGGCGCGTCCCTAAACCCAGCGCGCTCGTTGGGTCCGGCGGTAGTCACGGGTCACTTTCCCAGCGAGCATTGGATCTACTGGATCGGACCTATACTGGGCTCTCTCTTGGCATCGCTGGTGTACCTGCTCGTCAAGGCCGTGGATTACACCACCGTCAATCCTGCCCAGGATGCCGCTGGGGGCGGCGGCGATGACAACAACAACAACAACAACAACAACAACAACAACGCATCCCGAGAAGAGGGACATGCTTCTCACGACATTGATGAGGGAGGGCCCAGCAGGACGGATGCAACGGGAAGCAAGGGTCGGGCCTACGAGCAGAGTCCGAGGTTGGAAGATGGAGAGGGATCACGGGCTACTCAGTAAACCTTGATGATGGAAAGAATTCTCGACGGGGGTTTCGGTACGGGTGATGAAAACGGTACTACAAACGGACTTGGGCATGGAATTTCAAATTGCGTACCCTCCTGCCCTATACTGCTAATGATTGATGAAGAAAATGGTTGGTTGTGCCACGGGATTACAGTAAGTAATGGATCAATTCCAATAAACAATTCCCCCCAATACGTCTTGTCTAAAGTGCTCAAGTGAATAATATTGACTTGTTGAAAGGGATCAAGACTACATTGTAATCATTTTGCTTCCTTGTGCGAGCGAGTTTCTTATAGCCTCGAGCATCATCATGCTATTTCAAGGACTATCGGACACCAGGTTGAAGTCATGTTCTTTTCTCACGTGACATTAAATCCATTGGACAGATTTCATGCTTACATGGCCTTGGTCTTACTAGGAGTGCCCAAGTTCCACAAATATGCACATGAGCGTGGTGCAAGACGTTGTAACAAGATTGTGTCACGGGTATCTTGGTATTGACGCCCGGTCCAGAGCCTCGAGTAGCACGATATGGAGCCGATTGGTGATCTGGGCCATCTTAACGCTTGATCGGTTGAGTCGTGTTCACCTCTTTTTGTAATCTGAAGGTGGCTCGACACCCTGTGCGAGTATCATCTCTGCATATGCTGTAAAACCACACGCAACGATGCTGGATCAAAGTCATGTCCACTCGGTAAAGACCAGGATCGATTCGTGACATCTAACGGCGTACCGAATTACGCGTGAATGGCTTGTGCTTGCAAAAGTCCTGCTCAAGATCATGCAAATAGCCATCATTATGGCGCCATCGGGATATCTTGCATGTTTTACTGCATTACAATTCTTTTTGTCATTGGCCGTCTCATTATCCAAAAGTGACCTCCGATTATGGCTCCAAGATTATTATACACGTAACTCCTTGTCCTCGAGACGCTGCACGCCTATCACCGACGGCTCGTTCCCAGACAAGGGCCACTCCAAAGGTTGTGTCCTCGACGCCTCAATGGCGCGATCCACCTCGGACGGGGTCATGGACACTTGCGATACAATGGCGCCTCTCCTGTTGTTGTTGCCATCTGTACGCAGTGCGGTCAAAGGATACCCATCATCATCAAAGACCGCCGCGATATCCGTGTCGGCCGTGGTGCTGGGGCGCAGAGTACCACCCAGCGACGCCCGACTTCTCGGGTCGCTCGTGATGTTTTGACCTTCCTCGGCGTCGTCATGCAACTTTCTGCCGGTCCGCCGCGACGTGTTGACCTCGCCAAACAGTGTTCTCATGACCGGAATACACTGCACCATGATTGTTCCCGCCACCTCGGCCGAGTACCAAATCATTGAATGGCCTTGATGCCCTGCGGTTGCGAGACGATTAGAACCAGTGTGCAAGTGAGAAAAAGAGGCAAGTAACTAACAATAATACCAGTCATCCAGTTTTGAGTTGGCGGGATCGTTTTGCCAGGCCTGCCGGATTGCCGAGATGATTGCAACGAGAATGCCCAGGCTCAATGTTGCGCATAGTCCAATCTTTTCCCATCGTTTGATGGAAAGCTTCCATATAACCATCCAAGGAAAGAGTGCCAGGGCAAAATCCATGACGATATTCCAGATATTGCCGGCAACCTTGACTCCCGCCGCAATGCCATAGTCGACACAGAAGCCTTGCATCCGCCAGTAGTTTTGGTAGTCTGCATTGCCGCAGTATTTGGGCCAGTTCATGAAAACCTTCAACACCATGAGAACGTTGAGAGTGACAATGCAAAACCAAATTACTGTTTTGCGACAAATGCCGAGTCAGTACGGAGCGGACGAACCACAGCGATGCAAATTCGGAGGGAAATGCTCACATATCCTCTGCGACTCTTGTATTAGTCTCAGCAGCGTCACAGCAAACGCTGTTTTACTCCATGTTTGCCCGACTGTTGTCCCACACGATGATATCGTGATGAGAATCAGCATGCGATCGTCCCAAGTCTTGCTGACATAACCGGTAGTCATTTCCGTAGTGATGATTACATTCGTCGCCAGCAACACGAGCTAAGCAGAGAGAAAGAAAACTAGTCATCAGCATTGGTTTACATATGAGATGGATAGTGTGCTGCTTCTTTTCCAGCAGCGAATACGCATCGGATGCAAATCAAGTTTTTCCTTACCCAGCTCAAAAAGAGTATATAGTCATCATACCACAACCCATATCTATGGGTGACTTTACACCATAGTCGGAAACCAAGAAAGGTGCTTGCGCCACCAAATAAAGTCCATATGCCAATGTTGACTTGCTTCACAGGTGACACAAAGTGATAGGCAGGGACGTGCGACGAGGACATAATCGCATCTTCAAAGGCTGTTTTTTTCGACGTCGTCGAGACGCAGCAGTAGCGGGACTGCCTAAAAGGGGACAAGACAGGAAGAAGATTGGCGACGCGACCTCTTGAGCAAGGACATGCTAGGATTATAACAATTTTGCAAAAAAAGAGTTGGCAATGGGTTTGTCCTTGGGGGCCCGGTAATTCCGCCAACCCAGACAGGAAGTTTGTTCGAGAACTTTACCTGTTTGGGGGACGACGTTGACAAAAAGTCGTGGTCGCGCCTCGATAGATTGGCTGTATGTACCCGTTTGCCTGTTGAGCCTCGGGGGCAAGGGGGATGAAGGGATGGTGAGAAGTGATATTGCTCTACCACGTGGCTGGGATAGCGCCCAAGGATCAGACGAAATTGAATTGGCCGGATACAAGAAACCCAAGCTTCCGTCTTACTTCGCGTATAATTCTTGGGAATTAGTCGTGTTCTTTTCTTGGGAGATTGTTGCAAGTATATTGATCTCATCTTCTCGTATGCGCTGAAGACAAGGGTATGGTCAAGGGGGTGCCTGGTCACTTCTCCGGGTCCCCGGGCGATGAGATCCACTTGTGACGAATCGAACCGACCTTTGGGCTTGCGGAAAATTAACAGTGCAATTTTTACGCGACCCCATCTGCCTTTTTCTTCTCATCCACATTCGCTTCAGCCATGAGATGGCTTCACCTGCGGCAATTGCAAGAGACCAAGTGGGTTGAATGCAACAGAATCCTCGGTGGAGATTCTCCAGAGTGGATTCGTATCAACGGCAGTGCAGACAGTTCTTTGATCTGGATGCCGAGGAGAACAAGACAGCAACTTATAGGGGCGGGGGTTGATCTTCACATGCTGCCAATGGCGTCGATTGTTTCCATTAGATCACGGTGTCTGATCGCGCATTGCGAATATCCTGGTGATATGCGGGTGACTGGTGGGACGGACATCTTCCGCAGGTTTGTTTGAGAAAGGGAGTCTTTGACGTAGGTGCACTCTGTAGATGGCCGGAGCATGTCGCCGGATGGATGACTCAGTCGACGACAACTTGCTCTTGTAACCTTCAAGTGCCGATTGCGCAATTCGGGGTTCTAGCAGTCAAAGTGAAAGGCACTGGGCAATCCTATACTGCTGCCTGCTCTTCATCGTAGGATACGTGACTTGTCGCCGCGTTGTCGCGCTTTTTTTGTTATATCAAGCTCAAACGAGCACTAAAGTAGCAGAGCCGCAAGTGGTGCTTTCCTATTGATCCATGTTCTGCGCCTCTAGTTTTTGACAAGGTGCAGACTTATTTATTGGGGTGACCCCGGCTAAGCCCCGGGAGGCCCCGAACACCTATTTGGACGCCGCGGCGTTGATCACTATGGTACACTACAGCACACCCTGGTGCATGGGTAGGATTCATCATCCAGCATCTGGCACTAATCTACCGGGCTGACATGTCGCTGAAGCTTGAGATCAGCAACGGCTCACCTGCCACACCTCCAAGCTAAAATGCTCACGAACCGAGCCGTGCTCCAACTGCGCCAGCTCTGGCCACGAGTGTGGAATATCGGGAGCAATTCAAACGTCGCCTAGTCTCCCGGCACCAATGTAGCCGACCTCGAGGACCGAATCACATGATTTGAGAGAACCTCGACAAGATTCACCCCATCGACCATCTTGTGTCGCACCCTGAACCAGAATTTAGTGCAGATGAGACAACTGCAAGCCCCGAAGGGAAATCCTGGCCCTCACCGTTGCCCCGGAGCCAACGTCGAAGCTCTCCTCTTTCACAAGGCCAGGCGACTGGAGAATATCCTGGAACGGAATCTCTACGACGCCAGTCTCAGTTGTCTTGTTCAGCAGCGCAATCTTGAAGTTTGCGGGATCGGCAAGCAAGTCCGCAGTCACTGGGATCCGGAACGCCTGGTCAAACGATGGGTTGAAGATGTCCGTGCCTGGGCTATAGGACTTGACCGCGGTTTGGAACTCCTTGGCGCCCCACGTCACCTTGATGCTGGGATTCAGCTCATCGCGTTGGCCCTGTAGACCCAGGGCGCTGGCGACGAGGACCGTGGCGAGACCGACGACCTGATCTTGGCTTTCGCTCTGCGTAGCAGTGATTGCACCAGCGTCTTCCACAAAGTCGTAGAATTGGGCGTGTACAATGATCTTGGCGTCTGTGGGCTCGCCGCTGTGGTGGACGAGTGCCAATTCCTGTGAGCCACCCTTGAGTAATATCTCCTTGACAGTGGTCGCAGCAACACCAATGTCGTCATCGTCACCGAGGTCGTCGTCCTGGACATCGATGAATATCCGCTGGTCGTAGTCGGCGACGAGGAAATCGTGCGTCTCGTTCCACTCTGGGTCTTTGTCGTTCTTCTTGGTCGAGGTCCGCCACTCTTCCTCGGCGCCGATGGTAACTTTGCAATAGCAGTCGGGGACGTCTTTGATGATCTTGGCCAACAGCCTCTTGGCACCACTCTTCCTGGGGCCGCTGATACCGATTGCCTTCTCCACAGTCAGACGTACTACACCAAGGTGAGGCAGATACGTCTTGAAATAGTCGTTGTCGTTGGAGATCTTGACCAGGTAGCGATTTGGCAGCACCGCCATGGAGCCAATGATGTCCAGGATGACCTTGCGAATCATCTTGTTCACAACAACCCAATCGGCAACATTGGCAGCGTTGGTGAAGTTGAGCTTGAGCTCGGGCGGATTAATGAAAGCCACTTGAGCAGCACCGATCTTCGGGCACGGGTCAGTCTCAACCGTGTTGGGCAAGATGAATGAGGGGAGCATACCAGCGGGATGATATTCGTCAGAGGGCATAGTAATATGGACAGCCTTCCTTTGAGCGTTACATGTTCGATCCCCTGGTTTGCAATTTAGTCATGACCAAGCCAGCATTTGAGTCCTTGCGATAGGTTCTTACCAGCTTAGGGACCATCTTGCCGTCTAGCTCAATGTCGCTCTGCCCCTCCCACGTCACGTTCATGTCGAGCTTGATACCCTCGTTTTCCGTCTTGTGGACGTCCACGGCAGACACTCGAATGGGGACTTTGCCCAGGTCAAGCTTCACAAACTTGAGCGTAGCCAGAGGGCCTGGCAGCATGGATGCAAACATGGGCTCGACAATCTCCTTGACCATCCGGCAGCCTGCGACGTTGATGTTGGGCCATAGCTGTTCGATGATGTCGTTGAGGAATCCTGCCTAGAAATGAACCAATGCACCATGCCAAGATGTAGTGAATGCCTCTCTTACCTACGGATTCGCTACCGCCAGAAGCTGTCAATTTGTCAACAAGAGTAGCCATGGTAAAGATACTTTGGATATCTTGAATTGGAAAACAGATATTTCAAGATGAGTAGAAGTAGTACTGTACAGCTATAGAAAGTCCAGAGGTATCCAGAGGTAGGTAATTTATATTGTTATGCCATTGCTATTCAGACGGGCCAGACCCATCTGAAGAGGGAGCGGACAGCCAAAATAAAGTTGAAACTGCGGGGAAAGATCGATTGATCGTCCAGGGGCAATTGGCAAATAACCAGCTTTCAGCCCCTGAAACACGCGACGTAGCACTCGTAGGGGGCTTCGTGGTGCCTTGTTATTCGTGTTGTCTGGCGGTGGGAAACATGAAGCGGGTTGTTGGGTGGATTGACGTCACACGTCAGACTGTGGAGATGACTAAAAGGTTGGTTTGGGTGGCTTTGTTGGACAAGTTTACTTGGCATGGCTTGCAGCGTGCGCTTCAGCTCTCATAGCTGGCCGCCATGACGATTCGATTCGATGTCACAGTAGATCAATCCGTCGGGTCTGTCTAGTGCAATGCGGAATAACCTGCTCGTCCGAACATGTGACTGGCCCGAGAACAGTTGATATTCAGTCACAGCAGCATCGTGTAATGAATATTCTGGTTCTTGAGATGTTTCACTGCCCCGTTCCAATCATGATCTAGCCACAGTGACAGACATGGAATGCCCCCACGGATTAGCGAATGGAAACAGACCATTGTCTATGGCGGTGACATTGGCAGCGACAATCGAATGGTAGAATTACAAAAGTCGTCTTGTTTCCAACAACTGAGTCATGTTTACATTTCCAAACAGGACTTGGTCGACTTACCACAGGATGCATCTACAGCTTCGAGTTGTACCACGTCTCGTCGTCGTTTTCCACACGAAGCGACATATTCCCGGATCAGACGTTGCAGCAAACTACTATCATAGTTGGGGCTGTAGTCGTGGTCGGACTTGTGTATTCTACGAGGACTGTGGCTGTAAAGTCTAGCGGATCAGTTGCATTTGGCCCTGGGTCTTGTGAGACGAGCAGCTGCGTAGTCGCGTCGGTCCGAAAGTAGACAAAGCCATTTCCACAATCACAGAAGAGGACCAAAGTTGAAGCCAAAAACCCCACCGTCCTTGTCACCCGTCCAGGGGCTCGGAGACTCAGACGTATAGCCAGCACTTTGGAGCTATAGTCGGGACCTTTGGGGCTATAGTTGAGACTGCGGGAGCTATAGTATCTCAATCGCAGGCACGAAATACCACTACATCGTCACTTTCCAGGGGCATGGGTAGCAGCAATGGCCCCGAGGGCCACTTCATCGAGGTAGAATCCTCGTCACCAAACAAGTCGTCGAGTGTCCCAAACGCCCACCAACAGCCCGCTGGCCTCAGGCTAATGCGATAATCCTTTCCAGCAGTGAGACCCCGCCCGAGAAGCCTGGCAGTCCGAATGATCTGCTCTTGAGGTGCAATGGTAAGGAGCTGCTTGCGTAAAAGTTTGCCGCCTCCGCTGGTGGTTGATATAAAAGTAGGCGCATCGCTGATGAAGTCCTCTTGGGTTTCTGGATCGATGATGGAGAAATTTCTCACGTCTGGATTAGTGGCCGTCACGCGCGACCTTGGGTTGGCAATCTCGCCGCGCGGCTGGAGATGATGCTGATCGCCGGTTGTCTTTACGGTTATGGGCCGATCATGGGTGTTGGTGATGGTTATCTGAATAGGCGCCGGCAGCTTGCTGGATCCGGAAGAGTTTTGGTCGTCGGTCGCATGGTCTTCTTTCGCCAGTGCCAACTTGATAGTCAACCTGGGTGGCATTTCCAGCTCAGATACCACTCGAAACGACCTGGACCATGCTGACCGGTGCGAGACGAGGCTTGTGGGCTCAGGTGACGCAGATATGTCTACATCTTCTTGTGTTTGTGATGAACTCCTCCAAGTCCACCATTGGACACCAAGATCATTGCTTTTTGTTTTCAGCGTATATCGATGTCCAGGCTGAACCATTGGGCGCAAGACCGTAGCTGCTCCAAGCGGCACACTCTGAGTCGGGCGACCTCTTCCTCGGAAATCTGTTGGCAGCTTTATAAGCGACTCCAAAGTCTGACTTGGTGAATCATCCTGATAGTGCTCGTCTCGTTCCCTGGATTCGGGGCGGCAGATGGCTGTCTTGGTGTCTTCGTCAATCAATTCCAAGAGACCTTTGTCCAGTGCAGCCGGGAGATCAAAGACGGAACCGTTGCGGCGAATGACCATGTCCCTAGGATCCGACTCGGATGTAACGCTTCTGCGGACTTGCAGATATAATTCGAAAGGTGCTTTGCCTGATAGATCAAATATTGTCGGATGGTAGTTGCCCTGTAGATCAAGGTAGATAGGAATCTCTTTCTTCGTTTCCATGTTGATGATGTGGATTTTGGTGCACAGTCTGTAGTTTTTCCAATGTTTTGAAAGTGTCCTAGGCTCTAGTAATACTCTCAAAAGCCTACAAGAAAACGCGTGACTCAGAGTGGGCACCAGGCAGTGTCATGATGAGTTTTTCGAATAGGGTGGACGTGACGTCTGGTTAGGCAGGACCACAAGACTGAAGGATGCGTCTGTAATACGCCACAAAGGAAACTGTATATCATGAGTTGAACTTATCTAGGCGGTTGCTGTGCCTCAATCTCCCCCGACTGTCCGGACTTTCTCTCCGGTTCGTCATGTCGATCTTTTCTGCAACAAATGTGGGGTTCCTTCCAGTCAGCATCCTGGTTTCTGACTATAATCAAAGAAATACTTGCCCAGCTACATCAGGCAGCCTGATTGAATCCTAATCCATGCCTATATCCTAGTCTGAGGATTCCTAAGAACAGCTGAGTCGTGAAACAAAACAATCTTCAAATGCTTCAATGAGTAATCACCGTTTTATTTCTTCTAGTGTCTGGCGCTGTTGCAACTCCCACAAAGATGCAAGCCGCACCGGCGCGTATAGCACTTCGCCAAACAGAGCCCTCTTCGCATCCCAGAGGAGATGGCGGTCTCTGCACCAACGATTCCAATACCCCAATTTTGACGAGAACGATAATACTCAGCTCTCCCGTGTAAAGGCGATTCACCAGACCGCTTGTACGGGACTGCCACAACTTCTCGTACTCGGCTACGAGAGCATCGTCGACGAACCGTCATCACCTGCATCTACAGTTTGCCGCGCTCTTATTGATAGATACTGGACTATTGAAGCAGATCCTCGATGCCACCAAACGTCAGATCGGCAAATTAGATGATATACATATTACACACCCTATTGAATCGAGACTGCGGCGGGCCTGGCCCCGACATCCGCGCACACAGGCCAAGCTCATACCCAGGTGACAATGGACGATACCAGTACAGCTCAAAGAATTTCGTCCCCGACTTCCTTCCAATAAGGCCTCCCCAGTCTCACAACTTGGACTGCAACTTTCAAAGAAATTTTACCCCTAACAGCTCGGTTGACGTATCGTTTCTCTCGATCCTCAAGACCATCTAAACGAAACAGGATATTGTCCTGCGAGCCGACATTCTTTCCTCCTAGAGAAAGACGCTGGTCGTTTGATACCGAGACTCGAGGTATGACGACTGAATTGCTGTCTTTCGTCCAAGACGCAGGATGTGTACTATTGATTTGTGGCCGCTGGCTTTTAGGAAAAGAGCGGAATCTGACAATTTCCAATAAGAGACCTCGGGTGCAGGTTGACACTGTAGATCTAGGCACAGAGACGCCTGGCCGCCCAAGTCAAGGCCTCCTTGGCAAGATCGCGTGTATCTGTGCTCAGATTTAACACGTTCAGTGAGGCCCACGTAGCCCAGACGAACTCATCATGATCCTCACTGGCAACAATGATGTCCTCGATATCGTGAACCGTGACGGCCCAATTCAGCTGCATGCTTTCCCTTTTGGAGCAAACCAAGGTGTTGCTTATATCCATATCCTCGTCTCCGTAGTATAGATCCGGGATACTCCATCGTTTTTCCCGCAGCATTGCATCGATGCGAAAGACTCTGAGGTTCGATTGGTCTTGAACTGCTCGAGCAATGGAGTCTGAGATGATGAAGTCGCTGTCGTCTACACTACCAGAAGGGACCTCGAACTCGCCCGGCTCGTAGCTGTCATGGCTGCGGCGTTTTAAAAGAAGGATGGTAGGTCTTGAAGACTGTATGTCAATTTTGAATACCGCAGCGGCGACTTGGAGTCTGCTATCGCGGCCGACATTGCCAACGTGTGAGAGGTACTCGGCCTTTGACATGGCAAGGATGTGCTTCTGGTTTTGGGTGAGTGTTGGGCCCATGGCGGTTTGGACAGATGGTGACCGACGCCACCTCCCTAATGATCTTTCTCAAATTGCTATTTCCTGATAACACAAAGACCAAAAGGATATATTTCGTCGCTGAAGTATACTTCCGCTAGGATACAGTATGCTGGCACACCATATATGACGCCTCAATTCAGTGACCGTTGGAATGGTACAATGCGCAATTGAGATCAAGTGCCATTCGAAAGAGAGAGAAGAGGGGACAGATTTTGATGGCAGAACCTTTTTTGTTTTCCTCATGCGGGCTGTCAAACTGTAAAGTCTGGTGTGGCGTCACGATAGGGTTGGCTTTGGAGGGAGGAAAGCTGCAGAGATTCTTATCTAGCAATCACAACTATCTCTTTCGTGCGTGCAATCGAACATTTGTACCCGCGCCGCGCTCGATTGCGCCGGGAAAAGAAGGATGCAGCATTATTCAAGGGCCAGACATTCTTGAGGGGACATATTGCATTGTTTTTGCCGCTCAAAGATGAGGCTTGTGCGCTTACTATGGCGGTGTTGCATTTGCTTGCTACGCCATGTCTCACACAGCAGGTTTCGTCCATCGTGCCCGAGATATGGACCAAACACGATCTGGTCGTTGCTTTTCTTTTTCTTCTGTGTCTCTCGGTTTGACTAGCCATAGGTCTTCTATTGTGGGTAATGTGCTCAGTTCCAATTGACCACGCCTGGGCTGTATGCAGTCGGGCCGGGTGCATAGACGAAGGATCTGACAGACGGATCCGGGGTAAGAAGATGATGGATCTTCCAGCTTCTTGGTCGGCTGGATCGGTGGCCCCTGTGGAGCCACAGGACGTCCCGCACCTGCAGAAAATATTAGAAAAGAAAGCAACTGCACACTAGAGTATGGACTTGGTTCATGCAAAAGAAGGTCTTTGGGAAAGGATGAAAACAGGAACATTGGCAAATTGTTGTTTTTCTTGTTGATATTGTGGCGGCAAACAGACTCTTTTCCCAAATTCACCAACGTGATCAAGTTACGAGCGCCCAGGATTGATAGCTGGTTTGCACGCGGGTATTTCCGTACCTGCTTGCTTATTTCTGGTCCTGCATCGACACTCGTTCCCACGTGCGACAGATTTCTGACAGGCGGAATCAACAAACTTCATGCTCGGATTGGAGTTAGACTTTGTGAGATACCACAACCTTGAAAGCCTGAACCCGCCTAGACATGATGAATGCTATGTGTGGACATTAATCGTATTAAAGGTTGATAATGTGTAGAGAGCAAGGCTGAACGAAGCCAGCCACAATGAGGATGGATGGAACGAAGATCGTATGCAAATGCCAATTGAAAAGAATGAATCCTCATATGCTACTTGATTGTTTATTGGCTCGCTTGGGCTTGCTTACTGCAAATGGGGCTTTAATGGGTGGTTCTTTTGATGGGGAGGGAAGCACAACAGCAAGTGTGCATGCGTTATGTATTGGTGGGTGCACCACAGAGAGAGAGAGAGACAGGGCAGGCAGACAGACAGACAGACAGATGGCTTGAATTATCTAGAGGTCGTGGCATCAGCTGAGCCATTTCAAGGTCTAAAATGTTCATATAATTGCCTCGTCTCTTTTCCGTAGACCGTTTCAACGCCAACGACATCCGTTTTCTTGTCTAAGATGCAATGGTCGAATTGCAAATCAGCCACTTCAACGCCAGCGCGGCAAGCGAAGGTGCCAGTTAAATAACTCGTGACTTTGTTGCTCGTACCCAACAATGCATGAAGGGTAGGTCGTAGGTAGACAATGGCGGGGGCCCGGGGGGCCACTACGGGGGGCCTAGCCTGTGGGTAGACCTGGAGACCTGCTGGAAAGGAGAATTGGCGTCGATCATAGACCGTGACGAATGCCCAGGGAGGGTTTAGCGCCGCTCGAACCTGGGGAGTCGGTCGATCTTAGTGCCACTAATCACGAGCTTTTGGGGGTCCCCTACCGGGCCCTAGGAAGCCCCTAGAAGCAAGGTTAAGTGCGGTAGAGTTATTGGGTGGACCACCTTTCTCCTGTCTCGTCCAATACCATGTTTGCACTTCTGCAAGGAGTCCAATGACTGGAATGTACGAGGGAGAGACCAAAAGTGCTCATGTGCGTGAGAGAAAATGTGTCCGTGTCTGACCAAACAGCTAGCAGTTGGGTTCGTTCCAGGCCTCGGGTAACTGGCTGGGATTGGGGGGCTTGAGAGAGGAGCCCAGTGTGATTGATTCTGTCGCTGCCAAAGAATGACTCTTCTTCGCACTCATTCCCACCTGTTCTTTTGTGCTTGATAATTCTTCTTCTTTCCTTCGCTGCTCTCTGCTCTCTTTCGGTAGCTTGCGTCGGTGAAGCAAGTTGCTTTTTCCCATCTCTACAAGATACCCATCATCGAGGTCCTTGCTGTGCGCCTATAATCTATTGTCCATCCCGCGCGCATACGCATTCGGCAACCTATCGGTATCCGCTACGATCGCTTATTCAACAACCACCACCCCGACTCACACTCGCTGAGAATCTACAGAAGCCCAACGATCTCGTAACCCAACATCATTTCGCCAATCGCAGCGACGGTCTTGTGGCAAAACATACATTCTTGGAAGAAGAAACCCGGCATTCCAGTCTCCGTTTGCCAGCAACAAGCTTTCCCTTGTTCTCGGAGCTAAAGGCAAGACTTGAGCAACTTTCGCTTGTTTCGCATTATACTTTACGACTAGAAACAGCCGACGATTGATCCTAGTCTGGCGCAACGGCTACGTGCCTAGACACCGCTGAATACTCGCGGCTCGTCGTACTCGAATCATATAATACTTAATTTTTCTTTTTAATCGGTCACCAACATCATCACCATGATGCGCACGTGGCTATCCGCTGCCGTTGTGCTGTTTGGTGCATCGTCAGTCCTAGCCGACCAGACTACATGTTCCCTTGACAATCACTGTCCCGAGGAGACACCATGCTGCTCTCGTAGGTGTCCCCATATAAACTCAAATGTCTAAACTGAATACTATTCGGATTCCCAATTGTCTTTTTTTTTTGTTACTGATATTTGTATAGAATACGGACAATGTGGCGTTGGTGCATACTGCCTAGGAGGCTGCGACCCTAGAATGTCGTTTTCGCTAGACTCTTGTGTGCCAGCACCAGTCTGCGCCTCCAAAACCTTGAAAATGGATAACACGGACAATGTTGTAGACGTTTCCAAGTACCTGGGTGACCCAACTCAGGCCGACTGGGTGGCACAAGGCAGCGCCGTCCCATTCAACGGCAATACTCTCTTGACCATGAAGCCCAACACTGCTGGCACCGTTCTCGCATCGACGGTATATCTGTGGTATGGAAATGTCAAGGCAAAAATCAAGACAGGCCGAGGCGCTGGAGTCGTCACGGCCTTTATTCTCTTGAGTGACGTCAAGGACGAAATCGACTACGAATGGGTCGGCACTGAACTTGACATTGCACAAACCAACTATTACTTTCAGGGTATCCCCGACTGTAAGCAGCCACCCGTCTCGCAGAATGATCTTGCATATTGCGTGACAGCGACTAATGCAATTTCTAGATACGCACTCGGCTAACATTACTGATGTATCCGATACAAACGCCAATTTCCATGAGTACGAAATTCGCTGGACTCCCGACGACATCACGTGGCTTGTAGATGGAGTAGTTGGCCGGGTTCAGAAGAAGTCAGATACTTGGAATGCCACTGCGAACCAGTGGGACTTTCCCCAGACCCCTTCTCGCCTTCAACTGTCCATCTGGCCAGGAGGAGCCAGCACCAACGCCAAAGGTACTATTGACTGGGCCGGTGGGCCGATCGATTGGGACAGCGCCGACATTCAGCGAGATGGTTACTACTACGCCACTTTCGGCGAAGTGGACATTGAATGCTACCAGACCAACACGCCTCCCGGCACAAACTCTGGAAAGAGCTACACGTACAAGGACGCAAAAGCAACCAATGATACCGTTGTTGATGGCGACGACAACACAATTCTCAAGTCTCTGCTGGGAACCGGACTTGACATGGACAAGGAGCTCCCCGCCACAGCCTCGGGAACCGCCGAGGTTATTCCCGGTCTCAGCGGCGGCGGCCCCGGCACAAACGGCGAGGCTGCCGGCTCAAGTGATGGTGGCAGTTCTAGCAGCAGTAGCGGCAGCAGCAGCAGCAGCGGATCTGGATCTACCAAGTGTGACAGCAGCAGTGGATTCCAACAGAACTGCAACAGCGACAGCAGTAGCACCAGCGGCGCAGCCGTGAGACAGGACCACATCCTTATTGGTAGCTCATTTGCCGCAATTGCGACTGTTTTGGGCGCTTTAATGCTATGAGCTGGAAATTTGCATTGGATCTTGAGAAGAACTGTATATAAACCACTTCGTCGTTCACCATGAGGCTCAGACTGCATCGAGATTGAACAGCACCAAGTCGATATTCGCATTTTATTATTTTAATCGCAAGAGCAAGGTAGAAGAGAATTCAATTTGAATGGACTTGGTTGAAAAGATGAAAATTGACTCACCAATTCAATCACATCAACTTACTCTATCTCGATCGAATTGCTGTCACCCCCAAGTGTGCCATGAGTACAGATGTAAACATGTGAAAACGGGCTGGCTAACATTTGTATACTGCAACAGCCGTGTGACTAATGGATCCCAAATTATCATAATGCGCCTTGTCATCCAAGACAAACATGATTGAGAAGAAATCGATGTTCTGATGTTTTGATAATGGAGCTCCCTCTGTTATAGTCTTCCCGAATCCTCCTCGGATCCGAAGGCTAGTGGCGTCGCCGGTGTCCCCACTCGGCCTGATAGACCCTCCGCGTCCTCCCGCAAACCATACGACTCCAGTTCCGGGCAGGAAGTGGCTTCGGTCCGGGCAGTGATAAGTTCTAGGTTTATCCGACTTTTACTTGAGTAATCCCAGCTAGTATAGATCAAAGGAGTCATTGCATAGGAGTATAAAAGATGTCGATCTGCCCACCATCTTGTGCTCCCGAGATTGAATACCACATTTCACCCTAATAATCATATTAATATTATAGGATCTGTTTCCAAGATATATTCCGCATCACTAGTCTACTCTCAAGTACACATGTCGACCAACACCAAAAGTATAGCATTCCTTGGAGCCACGGGCGGCTGCGGCCTCTCGGCTCTCCGACACGCCCTCGCAGCGGGCCACACCTGCATCGCCCTATGCCGGACACCGTCCAAGCTAACGGACCGGTTCCCGCCGGCAGAGTATCCCCACCTCACGGTGGTCCAAGGCAACGCCCACGACGTGGCCGCCGTGAAGCGGTGCCTGGTTGACCCTCGGCACCCGGACCAGCCCCGCCTGGTGGACAGTGTCGTCTTTTCCATTGGCGGCACCTTCATCCCCAGCCGGCTCACCATTGATGACCCGCATGTCTGTGAGCGCGGCATGGAGACGCTGCTCCAGGCTCTTGCCGATATTCGGCGGACTACCGTGTCCCAAGGTGGTGATCATGATGATGATGATGCCCCGACACCGAAGTCCGGTCCGGTCATCGTGGCTGTTAGCACCACGGGTATTTCCAAAGCCGGGCGCGACCTGCCGCTCGTCATGTGGGCGCTGTACCGCGGCATGTTGGGCGTGCCGCATGCCGACAAGGAGGCCATGGAGAACAAGCTCGTGGCGGCCGACGAGGACTTTGTCGTGGTGCGGCCGAGTCTTTTGGTTGACGGTGGAGGTGGAGGCGACGGTGAAGCGCAGGCACCTGCGAAAGAGGTCAAGGTTGGGATCGAGGACTTGAAGCACGGGCGCCACGTTGTTGAGAAGCAGGCTTGGGGATATACCATCTCGAGGGAGGACGTTGGACGTTGGATGTATGAGAACTTACTCCGCGGCGACCAAGGTGGCGAGTATATTGGCAAAGCTGTTTCGCTAACTTGGTAAGTACTGGTTTCGAGGTGATCTCGATTGCCTTCAAGGTGATCACGCTTGGATGTTGCGTTAAGCGAGAATTGTTATACACTACCGTCACGAGAGTCTTTTATTCTCGTTCTTGCAAAAGGGGCGAGACATTGAGGGTTTCCTTTGTTTTTCCCTTAAATCAATTAGATGACGTTGAATTGGAGGTTAGCATAATCCATCCATGCCACATAACCACAACTATACAGCGATACTTTCCAAGTCCTAAGTTTTCTTTTCCCACACCTCGGATTGCAGCCTGCAGGCTCAACTTCTCCCAAGGCTACACGCCAGCATCCTGACGGTGTGCTTCCTATCACAAGATGTCCCTCAACTGCAGTGCACCTTTCCTCTGCGAGGAATATTCGACGCTGTGGTACTGCCCAAAGACGGGGATACCCTCTCACGATGTGTCGGTGTCAGCGCTCTCCACTGGGGTGGGTTTCTCCTTGTCTTTAGTACTGAATCGCAACCCAGATGCCCCCGAGGTTATCATGGTCGCGCCCACGGCGGCAATGGGGATGGCCATGGTCGCGGCGCCCCCCGCGACGCAGCCGATTCCGCCTAGAATCTGCAGCATGGGGACAATATTCTGGATCAGCAACTTTTTCCGCTTCTTGGCCTTGACGCCTTTGTCGAGCTCCGTCTGACTCTTTCGGATTAGCTGCTGGTCTTGTTCGTACGAGCTTCTAAACGATTCGTCATATGAAGAACGACTGTAGTAGGATTGTGTCTCGTATTGCTCTGATTGGTATGACTCGTAGATGGCGGTGCTCTCTTGCCTCTCTTGCTCAAGACGTTCGATTTTCAATTCTGCGTGTTGAAGTTGTTGCAGTAGTGACTGGTACTCGCGATTCCTCTCATCCATGAGCTGCGCAAATCGTGCTTCTTTCTGATAAGAGATATCCTCAAACCGAGTGAGGAGCCGTCGTTCGGCTTCAGCAACATTCTGTACCTTTTGCTCCAGTGCAGCCTTTTCTTCGGCAATAAGCGAGGCCGCCCCGGAACGTGGCTGTCTTTCGACCTTTTCAAGATTGGCCAATTCTCTTTTGGCATCGCCCTTGATGCGAACCAAATCTCGGGCGACTTCCCTGGAAGCTGAAGTGTTCCATGTATCCTTCTTCTCCACCACAATCTCGCGTTGTATTTGCAACACTACCGGCCCGTCTTGAGCGTACTTGGTCGCCAGAGCCTCGATGACTCGCTGCGCTGACGGTTTCCCGCCGTCAAACTGCATAACCCGACTGCCATGACAAACCATGTTCCCCCAGAACTGCTTGTCTTTGGTGAGTTCCCGATGCCTCTGGAGGGCTAGAGTCTGCTGGGCATGTCCAGGCTCGATTTGGTCCCACATGGTCGTGAGAAGGACCACGCGGTCTAGGGCGTGGGGGCCGCACATCTGCTCTAGCATTCGGAAATTCTTCACACTAGATCCCCCGATGCGGTTCTTGCTGATTGAGTGCATATATACTAGGCCCACCAGTGGCGCGCCCGCTCTGAAGAGCTGGCTGAAGAAGAAGATCTGCTCCTCAAGCACGTCAACATCGGAGCGGACCGCCTCGTCAAAGCCGGGGGTATCGACTAGGTACACGCGCCGCCCGCTCTCCTCGTAGTAACTGTATATACCAATTTGGGTCGTCTCTGTTCTGTGTGGTCAGCAATATCACTCTTTTGAAGTCAATCAATCAATTCCGGACACGGAGTGAAACGTCGCTACGCACCCGAGGCCAGACTGTTCCCGATGCCGGTGTCTACGTGTGTGAGAGTTTGAATAAATGTGCTTTTGCCTGACCCAGTGATGCCTAGGACGGCGATGATAATGTCGGAGTCTGAGATCCTGTCGTAGCTATTAGTCTAATCGAACCGTCTTGTCTAAGAAACCAGAAGCCTAGGTCCGACGCCGCACGCTTTCCGATAAACTTTACCTGAGACTCTCAAACCCTTGCGCAGATGTATTACCTTCCATCATCTAACCAGGTCCGGGAACACAGTAACGCTGTTGCTCAAGGTGTTGGTTGGGAAAAAATCAGCTTTAAGCAGACACTGTCGTATGGCCACCACCAAGAGTAAGTTATCATGCGACTTTTGAGGTGAAGCTCAAGAGGTAGAGTGCACAAAAGAAACCGACAAGGCTGTCTAATCCACATGGAGGCAGCCACCAGCGCACCGCATTTGCTTATCTACTCAATGCACCGCCCCCATGGGCTCCGACAACTGCTTCCCCTCCTTATTTCCGTCGCGTGAGCCTATGAGATTATCTGATAAGTGCCAAGCATGCAGCCGGATCATGTCGTGGAGACATCTCCCGCAATTACGGATATAATTGTTGATGGGGGGGGTTTTTCTCTCCCCCCAAGGCGATCTCTCGCCTTTTTACTCCCCGCCACAATCTGTGTACTCTCTGGCCGTGAGCGCTGTCAACAACATTCAGACTTGTCGTATTCATAACAAGCGCGGTACTCATCTTCCAAGAAACATTCACTTTGCAGTATTGACCAAATTCAATCGCAATGACTTGAAGATGACAAAATCGTTCACGTTCCAGCCCCAGCCTAGCGACATTCTGATCGCTGTCATGGGTATCACCGGTTCTGGAAAAAGCACCTTCATCTCCCACTGCACCCGTCACAGTATTTCTGCTTCGGCGGGTTTACACAGTGGTAAGTAGATAAATACTTCAGCACATACTATAACATATAAAGTCCTCTAGTATGACACTTGAGTCATTGGACTTTACTTCTACCTTCAGATTCTGTACCTTTCTCTTTTTACGCCTCCTCTCATCCCTCTCTCCTCTGCAATCCTGTTGAAAAGGAAGGAAGAAATAAACTAATAGAGCCGGACGATCTAGATACCCAGGAGGTTTCTGTCTATCCATGCAAGGCTGACATTGGCGACAATATCTACCTTATCGACACACCAGGATTCGACGATACGGAGCTGGATGACGCGCAAGTCCTCAGGAAGATCGCAACCTGGGTCGGGGAAACGTACCAGCAGAAGATTTACCTGCGTGGTATCCTCTACCTTCACCGCATCATTGACATACGCATGCAAGGGGCGGCCATCCGAAATCTTTTCATGTTCAAGAAACTGTGCGGCCAAAACGCCATCAAGAACATCATCTTGGTCACGACCATGTGGGAGGACGTCAAACCAGAGGCCGGCCAGCAGAGAGAGAACGAGCTTCGGACGACACCGCAGTACTGGGGCGAGATGATTGCCAAGGGCGCAAGTATGGTTCGGCACCAGAACAATCACAACTCGGCACGGTCCATTATCCAGACCCTGTTGAACAAGACAACGAAAACCACGCTGGCGATACAGAGGGAGATGGTCGACGAGAAGAAGGAACTGCAGGACACGAGCGCCGGCAGGGAACTGGACGGCATCCTCAACCAGCAGCGTGAACATTTTCTACGTCAGATTGAAGACCTGAAGAGAGACATGACAGAAGCCCGGGAAATGCAAGATCGGGAGTCTCAGGAACAAATCAGGCTACTGCAGGAACAGAGGCGTGTAGAGATTGATAAGATCTTCAGGCAACAGGAGAGCATGAAGGTTGGTCTTCAGCAACTCCATGACCAAAAGTTTGCCAAGCTGGAAAAGCAACTGGCCGCCCAAAAAAACCAGATGGAGATGGATAGAAAGGAAATCGCGGGCTTGAGAGAGAGGCTGGCCGGTACCTCGATCGGAGTGAATAACCCTTCCTCCGGGGCAAATACCGTGGATACGGGCTCACTGACAAAACCCAACCGAGAAGCGGGTCTCAAAACTACTATAAGGCTTGAGGGTCATGGTGGATATCGTCGCCACATAAGTCGCGCTGCCTTCTCGGCAGATGCGCGCTATCTCGTCGTGGACGAGGTGATTTGGTATCGGTCCGGCGAGGGGGAGTATTCGAGGAATCGCGTCAAGGTTTACGATAGCGCGACAGGCGTCGCCCAGAGTGTACTTGCGGCCGACCGAATCGTTTCACAGGTTGCTTTGTCATCGGATGGCCGACTTGTCGCAATGGACTCGGTAAAAATCGAGGAGTATTATCGATCAGGACTTGTTCGAGTCCTTGACGCCTGGGATAGCCGGACGGGGAAATGCCTCTGGACCAAGCATCACCAAGACTTGTCACCCTTGTCACTCTTCAATTTAGTCATCTCACCGGATGGCTGCTGTCTCGCCTTTATCGAGATTGGAGATGACAGAGAGTGCCACATCAATATCTTGCAAAGTGCGACTGGCTCCACGCTTAGGACGTTAACAACAATTGATGTCCCGATTCGCCAAATGAGGTTTTCGCCGGACGGAGGCCGCATCATGGGGATGAACCCACACTCAATCTATATCTGGAACAGCGCGACGGGTAGCCTTGGCCTCACCTTAACAGGCTTTCAGCCTCCATCCCCGTACTCGAACTTGCTTCATATGGCGTTCTCGCACGACGGTAAGGGCGTCGCCGTCATGTCACCCTCATCCGGAGCCTACATCATTAGTTTCTGCGACACCGAGACAGGACGTCGCCTTTGGACTACTGAAGCAATGTATAGTGAAGAGCACTTTATCTTCTCGCCTGACGGTTACATTGCCTCGCTTTGTAGCTCGTACATGGTGGCGGGGGCTTCAGTCGTCAACCCGGCTAGATTTGTCCGTGTTCGGGATGCTACAACGGGCAAACTTCTCAAATCTATTCCGATCAAAGAAGCCAAGGATCTCGTTTTCTCCCCGGATTCCAACAGGTTCGAGATTCTCGCGTGTGATGAAGATGTTGTGGAGATAATTGCAGTTTAATCAGAATTTTGTATTGGTATCGATCTCTCGATTTTCTCACACCCTTATAATAAGTGATACAAAACTGAGTGACCGTGACAAACTAACTTATTTATGGATTTGCCTATTGAATCTTGGTATTTTTTTTTCTTTGGTGAAGATGACATTGCGTTCTGGGAGAGTGTTGCAGAAGCCATTACCACGGCATATTTAGGCAAGATAGCAATGTAGGTACTCAGTCCCTAAGTTGTCCGGGTGAACCGCGTAACACAGCGGCAGACATTTCGTCACCGGGGTGTATCTTTCTTGAGAATGTCACGATGATATATGGCAGCTCCATTAAAGAATCATAGGCCTATTTCAGGTAGAAGATGAAGACCGAGTCATATCATGCAAGCGTGGTGCTTCTTCGGGTTCGGACCGATAGCCGACGATATCAAGCAGTACAGACATGGACAGCTTCTCGGGGACAATAGCGCTAATAGCCCTTCAGGCATTGCAAGTTGATGCAAGAAAACGGCCAACGGCAGCTGAGCTGTTTGATGAGACTGTCGACGAGACATATCGTACCGGCGTACATTTCTGTGGAACCTGCTGTTTCGATGGGGATGCATCGATAAGCGAGAGTGAAATAGGGCTGATAGATGGAGGTGTACTACAATGGGATGATCAAAGTTGTGAATGCTACAACAAAGTAGCATAGTGAATGCTTGATTGACCCATGTCAAGCAGGACACTGCCAATTTGTCCGTGTGCCTATTGATATCCGTGTATATGTAGGACTCAGCCTACAATAATACACCTAACCTAGGTATCAACCCTTGACCAAACGAAGGTTTCCAGTAATCAGCGCTTTTTGTTGACTTTCGCATGTAGGACTTCATGGGCAAGCCAACCTATTTCGACCTCTTGTGTTATAACTTAGGAAATGTATTGAAAAGTGGAGGTATCGTCGGAAAGTCCTACAAGTAAGACCATATGGATCAAAGGTGTTGCTTCTGAAGCGCATGAGACAAGAGGATTCATTGGCTATCAGTTGCCCCAGAGTCAGCAGCGCTTGTTTCGTTTCATGCAAGACGCGGGTGGCGTGGAGCCCCAACGTCGGGGAATGTCTCTGGATCGTCAGGGGCTAAAAGCCAGTGGATGTCAGCTCGCTGAAGGGGCCCAAGAGGGTGCGCCAAGACTCTCTCTCACGCCGCCCCAAATGCGCCCTAGAGCCACTGGAGCTTCAGAATTAAATCAGATCCAATTGCGCCTGGCAAAAGCCGCGACTCGCACGACAAAGCTACGAATAACAGAACCAACAACACTGCGGCCGCTTCCCGAAGGATTCTGGCGGGGGGAGCAGGACGACAAAGAAATGAGACCACACGGCGTGACCAGCATTGGTGAGGATCGTTTTTTATATCGGGTACCAGCTGGTCCGGCGGATCGACAAGGCGCATCAAGATCCAATCACTCAGTCGTCTGCTGGGTCCAAGCAGGCGCACAGCCTGCCTCTGCCTCTAAAGGCTAAGCTATCGTCTCCGCCTCCCTGGGATGGACATGAGAAAGGTCAGGGTCAATTGAATTCAGGCATGACAAGCTGGTTCTTGTAGACGCTGGCAGGAAATGTGAATAAAAGGAACGTCTTCCCGCTTTTTTGACTTTGATGGGTCAATTTCATCATCGTTCATGTTTGTCAAAATCACATAGCTTCAATAGCTTTTATCCTTCGACAGTCATTATACTAGCTTGCCTAGGCCGGTTCTTGGCAGCTGTTGTAAATTCAGGCCATTCACCACCACTTGATTTTAGCTCCTGTAAGCCGACGCACTCTTTTTTCCCCATGTGCCCATTCTGCTTTGGCGAGTAATTACTGACTCAATTGAAGTCTTTTCACTCTAACTGGTGATTGCCTCTCTGTGGCAATAAAGAGTCAACAAAGGAATTGTCAAGGATAAATCATTTGTGATTCATAATTACTTGTTCACACAAGTCTTGGCCCTTTGTGCTCGGCGCCTATTTTTATCTAAATACTTTGATGCAAATCAGGGATCCGGTATCCAAAATTCGGCATCAATAACAAAACTGCTATTCTGATACAGATTGGCTGTTCAAAGAGCTGATCTCTATATCATTCACGCCTCGGGCCACTCTTTCCTCACGGACCCGCGTTTTTTCGTTCCTGCCTAAGCGTATCGAGCGATAACGAATAGGAAACATCCAAACAAAACAAAACCTCGACTCCAATTAAAAAAAAAAAATGGTTCAATTATCAACCTTCACATCTTTGCTGATCCCACTCAGTATGGCCTCGACAGCAACAGCAGCAGCCATGTTCAACCCACGACAGCAGTCGGCAAATAGTACAACTGCCAGCACTCGAAAGTTGATTGTCGGAGCCCCCGGCCAGATCCTAGCCTACGACTATGATGGCACCACATTTGCCAACACCGCCAACTCCTCATCAGCTGGAACCGCCCCGAGTTGGATGTTATTCAAAGAGCCCAACTTGTTGTATGCTGTCGACGAAAACTCAAACACTACTCGCCTATACGAGTACAGTCCCCTCAATAACAGCCTGTCCTCAGAACCGGTGTCCGTCGGCGAGGGGTCTGCCGGCGTCGTCTCCCTCGCATTCAACAAGGACCAGACCATTCTCATCGGCGCCTCGTACTCTGATGGCCAGGTCGACGTCTGGGATATCTCCTCGCCTGATGGAAGCCTGAAGCTCGTCAAGCAAATACCCCTCGAGGGCACTCTAGGTCCAGCTCCCCAACAGACGGTTCACCGTGCCCACCAGGCCGTCTTGGACCCTACTGGCCAATTCTTTGCTGTCGCAGATCTAGGTGGCGATGCTATCCATATCATCAATGCGTCAAGCTGGGAGATTAGCAATGTGGTCTACGTTGACTCTGGTGCTGGCCCGAGACATGGTGCTTATATTGGAGGCAACAGCTCGTCCCCCGCTACACATTACGCTGTCGCCTGCGAGATCAAGAACCTCATCATCCTCTGGGAGGTTGACATGACCGGTGGCAACCTCAACTTGACGAACCCACAAACCCTGAGCACGTTTGGCGATGCTTTCCAACCCCAAAATGCCACCACTGCAGCCGCCGGTGAATTGATTGCTGCAAGCAACAGCAAAGACATCTACGTCACCAACCGTCTCACCGGCAACGGAAACTTTACTGACAATATCTCGCACTTTGTTGTGGAGGACGGCAAGCTCTCGTTTGCTGATCAGATCTCCACTGACGGCATCAACCCTCGGCAACTTAGTTTCAGTCTGGATGAATCAATTGTCTTTGGTGTGAACCAGGGTGGTAGCACAGGACTGTTTGCTTTCAACCGCTGCTCGAAGCAGGGTACCCTCAGCCTCACAGCTTCACTGTCTAACACGGCCGAGGCTGTTACTGCCCTTACTGGGCCACAATTTGTACAAGAGATCCCGGTGTCGTGAGGTTCGTCCTCGTGTAAGAGGTAGCGGCCGCGGAAGATTGATTCGCGCAGGCAAGAGGGAAGGAATGGAGGAGATGGAGCATGGAAGCAATTTAATGGCGTTTATCGGTGCAAAATTGGCGTTCAAGAAAGTCTAGAATTTGATACCCGTCCTAGCTTAGACTAGAACGAAAAGCTCTGAATGCGAATGTGAATTTGGCGTTGTCAATAAAACACTAAACATCTACATATAACTGTAAAGTCTTGGGGGGCGCTTCCTGGCAGTGATTGGTTGTTTTGTCTATTGTGTGATCAAAATCCTCTATTCGTATCGTCAAATGCCGGGCTTTTTCAAGTCGTAATAGATGGCTCTATTACGCCGTCTATAATCACGGCTCTGCAACGGAGTTATTCACTATCATCCCGCACTACAGCTCGCTGTCCTTCTGATTCATGCTCAAGCCACGCGTATTAAAGATTTCCACCCTCACAAGCATCTGTCTGAATGATATGAACCATTCTTTCTTCCTCGTTCGTATAAACTGCCAGAGACTTACTTCGTTACTCTAAAAATAGACAAGTACTCTCGGGATACCCGATTAATGACAGTGTCTACAGTCTCTTCCTTGATTGTCAGCCATGCCGAACGAAACGAGCCAACTCATCTCGACTACCCCCAACAAGAAAAGTCACAACGTCTTTCAAAGATGTCTTCACAAGTCAAGCAGATTATTGACAGGATCATACTCGACACGCAAGACCCGGGAAGTTGACAGGCCAAAGCCCAGAGAGCACAACGAGGAGACAGAGTATGCGGATTGTAGCTGGTACCTCAACGCGACCCAGGTCAAGCTCGACGAAGCAGAGACTGTGACGGGAGCACAATTGGTTCGCAACTACCGGCACATGGTGTGGGAGAGATCCGAGGACCACACTCTATCCAGCGGCCCTAGCCCGGACCAAGGACTCGAAATCACCGCCCTGGCCGAACAGCTCGACGCCTTGTGCTTGGCTGTGGACGACGCCGTCATGAGCGTGCTGAGCCACGCGGGGGAAGAGGATCGGCTGCGGGCCGTTGGTCTGGGCCTCACGGCTATTCTGCCCATGGTGACGACGAGACCGGCGCGGCCGGGCCTGCTGCGCGAGTTGCACGAAAAGGCCGGACAGCGCGGCCAGACAGAGGTTACCGTCGGTGGAAACGGCACGGAGAGCCAGTCAGTCTGGGTGAATACGTTTTACCTGCGCACCTACACGGCGGCCTTGGCGTATGTGTTTCACCAGTGCCATGAACTGCCCGCCGAGTATGAGGCTCAGTTGATGGACATTGCCTGGAAGTTTTGGTATGACCAGGTTGTGCGAATACTCCTGGAAGAGGATTTATGAACGTTTCCAGACGCCAGAGCCATGTGGGCTGTTTTAGAGTCATGGAGAGGCAGTTGCCATGATGACATACTAATTGATCTGCTCTCGCGCAAGATACCCCGACACAATATTATGTATCAAGCAATACTACCACTACTATCCCTTGCCACTACTATTTCCTAGTTTTGAACTTGCTGTAGCTTTCTCTGTGATTGTGGTCAGGCTGCTTTTGTAACCGAGGCTGCCTTTGAAAGGACGACTCCAACATCGGGATCGGATGCAGAGATACGTTTCCAACCCACTGAGGCATTCATGGGTGTCGCTTTGTTGAAGCGTAGCTGTAACAAATACAGTGCTGGTCAATATTCATTAAAACAGGGTTCCTGGGTCTCGCGCATAGAAGATTCTATAATTCTCGCTCAAGCTCTGTGGGTACCGGGGCACTTCTTACCCGTATGGATTCTGTCACGAGTAGTTGGACTTGTACTCAACGAGAGAGTGTTGCCGGCATATGGCAGGGGTATTCATGTGTCACCGTCATTGTCTGGCTCGGATGGAACCCGTTTTGTGCTTGGTTATTGCACGAAGCGGTGAGTTTCTCCATGGAAAATGCCTACCTCTCAGTCCGACTAGACCTATTCTTGTTTCTCTGCATAGGTGGGCATTTTGGGTAGCACCAATCACAGTAAGAAACACGCATGCTGTCCGCTTATATATTTCCATATTGCGACGTGTGCAGCTCACTGAGAGCAAGTGTGACGAGAACTCTGTGCAGCTCTGGTGATGGCTACATGCAGAATAGGTACAGGATCCAATGTCCCGTCATCTGTTGTGCGAGTACCATCGCCAAGATGAGGACAAAGAGGTTAGGCGTCAGTGGCGAATATTGATCGATCAATATAGTGCGATAGAAACAGCAAATATGATTCAAAGAAGAAAGCCTCGAGATGAGACTCATCGCTTGGTCAGGTAGGAATGGGAAGTGGTAACTTGCCCGACTACGCATGGAATGTGCCCATTCTTGATGATTCCCTGGCAAAGCCCCCGGCAGATATTGCCGATTTTTGAACTCTTCATTGTCCGAGCTTTCATCCAAATGTGAGATGTCGAAATCCTGCAATTGGCATGGCCGCTGCTTTCCGTCTTCTGCGGCACATGCCTGGGTCACCGAGGGCCGGGCATATTATGATGGATAGGACTTGTACGGACTTTGACGATAGAGTGGAGTCTATTTTGTGCGGAATGGAAAATATGTAATTTACATAGTGCATACCAACTTGACCATATTCAGCTCGCTGCGGCTGAGATTCTCCGGTGAATCGAGAAGCTTTTAAAATGGCGTGATCTTTCAACAGAGGGCTGGGCATAGGTATATACCGGCATTGCACGAGTGGTAAAGAAGCCATGGTGCTTTCGGCCGGGCAACTTCCACGGGATAAAATCGCTGCGGAAATAGAAGTAAGTCCACACGTATTCTAGATTTGCGGCTGGATGAGGTTGCAGGTCAGTATGTACGTAGCACCTGTGGCATGTAAGACAATGACCCCGCATTTTGCTACTTCTGCAATGCCCATGCAATGCGGGAACACACCGTTTTCTAGGCCCTATGGAACCCATGCAAGCTTTTGTGCTAGAAGGCGGGTTGCCACGAGCGCGACGGCCCATCGCTTCTCGGTTTCCCTGTCCTCTGAATGATCAGAATCGTGTGTCTTCGTGCCAGCTCGACACTAGGTCATATTGCTTTTTTCCCCTTTTTCTTTGTGCCCAAGAAGCATAGGCAACGAGGGGAGGAAAGGGCAGAGTGTGACCAGCTAGGACATCCAAAGTTGCCTACAACTTCTTCCTTCCGAGCAGACGATCGCCGCAGCCAAGGACTACCGGGGAACCAATTGATATTTCTTTTGGCCCTCGTGACTGGATTGCTAGTGTTACCGATTGGTTCGCCTCAGGATTGCAGTTTGTTGGGAATTGGATGGCAATTTTTGTTTCTCCAAGGAGCAGCGCCGAAAGAAGGAAGAGCTCCAGTGCCGCCTTCTCATCACCTCCTCTCTTTGTTTGCTGCTAGTCTATTTTCCATGGGCGCGAGGATGGGGCAGGACAGGGCAGGACAGGGCAGGGCAGGGCAGGGAAGGGTGTTGGACAAGACAGCTGACTGTTGAGCTGTTTATGCATGGAAGATGAGGTCTCGTGATGGATCTCCCGAATAATGCTCATCGCCGGATAGGATGGGGCTTTTTCTCTTCTCAGCCCTGCCACTTTCATATGCTGTAGTACACTCACTTACCTACTACCCTTTGTGCTTGCGTTTACTGCTCCGAGGCGGTGGATGCCTATGTAATCATAATCAGAAGGGACACTTTTTTGCAATTCCGGGTATGTGTTTTGCAGTCAACCGAACTGTTTGATGCCCGATGCGGCAATGTAAACGAGAAAAATTCAGACGTGCACATGGGCAACTCGGCTCGAATCGGCTCAAACCCGCCAAAAGAAAAGACGACGACCTGGCCCTTTCACAAAAATCATCAGGGGTTCTAGGTACATACCTAGGCGGTAGGGTCTGACCACAGCTGCAAATCTGTTTCCGTCCAAGCCCCCTAACCAACATACTGTAGGTACTTCTTACATGTTGCGACGACACACAAGCACATTTGCAGATCATACATGGTGTAGCAAAACTGGCAAAATGATATTTTACAAATGCATGTCTCAATTGAGAATCCAAGGACGTGTGGAGACGAAACAAAGAAAATGGTCCATAACCAATGACATTTTACGCCATACATTCAATACCACACAGTGAAAATGCAATGGAAAAAGAAAAGAGAGTTCTACGAGGCTTGCAGGGGCATCGATCGCGTCGCCCAGCTCTAAAAGTCCGGGGATCGCATCGCGCTGCTGCAACCCTGGCCGAGAAAAGTCTGGGGTATTCGCGGATGGACAGTCCAGTGCACATCAGTGGACTTTAGTGGACATGAGAGAGAGGGAGAGAGGCTTGAGAGGGGACCAGCCTGCCAGCCCTGGGAGATGCTGAGTGGTCCGGTCCGGGTGGGCACTGGGCACTTGGACGTGTGAGTGCTGGGATGGTGAGTGGAAAGGAATCTCACATGGTCAGGGGTCAAACTCAAAACTCCGCGCCGCCGTCTGTGGCCCTTTTCAATGGACAGATTGGACACAACATACATACCTAACCTAGGTAGGTTACCTGTGTACGTACTGCAAATCATTTACCTGTCCTGAGAAGCTGCGTTGGCTGTCTCGTTTTATGCGCACGCAGTCATGGGCACTCAAAGCCATCTCAACCTGTCATAAAAGGAAGAAGAAATGCGCCGCCCGACATTGTGCAACGGTCAAACATCGTGATGCCGTCTATACGCTTCTCTCAACCATATTGCAGTATCCTCGGACTGTATTGAAACTTTTCAATATTTTGCCACGGTCCAACAACTGTTTCACGTCCATCTTCTCGCCCCCCGGTCATCACCTAAGCAAAGTTCTCAGTTGTTGGCATCATTTTAAAATTGGAACAAGAGGTCTCGAACTTAGGCTGCCTCTCTCTTGTGAGAGTATAGCTCTTACTCATGCAAGCGCCTCCTCAATAGCCAGCGAGTGCCAAGTGGAAACATGCTTTCTTCATCACAGCGCATCGCCATTCACCTCTTCACATGATTGGAGGCTGTTTTCTTCGCGACAATATCAATCACCATACATACATACCCACCTACCTACTGACAGTCCTCGGGTTCACGGCGTACTCGGGTGTCTACTACAACAGACTACTGCTACATTATTACGGTTACCTCCTCCATCTGACGAGGTGTGGCGGGTACGTGTACTCATGCTGGTCAGCTAGCCTTGATACCACCCTCCTTGCATTCATCGTCCAAAAGCCTTCACCGTCCCACCAAATTGGTATAACGCAGCTTGTACATAGCTTCTGGTCCTCTTTTCCCTCCGGGCCTCGAACTGGTCTTTGGTCCGTCAGCCGTCTTGGACAAGAGTCCTAACACATGCTGCTGTCCCGTTCCGAACAAAACACTGGTACCTACTCTCACACCCTCGTTCAGACTGCAAGACTCGCAACGAATCATCTCTCTTGGTCCAGAGACGACACATACGATCCCTCTCTTAAATTCAGGAACCTTCCGTCCCTCACATGTACCAAATAAAAGACTCGCGAGCCCTAGCGTTCAACAACCGACCCAAGACCGCTGGTCTGACCTGGGGATTGTCTTTACCCCACACAAACCAACTTCCCCGGTTTCTATGCGCCTCTGATGTTCCTTTGAGCTTGACCTTTGTGGATATATCTTTGGCTTGCATAACCCATTTGCAACTCCTTTGAAGACGCTTTAGGCTTTACACATAGGTCTCATTGCGATATCATTTCTCTCTCTTTGCCAGCCGAGTACACATTGTGTCGTATATGACAAGCTGTCATCTAATACAACTGAACCATCGCATACGGCCTGGAAGACGCTGGTGACTACCTGTTGGCCTTTCCATACGATATTCAAGACCATTCGCCTCAAGCCACTCTTCTGAGGATTCAAGGCTTAATTGTAATGCGCTTGGATCTCATTTAGTGAGCATCGTCGCCCTCCTGCATCACCAGAAAGGCTTATATAGTCTTTCTCAAACCACCATATATGGTTTATCCCCGCCAGCACCAACATAATTACTTCCAAATTGTACCTCAAAAACATCGACATATAACCCAATCCAAGTCAGTCACGATGGGCATTCCTTGATACAGCCGAGGACCAAACAAGATGGTCTTGGACATGGGACTGCGCCAGCCTAGCCCAGGCCATCACAACGCATTCTTTTACCCATCGAAGCAGAGTTCGGGCCAGAACGACGTGAAGAGGAACTTGCCCAATCAGCGATTCCTACGCCACAGCAAGTGGTTCGATTCGGAGTCTTCCCACGGAAATGACGTTCCTCGCAGTGAGGTGATACCAGTGGAGATGTTAAAGGCACAGGATGATCTGACTTCAGAGCTAGACGGCTATTCTACTGCGGCCTTTACCAGAGGGCCTAGTTATTCATCATACAGCCCAGAGCTATGTGGCAAATCTGGCAGCGCAGACTGTCCCTCCACCAACAATGAGAGCGTGAATGAATCGTTGACTGGACTTTGCACATTTGGCTGGACTTTGCGCCCCCAACATACACCACCAATTGAAGCTTTGACGAGAGGCCGAGAACAGAAGGGCAAGAACACTGTATCCATAGGAACAACAACAAACAAGAGGGGAAGGGCGATTCATGATGTCGATGGACCTCGTACTAGTCACCTCTCGAGCAAGAAGCGCCGGCTTCGGCTCCAACTCATCACATCAAGGCTCTCGCAGCCATTCTCACTGCCGGCCACCCACATACTCAATCGTGACACGGACGAGGACACTCCAGTCATATCCAGATTTGTGAAACTGGCAGCTCTCGGTGCCAAAAAGGCTGGACACCAGACAACACTCGTCCGCAAGGCAGCAATACTGAATCGTGTTAGACTAAATGTCAGACAGACTGCCGTCACTCGAGGTCACGATCGGATCTGGAGAATGACTCGCTTGGCAGCCATGAGCCACGGACTGCAGCTCGTCACGGACAGCACGGGCGCCATGTTCCCGGGTCGGTCCGGAGAACAGGTCCCCGGACCAATCGTTCCCCGTGCGTGGCGCCCGCACACCACTGCCTCCCACCCGACCATGCCGTCAATGCCCATGTCAGATAAGCAGCCCAAGGAGGCAGGGGACTTCGAGCAACTCCAGTCTGAACCATTATCATCATCATCATCATCATCACACCCCAGAACAACACCGCCACCCACGTCCATAATGACACCACTAGCGGGAGCAGATGAAGACGAAGCCTCGTTTCCAGATGCGGACCTTGACTCGAGGTATGCCGACACCAGCGACGATGAAGTGGACGGTGTATATGCAGATTTTGGCGTCTTATTTGGCGGCAGGGCCGATTCGCCCGATGGTGCAGAAGAAGACGAGCACTATTACGAAGAGTATCTTGATGAAGTCGATGGTATCATATGGTCATCCTAGCATATATTCATAGGCTCGCATACGGTTCTCGGCACGGACACGAGGGGAAAAAAAAAGAGAAAATAGGAAGGATTTGGCCAGGCATTACTGGAGTCGGATATGAGCATTTTTGTTTTGTTTTGGCATATCATTGCATATGAGAGGTAAAAAATGGGTGCACAGCTTCATGTACAATCTCAATACTTTGCATATCTCATACGTTGTATTCATGGACGCAAACCTGAACACAACCAAAACTCCCTCTACCAAAGGAAACATATTCATGATGAGCATTCTTCCCTAGTATCTTGATATTTCAAGGGAAACCTATAAACAGAACACAGCCTGAACGTGTAGAGTGCCGGGAAACTCTCATAGCGGCTTGCAGATCAAATCCGTGAGTAGCGACAACCGACTACGACATCAACAAGAAGACGAATCAGCCATCAAGATTTAAGAGCAGCGGCAACCAAAATTTCTTGTTAGGAAGACAGCACCAACGCTAGGTGCACGTTTTGAGAACACCAAACATGTCCATTATCCAGCCACGTATGTAGTTTTTCCTACATGTGCTAGCCTAACAACTTGTGAATTATATCTATGAGTACATTGAAATTGAATCGTGAGCACGGAGTGGACCAACAGAAAAATAGCGTTTGCAAATGCGAATCTCTTTTTCTCATCCCCCGTGGAGTTGAAGTATTTGGTGGCCACGAAATTTGGCGAGTTGCTCAACATTTGATAGTCTTCTCGTGCCTTGCGGAGAAAGAAGACCCGTTTAGAGGAACGGGGTCAGACCTTTTCCCGATTTATATCTGCTCATGTTTGTCATGGCCTATATAGCGCCATGGCTTGTCAATGAACATCATTCCAACAGTACTTGGCAAAGTAAGCCATTTCAACCATAAATCGTGGAAGGAAGGAGGATCAAAAATAGACTGAATGTTTTCTTCTTCTTCTTCTTTCCTTTCTCTGAAATGGTGGTAGGACGTCATATGACGCAAGTCATCAAAAAGCTTTTTGCTGAACCTGACCTTATCCTATCCAAATTAGTCCTTTCCCCTATAACCCAGTTGCTTGTGCACTGTGAGCTTATGATGTTGATCTATACTCTGTACACCACATGCAGCCTCGTTCCATTTCTTTGGGGTTTAGTCGCGCACAGTGGATGTGTGGCGACCTAGGTAGTATCGGTTGCACAGCAGTGATCCCTTCTCAAGCTTGCTATAGCCACTGCTCACGTCTTCCAGCGTTCTGAGCAGTCTGTTGTGTGGAGGGTGTTCAGCGTGAGTATAGACCCCAAGGGTTGTTCTCCCTGAAAAGTAAGGTCAACAGCCTTGGTACAAAAAAGCGCAAGCATATGTTTCTGCATATTGTCCTTTGAAAGCGAGTCAAGCTAATAAGAGCGCCTTTGCACTTGACTAGGAAGACTCAAGCTTCTTGGCTCGATCAAGGGCGATATCGACCATGGCCCTAATCGCCTCTTGCTCCTCCTCCTTGAAATCCCCGCGATCGATCCTCTGTCGCATATTCTCCATTATGACCGGCCTGCTCCTCCCATTGACAAACACCACATATCTCAAGCCCGGGAACTTTGCTTCGTACTCATCATTCAGAGTCTTGAGCTTCTCAGCCTCTTCGGCGGCTCCCACGTTGAGAGAAGCTTGTTCAGCCTGGCTTTGTGCGCTGTCAACCTTTTTCGCGCCGAGGCGAGGGTGCGACCCAAGGATGCCGTGGAGCTTTTGCTTAGCAGAGGGTTCTTCCGACAGCGCGAGCTTGTGGAGGAGAGTTCCAATCTGTTGTATCACGGCCGGATAAGAATCAAAAGCCGAGCTCGATGAGCCACCGGCTGTCGACGTCTCGGCGGAGGCATCCAAATTTGTGGTAGTCCGTTTCGATTTCAGTACCGGCAGAGCGAGCGTGTGCAACTCGGTCGACGGTTCGAACAACAAGTCAAGAGCCTGGATTTGCGTCTTGATTGATGCACTGGGCAATTCAGAAATGGGCGGAAGTGTGGACATTTTGCGGGCAGGAGATGCGGAAGAGGTCGTCGGCACGGCAGTTCTCGATATACGCTCTTGGAGGGGCACACGGGGAGGTCGTTCAATGTTCACGGGACGTTTAGAGACGAGGTTGAAGCCAAGATCATGATGGTTCTTGATATTTATTTTGAGCTGCAGAGGAGTGAATTGAGGCATTATCGGGGGCCCCTCGAGGTGATCCTCGACCGCTGGGCAGTTCTGGCTGGCGGCGAACTGCGAAGTCGGGCTGGCGATGTGGTTACCTTAGGCGCATGCCGACGAGACCACAGAGAGTGCGAGCGCTGAGGCGTCATGGGCGCATAAGGTGTGGAAAGTTGACTTTGACTAAAGTAATGGGTACAACTCTCGTTTTGACGGATAAAAGCATTAGACCCCGGGACCTCCGGTTTGACGGCTATTTCCGGTGGGCTATAGGAGGTAATTAGGTTTTATGCATTTTATTTAACTAAACCTATATAGCTAGATCCGTTTATTTATATTAAATATATTAAATCCCTATTAATTTCCTATATAATAGCATTATAATTAATATAAAAAATATTACGAATAGCTTTTTTTATTATAATATAATATTTGGCATTAAAGGTTATTTAAAATTTTATATTGCTAACTAAAGCATTTTAATTAAAAATAATTAAAGCGCTATAATAGCTATTTAAGCGATCGCTAATAAAACTAGCTAAAGCGTTATAAAATATATAATTATAACGGGTGCTATAAAAGCTATAGCTAAAAATATAAGGTAAATAACCGCTAATATAGCTGGCTATAGCATATTAAAGCAAGCTTTAATTATATTAATTCCTCGCTTAAAAAATTTTAAATTTAAAATCGATAAATTAAAATTTTTAATAGGAATTTTTAATTATCGCGTTTATATAATATTATTTAAGCTTAATAAATAAGCCGCTAAATAAATCGCAAAAACCTTTATTTACCTTTTGGATAAAAAGCTTATTATTATTATAATTTTAGCTATAATTAACGATAAAACGCTATTAATAATTATAAAATATTATTTAATAGGCATAAAAATAAAAGATGCTTTCCGTAATTAATTTAATTTTATTATTATTAAAAAAAAGTAAAAATTATTAAGGAAATTATATAAATTCGATTATAATAGCAAAAATTTAGCTAAATTTAATGCCGAATAAAATTATTATATATAAAAAAATTATAATACTAATAATTAACGCTTTATTTTAAATAGCTAAATTTAATTATATTTAAAAGCTACCGAAAATAAGGCTTTAAAATAAATAAAACGAAAAAGAAATTAATTAGCTATTTTCCTAAAAGGCGTTATATTAGGATTTATATAATTTTAGCAATTTTTTATAATTAAATTTATAAGCAAAATAATAATTAGTAATAAAAATAACGCTAATTAATTATTTATTAATAGCAACGGTTAAATTAACGGCGATTATTAGTATTGCGGCAAAAAAGGTTATCGGTAAATTAATTATAAATTTAATGTTGCACGGATGTTAATACAGCATCGTATAGTGTATAAAATTAGCTTTATAACGCATATTATATCGTTATAACAGCTATAAAACCCATCGAGATATCGTTAAATAACGATATATGGGAAATCAGTGGAACTTACCCTATACTAACCTATAGTTAGTATAGCACCACTTACAGCCATTATTTATAGTGCTATATAGTCAACAAGTCATTACAGTTAACTATTGTGGCCACTATAGCCACTGGAACCCATTGGAATCCAGTGGAACGTTCCACTGGATCCAGCCCCACTAAGTGTGGCCAATACACCTGGCCACAATAGCCCTGGGTTATAGGGTAACCCACACCATAAAAATCTATAAATTTCGATAGTTTCTTCGATTATAAATCAACTTTATTATTAATTAACTTGATTATAAATCCAGTTTATTAGTAATATATTCTAAAATATTCTTATTGGTTGATTTTATAAATATAAAAGGTAGTTATTCCTCCGTAGTTAGTTATTCTTTCCTTAAACTTCAATAAATCAGTTATACAGCCCTATAACTACTCCTACGGCCTGATTCTACGAATCATATAAACGCTTCCCTGTGCCTAAGTTTATAATCTACCAATCATACCTTAGAACAGGTTATAAGCCCGGTCCGGTATAATATCGATTATATTAGGAACCGGACTTTATATCGAAAACTATAGCCGCTCTCCCAGACGAGTTGATTTAACGTAGACTCTGGAATTCCGTTATAGTAGCCGATTATTTATAGGCCTATATATAAGCCTATATAAGCCGTAACTATATCGAAAACTATAGTTAAGTGGCTAATTATAGTGATTTTACCCGTTACAGCCACATAACGGCTATAAAATCACTTATAATTAATCCCCACTATAGTAGCCGATTTGCTATAGCACCTTATAGCACCTGCTATATCATATTATAGCACCTGGATCCCCTTATACAATTCATCGATAAAATAAAAGAATTATTTTCTTTTATTTTCATTTTCTTAACGATTCCTTCACCGTTTTTAACGATAATTATACCGTTATAACGGCAAAAATTCGGCAAAATGGATAACTCTATCCGTACTATTGCCGGATGCCAGATGCCGGAGAAACAGAAATTCTCCGGATCCGAAAACTGGAATACGTGGAAATCCACGTTGCAGTTATATTTTAAATTGCTAGGAATCGATCGGTTTTTTGAAACTACCGATACATATAACGGTATAACCGATATTTAGAAAGCCCAGGCATTGCTTCTGATTCGTCAGAATTTAACAATAGAACCGTTAAATCTGATATTCGATAAAATGGATCTATATAAGGCCTTATCCACCTTATAATTAGCCTATTAAGGCACCGGTCCCGTATTACGTTAGCAATTATATTTCGAATTTTATACGATTAAATTCGAGAATTATAACTCGTTAAACGAGTTTATATCCATTTTTAAAGGATATATTTTAAAGCTTTTAAGCGTTAGGGCAAAAATCGATAATATCGATCAAAAGACGATTTTTATTGCAGCCCTCCAGTCAGTTTACCCTGTATGGGCTGACCGTTAACGCAGTGCTTTACGGTCTATAAATCCACCTACCCTCGAAGGGTTAATTACGGATATTTTGGATGAAAACCGACGGGATCCGGATACGGCTATGGGAAATTTTTATTATACGGATAATAAGAAATCCCGGTTTCCCCGATCTAATTAGAATCAACGGGGAACCCAAAGCGGAAATAGGAAGAATTCGAATAAATCGAATAAATAGAAGAAATCGAATAATTCGAATAATTCCAATAATTCGAATAATTCGAATAAGTCGAATAACTCAAATTCGACCATATTTACCACGAACCAGAAATCTAAGAAACGGGGAAACTTACCCCGTAACGAAGATTCGGACGAAAACGAATCGTTTCATGCTTTTTCGAATATTTCGAATAAATCGAAAAAGAAATTAACCTCCGTTCCCAAGGATTAGTGGTTATACGATACTGGTTCTTTAAAGCATATATCGAATAATAAGCACTTATTCGATAATTTTACTGTAAAATCGGATTTTTCACCGATAATTACAGGTAGTGGAAAAGTATTTCCAAAAGGAATTGGAAATATTACGCTTTCCTTCGAAATTAACCGGAAAATACGTAAAATAACGTTATTAAACGTGCTTTACGTACCGGAATTTCCGCTAAATATTATATCCGGCTAATTGCATTACCAAAAAGGCGGTATTATAAGCGGGAATAAATTATATAATTCTAAAAACAGGCCTTTTGCTACGTTAAATCAAAAAAAACGTAGATTTTTCCTGCACCTGGCTAATAAGTCAGAGCCTGATATGGCATATTTAGCCATTAATCCACTAAAAATAGTGGAAAAAGCCCGTGTGATCGGTTTAAGTTACCCGGAACCGAATTCGGATACGAAATCTAACGAAACCACGGATTTCGAAGAAATCGAATTAATTTCTAATTATTCGAATTTCCTTATAGCTACGGAAAAATGGCATAAACGACTTAGCCACCTTAGCTACGATATTTTAGCTAAAATAGCTAAAATAATTACGGGGATTCCTAAAAAGGAATTAAAAAAGGAGGATTTAAATTGCGAATCCTATATTTCGGGAAAATTCACCCGAAACCAGCCCTATACGAATCCGAATAAGGCTAATAAACCGTTATATCGTATTTATATCGATACGGTTTATATTACCCCCTTTAGCTATTCCGGTTATAAATATATAATTAGTTTTACGGATAATAAAACCGGATTTCGGGAAATTAAATTTTCCAAAAAAAAAATCCGATATATTCGATATCGTAACAAATAAAATCGAATATTATAAAACTTAATTCGGAAAATATCCGAATATTATTCGCATAGATAACGGCAGGGAGTTTTCCCTGGTTAAATTAGAAAATTATTTAACCGAAAAAGGGATTATTTTCGAACCTACAACTTTTTATATACCAAAATAAAACGGTATAGCCGAACGTACGAACCGGATTATTATCGAAAAAACCAAAACGGTTTTTATCGATTTATAACTCCCGAAAAACCTCTAGGAATTCGTTGCAAAAGCAGTGGTTTATTTAATAAATTTTACTGCTACGGCATCCGGTCTACTTACCCCTTACTAGGAATTTTACGATTATTTCTGGCTAGAAAGGGATAATACGCCTGATTTATCTTAAATCTATGCCTTGGGAACACCGGTTTTAGTTTATAAACCGAAAGAAATCCGTAAAAACTCCGATAAATTCGGAGTTACTACCGAAAACGGGAAAATAATTGGATATAACGGTAATAAAATCTATTACGTGTTACGGCACCAACGGACAAGAATGGGCTTTGCCATGTATACCCTATGGTTTAGTATTGATCTAAAGACGAGGAGCTTTAAGGTACTCCTCGGCTACGGAACAGTTTTATCAATAGCTACGGATAAGCCGGTGGGGGACGGGCCCGTGGCCCGTGCAGCCAGGCTGGCCAGCACGGACCACTTGGCGTGGACCGTCACATTACGTATATCTTCCCGATCGACCGTATAAGTTATAGATTATACGGACCTCTTATATTCGATTATTACCTGAAAATCGAAAAGAGGGGGAGAAATTACCGGATTCGGAATTACCGGATCAGGAAATAACACCGGATAAAAGTTCCACCG